TCTTTCCTCACAGGATCCTCAGTGCCTTGCCATGTTTTTACTGACAGTTAGTGTGTGGGTGTGTGGATACGTGTGTGTGTGTGTGTGTGTGTGTGTGTGGGGGGGGGGGGGGGGGGGGGGGGGGGGGGCAGGGAAGGGACAGGTTTTATACTTATTTCATTGCATTTGCCGTTGTTTGTTTTTATCTTTTTTGTAAAGCACCTTGTGTTGCAGCTTGTATGAAAGGTGCTATATAAATAAAGTTTGATTTGATTTGATTTGGGTCTGCCAGAGATTCACACTTATTTAAATAGAGAAATACCCAGAAATGCAATTTCACACTTACTTTTCTCGTGATATGTCCTGCAGCATCAGAAAAATGCCATATGAACATGTAGACAACAAGAAAAACATGATTTTCATCGGATTGGGTTTAAAGCAGAATGAGTTTAAAAATGTATAACTAACATTAGCTTTGTTACAGCGATGACAACGGTGAGACTGATGCTTGTAGTGAAAGCACCAGGAAAGCAGGCAGGTCCACAGCAGCGGGATGTTTGCAGCAGCAATCCAGAGAAACCTACAACATGATGATCAGAGACTCCTGGAAAAGACGGGAGGGGTCTGATGGCAGACCGCCAATGAGAGGACGTTTTTTTCTCACATGCTCCAGTTTGTTTGAAATGGTCATCCCGTTTTGTATTTCTTCTTTGTTGAACACATGAATACACAATCATATTAACGTTGTACATCAAATAAAGCCCCAAGAAAAAAAGTATACTCACATGACACAAAAAATAGGTACTTCCCAGTGTAATCACTTTTTATTTGAAAGGCTTCAAATCAACTTTGGACGTAAAAAAAAAAAAAGAAAGAAACGTACTCCCGGTATATTTGCTTTCATTTTGAAAGGCTCTAAACAATTTTCAGTCTGCTCAGTGGAGGTGGGTCCTCTCAGTTGAGGGTCTGCAGTTAGACTGTCTTGGAGAAGACTGTGTATGGGAGACATTAATGGGACATGATGGTTTAGAGTTAATGACACAGACAGAGAGAGGATGAAGAAAGAGGAAAGGTTGAGCTACTGTTTGTGGTTTTGACCAATCAGAGCACCATAAGGTATTAGAGGTATGTTAATACATGCATTATGCAAAGCTGCATGATGCAATGATAGAAGAGAGTAGGAGCAACGCTCAGAGATTTTGCAGAAGTCAAATTTCATGCAGCTGCAGAGGCAAGGTAAGGCCTATAAAAGAAGTCAGGTTGTTTGTGGAGGTACTGCACTTACCTCAGCATCAGTGGAGTTAAAAAGAGAGAGAAGAGACATCTTTTGGTGAATAATTTGGTCAAACTATCTGCAAATCTGTCTAAATGATTCTTGATGATCCTTCCTCAGCCTCTCTCATCTCAGGCCTGTTCAGACATGTTTCCTGTCTCCAGATGTACCAAACTCCAGCCTGAGTATTTACTGAGTTTAACCGCAGTTCACATCTGGCTTTCAAATGTGTCTAAAATGGGTCTCAAGTGAAATATCAATTTGATTGAATGATTTGAATTACGTAATGTCAGTTCTTGAATTCCAGACAGTGAACTTGTGTGAAGAGAGGCCGCAGTTTCAAAATGCATAAAGATATGTAGACAGTACAACCATCCATGGGAGAGTGTCGTATGAGGGGAGAAGTGAACGTCAAGTGTGAAAATTCAGACACTTGGAGCCAAAGAGAGAGGAGGCTGTGCAACAAAGAAGCTCCAGCACAGATCTTACAGGTTCAAGATTTTCTTTAGAGCAAGAAAGACAGCAAATGATGTGTCTCATCTCAGTGAACAAACTGCACTGCTTCTTTATTTAATGTAAGGGTACAGCTCCAGCAGTTTCCCTAAATCTGAGCACAGCTAACCGAGGGCCTCTAGTGGATGAAAGAATCAAATTGATACACAAAGCAGTTGTAGTTGTATTTTGCAGAGAAGTCTGCAAAAGATATTTCTTTAACTTTGCTCCTTCACTGTCTCTGATCCTGAATTTGACTCCATGAAAAAAGGTGTTTTACAGTTCTTCTCTGTGTGTTCGTGCCACAGTCCCCGGTTTCACTTTGACTTTTTTCTGCTGACAAACCCCTAAAGCTTTTACTTGTGGTCACATTTGTCAGACTTACCGTCTTCATGAAACAATCACAGGAAATGACCTGAAAAACAAAAGTTTCTGGGTAGAGGGAGATGAATTATCAAAGTCTTTGCCTAACAAAAAAACTGTCTCTGTGTATTACCTGGCATGTCTGATATGCTTTTTAAAAAATTTTATTCAAGTTATTTGCTAGTACAGAGCTGGCTGAAACGGAGAGCTGAACGTGTTTCCAGGTTGGCACTGGAGCCGTGCGTGGATTACTAAAGATTGTTTTTTTAAAGGTTGCTTTTGGGCTTGTATTCAAAGAGGATGGGACAATGGATGGAGAGGGAAATAAGGAGAGAAAGAAGGTAAAGACTTTCAGCAGGAGTAAGCTCAGGTCAAATGAGCATCAAAAAGCATGACGCTTTCATTAAAGGCACATTCTGAAGAATTTATCAGTACATTCCTAAAGAAATTAAATGAATTATGCAAAAGTTTGTTAAATTATTTCATAATATAAATGCTTTATTTTTGATACATCTTTTATAGAACAGTGGGTCCTCGCTCTGAAGGCTCAAAATTAGTACTTAAGGAAAATCTTAATGTTGTCCTCTCAGTACACGGCTTCATGGTGCAATATTCAATAATCTCACATTGGATGTATTTTAAGTTGAGAAGAATCACAGTCATGTAGTTTTACCTCTATTAAAGCAGCTGTGCATTAACTTCTGTTAAATATCGCCATACTCTTTCATTTCAAGCTGTGCAGAAGTGTTTTTGTACTTCTTTCTATCTCCTGTAAGAAATCAATAGTCAAAAAACAGAAGAAACCCACCATCTGTGGATGATGTTTGTCTTTTGTCTACCTGTTTGAACCCTTGCTCATAAACACACAGCACATAGTTTGTCTTCTCTGAGTGACAGCTAACAAGTGAGTTTCACAATAAGGCAGAGATATGTGGTTTGTGTTACAGTCAGTGATAAGTATCTAACTATCTGTTGTTGACTCCTGCATTACCAGATGTGCAGAAGTATGCCTTTGTGTTTGGGGATGTGGCTTTGATATTTCTTTCAGTTTGATGGTTTTCATATCCAGCCTATCTTTCCTGCTTTCTCAGAAAATCATTGGCTTAAAAGCTGACTCCGTCACACCACGCTGCCACACTTCTCTTTTTTTCGTCTTTTTATCAAGAGCATCAGAAAAATCATTCAGCCTTCAGTCACGGTCGACCACACACGGTCTATACCTTCAGGGTGTTATCAGATTTTCAGGTCTAGCAGTCAGACATAAACATTTGGTCAACTCCACTTTGTCGGCCTCTGATATGAAACTTTTGCTGCAAATTTGTGAAAAAAAAAAAAAAATTAACAATAATGTAATGAAAATTCACTGTGTCTATTGAATTGTCTTTATTATGTTGTTTGTGACATTCTGACAGAAACATACAGGCATGTAAACACAATATAAAATGTTTAATGAAGAAAAAAATGAGGTGTGTGTTAATTTGACAAGGAGAGCATCATTCAGAGTTTCAATAACCTTTTTTCTTTTTTTTACCCCCATTAAAGCTGCGGTGAGGAGACTTCAGCTAATAGAAAATTTTCATTAGCAAACAAAACCATCTCTGACAGTAGAGATACATTTTAGAAGCAAAATTGTTAAAGACATTTCAGGAATTAAGATGCAGACAAACGATTAACTAACGATATATCAGTCTTTTCATCAGGGCAGTAGCACAAAAATAAGCCAACTAATCAAATGATCCCACTTCTTCGATTATTCACCACATCGATGAATTTTTAGAATGAACTTCACATCTCAACTGCTCTGTGAGCACAGCATAATAACGGTCTTTAAATAGATGAGACAGCAGAGGATGTTTCAGCGTAAGGCCACCAACAAAGTCTTTACAGCAACCTGTCAGTAATGAAGCAGCAATCACCAAATATGGTCATTTCCAGTGCTCCAGGAAGAAAACAGATGAGTTCTGACACCCCCCTTATTAGGCCTGCAGCAATATACCAGTGTCAACAATAACTGACTTTTTAAGAGAATAAATATTGATACTGTTCTGAAAATAAGTATACAGTTAAAACCGAGACTTAAGTTGGAAATGCTGGTCACCTTTAGCTAATGTTTAACATTTACACCGAATCCAAGAACATCAGCAGCTTTCTAGTTAGTAACGAACTGAACATTTACACTTCCTGATTGTTCTTTAACTGTTTTCATTTGTCCTGCAATTAAGGACCTACAAAAAATATATAAAATCAAAGCATAATAAGTAATCGTTTAATGATGTTATGTGCTCCTCGAAAAGGTTGGTCACAGGGCTGATGATAAATCATAAATCTGAATATTATTAGAAACATGTAAGTTAACTGTGTTTATTCATTAAGTTCATGAGGTAATGTGTTTCTCCACTCTTTTCTTGCCGTTCCTAAATTTGACTGATGGTGTTAATTTACGAACAAGTTTTTCACAAATATTGTGTCATAAAAATAGTATTCAGTTAGATTTATAACCACCTAGATCTCCTCACAGCAGCTTTAAAGTGCTCCCACAAAACAAACAAACAAAAAAAAAACCAAAGATGGTGACTCCGAAAAGACCCAACCAGAGGCTTCAAACCCGAGAACACAAATTAATATATGGGTTTTGGTGGTTAGATTGAGCTCTTATGAATGGTGTAAAGTTTTGATTTAAGCGTACTACTCGCTCTGGTCTGCAACATCTGGACAAATCATATGTATTAAGATTTTTTTTTCCTGCCCCATCTGCATCAGCATCATACATGTAACTATCAGCAGGAAGTGGTAATCAAAGCATGCAAAAGTAAAACCTACAATACTACTCTTTGCACAGCCACAAAAAGCAGATGCCTTACTGCATATTTACGCGCATTACACCTCAGCACATTTACGCACTGAATGATGACATGTTATTGTTAAAACCCTCTGAAGACATGCGGCCTGAGATGCAAATTTCAGACGTCCCACGAGACGTGCGAGTAGCATAGATGTATTTCTTACTGAAGCACCACAGGTCCACCATGATCTGCCTGAAGTGGCTCCTGAACCTCACCCCAATGAAGGCATAGAGGATGGGGTTGAGGCAGCAGTGCAGGTAAGCCACACTTCTGGAAACTGCTAGAACTTTGAGTTTTATCTTCTCTGCTTCACAGCCCCTCTCTTTAAACAGAGACACAGTGTGGGTCAGCAGAGCCACGTTGTAAGGGAGGTGGCACACAATAAAAACCACAACCACCGCCAACACTACACGCACAGCCTTATTCTTCTGGCTGCTCTGAGCCTTCAGCAGAGTGCTTACAATGCAGGAGTAACAAAACACCATCACCAGCAGAGGAACCAGGAAGCCCACAGCCATCTGCAGACTGGGAACCAACACTTTCATGAGCTTTGCCGTTTCTGCTTCGCTGAAAAATAGCTGACACACCACAGTGGTATTAGCAGCCCCCGGGTTGTCTTCCTCAGTGCGCTCTGTGTACATGAGTGTGGGCAGAGTCAAAGCCACAGCAGACAGCCAAACAGCTGAGCAGATGAGGCGGCTGTAGATCAGAGCACGTGAGCGAGCTCCAAATGATCTTCTAGCATGAACTATGGCGATGTACCGATCTCCACTGATGCAGGCCAGCAGGAGCATGCTGCTGAACAGGTTAATACTGTAGGCTGACCTCAGAATCTTACAAGCCACAGATCCCATCAACCAGCTGTGCTGCTCATTGTAGATGATAAACGGCAGAGCCACCACAAAGATCAGGTCAGCCACCGCCACGTTGAACAGGTACACGTCTGTCATGGTCTTTGTTCTTTTGTAGAAAGTGTAGGTGATGATTACGAGAGCGTTTCCAATCAGGCCAAAGGCGCAGATAATGGAGTGGATGCAGGTTTGGGTGTTGATATCCACCAGGTTTGGGTCCAGGTTGCAGAGACCATCAAGGTCATCTATAGTATAGTCATAGTCTTCCATCACTGACTCCATGTCTTTATCCTAGAGAAGAAGACCAAACAAAAATGACTGAAGGATCCATCTAAAACATGTCACTGGTTCAGATAACCATGTGAATCAGAATTTACTACCCAGTTTAAGCCTGCTCTAGTAACATTACCATCCAAACCATGGTAACCCCTGTAAACAAACAGTGTAAGACAAAAATAATACCTGATCTTCTAAATACTGTATGTTTGATTGCTTTTGGTGTTCATTAGCCTCTATTTCTTAGGAAGTAAATACACTGTATTTATACATGACAACAAGACAAGCAATTATGTCTCATCTCTTTTCTCTCTCCCTCCTTCTCCCTTGTTCTCTTTCTTTCCCTCTACCCTCTCTCCTACTCCTCTCTCCCTCCCTTCCTATCTCTCTGTGATCCTCCCCAACTCAGCAGCAGCTTGGTGGCTGTCTAACATGAGTCTGGTCCTATCCAAGGTTATTGCCTGTTAAAAGGAAGTTTTTCCTTGCCGCTGTCACTCATATTAGATGAGATGGGTCAACTCTGTCCCATCTTTAGGTTGGGTCTTGATAATTCATCAAACAATGAGTGTGGGCTAGACCTGGTCTTTTTCTTTGGAAAGTGTCTTGGGGATGACGACTGTTGTGATTTGGTGCTAAATAAATAAAATTTGATTTGATTTGATTTGAATTATGTACACATAGACAAATACAGGACAAACAAAGCCAAATCTAAACAAACAGCCCTTTATCTTCCTTTTGAAAACGTCCACATTTTTCAAGTAGGAGAAATTTCCAACAAAGCCTGGCCAATTTTGGAGGGAAGGGTACCCAGGGCTTTTTAGTGCATCAGACACATCTTCAGGAACTCAGGCAAGCACATTTGATTTGTTAGGGTTAAGCTGTAGGAAAAAACAACTTCATGCTTTAAGACAGTTTACACAGTCAAGGGAAATATTAAGAGTCATCATCATGTTTAAAACACACATTCAACTGAAATGATGAGACACCTTTAAAGGTTCAAGAGGGAGCAGGTATCAAAAACCAACAGAGGGACTCCACAGGACATTTCTTTTTATTCCATTTTTCAATTTCTTATCTTGTTTCAGTCCATTTAAAACACATTTAATTGCATTAGATTAGTATGAAAGGTGTGGTGAGGGTAACCCTTGACTGATTGGTTGAACAAAGACAGACCTCTCTGCTCTGAGGTCTTGTTCGCAGATCTCAGAGATCAAGGAGGGGTGGAAATAAGATGCTCTTTTCATCCTCCTGAATGTCACCTTTCCTTGTTCTACTTCCTCCTAATGCTCACCTCACAGATTTAAGTCACTTTACAGGGAAATTTGTTTTGTTCTGGTTCAGCTCTTCCTTTGTTTGGTGAATGACCCAAATTCAGTCCATCAAACACAGACTGAGTGCACGCAAAGACGGGCTGCAGGAGGTAATTTGCACTTTGTGCATCTTTTTCACTTTGAAGAGGGAAATCCTTATCAGAGAAGATCTCTCTGTGTTTTTTCTGAGACTCAGTTTGTATGTAGAAAGGACACAAATGTGACAGGGTCAGCAAAATGACAAAAAAAAAGAAACTCTCATGCTAAAGATGGATACGTATAATTCTTTGCTTTTCTGGTACTTTTTTTCAGTAAACTCTCAAATATTCAATCACACCGATTGGCACTTACTGCACTGGAAAAATCACAGTCATGAACATGCAATTAATTCATTAAAACAGTTTTTCTTTATGCAAATACCATTGTGTGGGAAAGATGCTGCACGCTAACTTCCACAAAAACTCAACTAAAGGAGAAAACGTGACCAAAAAAAAGATATCTTTTGTTTCACTTCTCACAATGTAACTTTAGCAGGGCTGTATATGTACTACAGTGCAGTGGTGCTCATCACTGAGGAAGGTGTGGGGTTTGGTTCAAACCTGTTTTTGAAGATAACCTGACAGAGGGTGAGCCTGTTGTGTATCAATTTTATTAGAATGGGGAGCTCACTTACTATTGTTCCTCTATCTATCAGAGCGGATGGTTCTGTAAAACAGTTCCACAGTAGTAATTTAAATACACCATGCATGAAATCTGAGCCATTCAAACCTTTTAATCCTGTACCCTCACAGTATGTTCCGGGTCAAAATTGCCCCTTCAAAGAGTTCAAAGAGCAGCTTTCTGTCACAGAAAGTTCTCTTGACTAGTTAGGTCATTTTGACCTCTGTCTAGGTGTGTCTGTGTGACTGTATGTCTGTGTGCGTGCGTGTGTGTTTCTGTCAAGGTAATGATAGTTTCATAATGATTTGAATATATCTTTTTGAACAACAAACCTTATATTGAACACTGTTGTTACTGTTTGTCACTTGTCCCACACTGCTAGATCTAAAATCCATCTAAATATAGATACGGGTCAAATTTGACCCGTAACAGCCTTAGAGGGGAAAAATTTGTAGCACATAAACAAAAATACACATGAATATTTTTAAATTAATTTCATGTATTTTGGGCAACTTCAGGAAAAGTCATCAAGTTTCAGGCTTAAAAAATGATGTTTAGGGTATTTTTACTGCTGTTAAAAGTCAAAACGGGTCAAATTTGACCTGAACAGTATGTGAGGGTAAAAGTGAGCTCTCAGTTAAAGGTCAATAATTTAGGTTTAAAATTACTATCAAGAGACAAAGAAGATCTAATTTGCAGCGATGAACTAAAGCACACATAACTCTTATAAACAATGATTCTTGATTAATAGATAAGTATGAGCAAATCATGTCATTCAGTTACAATAAAGAAAGTTCATTATTTTGGTCTCTTTTTTAACATACCTTGCAAAAATGGCAGACTCCTCCTCAGGTGTTGTCTCAAATGATCTTAATTTGATGCGAGAAATAGTTAAAAAGAAGTCTTCCTTTGAGGCTGCCACATTCACCAAAGTGTCAAACCGTATGAGAAAAAAGTTCAGTGCAAGACAACAAAGCTGATAACCACGCTCTGACATGCCCTGCAACTATGTGACTGCAGAGTTTAACTCATCTTCCTGTTTTTGACCTCAGACTTATGATGATCTGCCCACCTTTGTACACAGATCCTCTTTATCTGATGAAGATCCTCACAAAGATATGACAGTTTCTGTGCAGGGAGGTTTTTTTCTGAATGCTTAGTGCAAACTAGACAGTTTCTTTTTGTTTTCCTGTGAAATTCTTTGATTTACTGGCAAACTGTTTCATGCAGTTTTCAAATCACTCTTTTTAAGAAACATTTTCAGGAGTCTGGGCAGTGGGGCAGAAAATGGAGAGTGACAGCAGAAAAGTGATTGCAGGTTTTAGTCACACACGTGCCACCTGCCAGACAGGTGGCTGTACATGTGACATGCTGCTTTAACCACAAGGCCAAACCTGCACCCCTCTCACTTTTTTAAACAGTTGATGTCGTTTGATTTTCATTCTTTAGTTTTTAAAAACACCATTAACTCTGACAGTAAGCTACAGCTGATGAAATATGATACAGCTTTACAAAGTAGAGGGTAAATACTTCCTTACCCCCCTCACTCTGATTCTCAGTTTCACACGGGTGGATTCATAAATATCCCAAACAAAAACACACACGGAAACCATATGTCCTTATTCTTTCAGCTTTAAATCTCAGTTTGGTTTCACTGACACTTTTCAGCTGCTTCAATTACAAGCACCAATCTCTCCTCTGTCCATCTCTCTCTTTCTCCACCTCTCTCTCTCCTCTCTAATTCCAGCTCAGTCTCAGCAGATGACTGTCTGACATCAGTCCGGTTCTGCTTAAGGTTTCTGCCTGTTAAAGGACGCTCTTCCTCTCCACTTTAACTTGTGAAATGCTGTAAAGTACTTCACCCATGTGATAAAAGATGGGATGGGAGTGGGTCTGATCTTACAGGATGGGGCTCAAGTCTGATCCCATCCCATGTTAAGAGTCTTGGGATACATTTGTTGTGAATTGGCTCTATAAAATAAATTGATTGATTGATTTGTTTGGTTCATGCTTGATTTTTAAGTGTTTATCCTGGTACCTCTGATCTAATTTTGGCTTATGCTTGAAATATTTTCCCCAAAGTTTAATAAAAACATAATTCTTTAAATAAAAAAGGTTTTATTTATATTGCCTTTTTTTAATGTTGTTGTTTGTCAGTCTCATTGCTGATGACATTATTCACTTTTATAAGTCACACAAAGCACTGCTGTCAATTTCAGTCTGTTTTGAGACCAGTAAAAAAAACTCCTCACAGTAGCTTTAAAATTGAAAAGAGCTTGAATACCTAAGTCTATAAAATGAAGTGATTTAAGCAATGTCACTGATTCTGCACTCCGTATCTCCTCAGGGCCTCTAATAGAAAAAGTTCGATCTTTAGATTATAGTCTTGCATTTCTGCTATTATTCCAGATGCCCAGCAGATGGAGCTGTTGTTTAAGTGAATGTCAGCTTATGGTGATACTGAGGGCTCTATTTTGGTGCCTCACCGGAGACGTGCCGCAAGCGCAGAGTCAATCAGATCCGCCGCGCTGACAAGGCGTTCCCAAGCACATTTTGGTATTTTGGTGAGCCGCGCAGCCCGGCGTAAGTATCCCCCCTCCCTAACTCAGCTCCTCCCGGCAGCATAAATCATAGAAGGGGAGGAGAGAGGGCGTATAGGGGTTTAACACAGCCGAGACCTGTTTTCACCAATCACATAAGCTCCTCTCCTTGCCTTTAAATCCGCCACCGGCGAGGCGTATTACTATTTTCATGAAGTAGTCAAAGAGATCAATTTGGTGTGCGTAATGTTGGACCCACTGGTAAGACAAACACCCTTTTCCACAAAAAAGACACTCACATAAAGTTGCATATATTCAAACCTCACGTGACAAAGGTGGGTTTAGCGCACAGATCACAACATAAACTCCAAAAATGGCATTAAAATCGGAACCATCTGTGCGTAAATGACGCATCGCGCTCCGTGGCCTGGCTCTTTCTTTCATAGATGTTGGCATATAAAATAAATTTGGCCCACAAAACTGAATATTATAATATCCGTATGTCGGCTTAAAGTAGATAACGCATCTGAGCACTGAAACAAATCATCTGTTCAGCCGCAGCAGCTGCAGCAAGACGGACAGAGGACACGGAGACGTGTCCAGGTCGAGCTGTGCGAGAAATAAGAGGAAGAAAGAAAAGGAGGGAGACACATTACATATCGTGTTAACTTCATCATGTGTGTTTATTTACTAGATATTTAATTTAATTTGATGCAGTTTCAGCTGTATTGATTCGGTCAGGTTGTGTGCCCAAACGCGTGCCAAACGCGTGCCAAACGCGCTCATCAGATCAGATATAGATCAGAATATATCGATATAGATCTAAATGTATGTGCTGACTCAGATTAATAGTTGTTGATGATTATTTATTGCACTGAAATGTGCCTGACACTGTGGAAACCTGCCGGTGAGGCATCAGTGACGTATGTCGATACGCCGCCGGTCTACCAAAATACTACAAGACCAGCTGCGTTCCGCCTTGCGCTGAAAGCTGACCAGGTTTGAATCGGCGAGCTTTCAGCGCACATTACACGCCGGTGGCGAGCACGAAAATGTCACTGCGCCAGCTGATTATGTCAACACCTCCCCCTGCCACGCCACCACGCCCAGCTTGGCGGATCTCGGCTCGCCTCCGTGCGACTCAGTCCACGAAAATACCAAACTCGCCTTACGCTGGGCTCCGCCAGACGAAAATACAACTGCGCGGGGCTCGCCGCCCTCCGCCGCCTCACAGGCGCGAACGAAAATAGAGCCCTGAGAGTCAGGCAGCAAAGAAAAAGTCTTGCTTGTATTGACAGGATGCTTGGTTGTATGTTTTATTTTGGGACTGTCAAACACTGTGATGTTGTGCAGAGTAAATCCTCTTCAAAACTTATATCTATTGATCTAATCATCTTTAGGTCCTCTGTGTCTCCTGCTGTCTCTTGATCTGTTTGCACTTGTGTTATAACTGCATATCACTTACTTTAAATCATCATGTCCCTATAGAGTTATACACCATAAATCTTCCCTGGGGTTCTTGAGCTCTCTCGTTTTACAGGTTCCTTGTCTGCAGAATCCTGACTGCATATGGCCTGCATGAATCCACCTGCTACACTAACGAATATCAGTCTTACTTTGTCATTATTAAAATCGTTAACGTTAATATCAGACTTGCTTCACTACAATGCACTTTCAAACTTCACTAGTCCTGCTAATGTTATGCATATCCTACTGTGCTTTATTTGCTGTTTTTTTTCCCTGCACCCTTTTCAGGCACAACTTCTAACCCTATAATAGTCTCTGCAGATGGTTTTTCAGTGCCAGTCTGGTCCTGCTCAAGCTCTCTACCTATTATGAAGCAGTTGTTTGTTACCTGCGTTAACCAAGTGTTTTCCACATGTTGGCTGTTGAAGAGTTCAGAGACTTGTTCTGCAAAGTGTCTTGAGCTAACAATTGTAATATAATCACATTATTCTGACAAGAATGTATTGATTGATATGATTTATTTGGCAGAATATAAGTATTTGTGTACAAGAAATTCAACCTACATCTCTAATTGTCTTAAGTTTGTAACTTTAAACACTTATCATGTCAACTATCAGCACATTCCCTTTGGATTATCACAATGTCCTGGGAGGAAAATATGTATTGCTTCACTTCTCTTTAATGTACGTAGAAAATAGTTACTGTACGTACACACCCACACACAAACACAAAAGGCTTTAGGATCACACAGTGTAAAGAGGTAATTAAAAAGCAGGCTTGCATTACAGTGTGACTTTTTTAACAAGGCTGTGCTTAGAGATTCAAGAGACTGAGAACTGCATCAAGCAAGAAAAAGAAAGCAGAAACTCCCCTTCAAAATAAAAGCATTTCATTTGGGAGACAACTTTCCACACATTAAATCAGCTCTCCACCACACTGGTGGTGCAAATGCTGGCCACTGCTGTATTCTTCAGTTTCTCTTTGCTCCGATGGCTCAAATGATTTACTGTTTTGAAACTCATAGATAGTTTGCAGCATTTGTTTTGCAGGTTGCAAACATGTTATTCTGCTTTAAAAGAGTGAAAAACAGCTGAAAGATGTTACACTCTGGTATATGGTTTGAAGTTTCCAACATAGCAACCGCCATCAATAGGCGTCAAGACTTCACTTTAGAAACCAGTAGGAATATTTTTGACAGTCAGTAAAAACAAAGATTAAATAGTTGTTTTTTTAACGCTGTTTGATCTGCCTCTGACAAGGCAATAGATTGGATTTTAGGGCGATGGGGGGCCAACCACATTTTAGCAGGGACCCATGTCACCCCTAAAAAAAGCTGGATTCTTCAAGCAGGCTTGTTCTATTTACTCCTGGTTAAAAGATTTAGTTAAAGTTTGTTTGAGTAAAAGTGTACCAGAGCCAGGCATGGCTGGCTTAATACTGCACATAGAGAATAAATCATCTGCCGATTTCAGTGAATAACTTAACCTTTATATTTCTAGGTTGAAAAAAAAAACTACCTCTGTATTATTTGTTTGTATTTTTAAATAGAAAATATTTGGACCCTTTTCTCTCATTTCTCCAATATTTTGGGAGATATGACATTGATAATGATAAAAGTAGTTGGTCTTTTTCCACCCGAGTTTGATCCATATTTTTCGTTTTTAGTTGTTTTTATTACAGTGAGGGCGAAATCATTGGTTTAGCTTTAAGCTTTACCTTGGTACATGAGCAAACATATTTTACTCAAGAGGGAACGCGCGGAAGTGAAATGTCTTCCCCCTTAAATCTTTCCTAACGCATGTGTATTTTACCTGAGTGCGCTCGCGGCTGGTGTGGGCATGTCCTGACGCACGCGTTAACCCGCTCTGCAGGTTGGCTCGGTGAGTCACTCCTCCTGCAGTGAGAAGTAGGACACTTCAACTCGTGCTTTTATTTTTCTGCAAGCGCTTTGAGTGACAGGACACTTCTGTCAGACACCATGAGTAAGTCCGGCACTCTGAAAGTGAAGAACTTGTTCAAAATCAAGTCACCTGATAAGGAAAGTAAAGAGTTCAAACAGTCAAACTCGCTAAAAAGGGATGGAGAAGCGACCAGCCCCAGACACAAGTCGGAGACTTTACCGGCGAGCCCCGGTCCTTTCAGCCCGGGGGACACAGTCACTCTGCCGGCTGATGTTCTACCTCTTTCCCCGAAAGAAAAGAAGGTGAAGAAACTGCTTTCGTTCAAGCTGAAACGGAAGAAATCCAAACGGAAAGATGGAGGAGAGTTTTTCCCAGAGACTGATGAACTGGACAGCTTCCACAGCCTCAGGTAAGATGAAAAAAATGACTCACCTTTAACACCAATTAATTTTAGCATATTTGCTTTATTATTTCTTTTTCCTCTGTGAATCCACAGGTGGTCTTACATACTTCACTCGAAATATAACAAACTAGAAAACACGAGGGCTACAAAAACCCCATTTCTGATATAAAGATAAAATTCCATCTATTTTCTTGGCAGAGAAGAGTCATTTAATACAAATTAACCTTTCAGCTTTAAAAAGTCAAAACAAACTCCTGAAAAGGCAATGCTGCTTCTCAGAGACATACTAATTAACTGTGTTTGACCTAATTGGTACTATCCCAGCTAAGAGGTTTTAAGAAAATATGAATCTGTCTGCTCAATACACTTAAGCTTTTTACAGCAGCTGGATCATAAAAGAGAGCTGTGGAAAAACAACTGAAACCATCAAGGTGGTCAAAATGTTCCATATCTGAACTCCTTTAATACGATATGGTTTGAAACTATACTGTCAGTGTTATTATGATACTAAATAGCATAAAAAGTGAGTTAGTTTGTGAAAAACACAGATCTACGGGCATGGTTTCAATCCAAAGTTAGAGGGAGTAAACAGTGGTGGTCAAGTTACATGAAGATGCCAAGGAGTTTCAATATTGTTGTTTGGTGTCATATCAAAGTTTAAGACAACACTTTGCCCCGTGTTTCACAACCTGATTGAACTGAAGGAGGCTCTGGAGTGTGTGAGAGAAAAAAAATCTCACAGAACAACAGTTTTGCCCCCTGGCACTTTTCAGCCACCGTGGTACAGAGCTGTGGCACGACTAGTACAGTCATGCTTAACTTTTGCAAGTTTGAAATGCAGAGAGAGTTTGGCAAATAATGCGAGGAGAGAACCAACCGTTAGGCCGAACGGGAGATTCTGGTGTGCAGTTCAAATGTTTAATTTGACATGTCAAGTTTTCAGTCTGTGAGCAGAGGGGGCAAGTAAATATGAGAGTGCAGATGTTGTAATGTTGTTGTAATGCTGTAATGATGTTGTTGCATGCTTTCAAATGTAGTAGGCCGATCTTGTAATGGTGTGATGTTGGAGATAAAACGATGTAAAACATTCATAAAGGCAAACATAATTTATTTTAAGTAATTAGAGTATCAGAGTATTACAGTTACACCATGTTAAGGTGGTAGCTCGAGGAGGGGATAATTTACATTTATATACATTTAAATTTATCTATATATATATATATATATGTATATGTTTAAAGTAATGTTTTTTTTTGTAATATTTTTGGTCACACATACACATATAAACATAGGTGTGTATATGTGACTTGATTGTGGGAAGAAACCTGAGCACCAGGAGAAGACCCAGAGAATAGTGTTATTAGCTGGACTTGGGGTCTAGCACAGCTGCGGCTGCACTGCTGTGGATGTCTAAAGTTCCTGAGGGTGGGCCGTGGTTTTATGCTTGTGCTTTTTTGTGATTATTTTTTCAATGTTTAAACTGATGGGTTTTTTTCAACTTTTCAGTCACACATACACACATATGTACATATAAACATATGTGAGTGTGTTTGTGTGTGACTTGGTTGTGAGAAGAAACCTGAGCACCAGGAGAAAACCCTACAGAATAATGTTATTAATTGGAGGTGTTTGAATATGTTAGTGGTTTGGGGATGAGGAGTGTATTAGCCAATGGTTTTATTAATTTTTGATGGATGTTCCTCTTCTGCAGTGTCTTGATGATGCAGGTTGTTGGATTTTAACACTTGTAAAGCCTCTCCTGTATGGGGCACAGTGTAAGGGGACATCTTTGCCAAAAAGCAGGTGATCCTGTGTTCGTCTCATTCGACGGGCTTTCCGCGTATAATACCTCAGTAAGGGTTCCCCTGTATCAGCAGCTGTATATCCGTCCATGTGTCTGAATGCTCTTGTTTCTTTTCTGGGCTGGGGTGGGGGACTGGTCTTCAGGTCATTGGTCAACTCTAGTTTGTTACATAGAATTCATAGTTATGCGAAAATACATTTGTTGTACACAAATTTACGTTTTTATGTATATATCAATTTGATATAAGTTATGAGTTTTTTATTTTATTTTTATTTTTATTGTGAATATCTATGTGTGAATACACTCAGTCAGGATTTTTTACTCAGTTTTTTTATTCATCAATTTTTCTCAGTTGTTGCTTTTTTGTTTCTCCTAAAATTCACTTGGAGAAATAGTTGAATATAGCAGCAGGGTTCTTGTTTGAGATCTAAAGCAGAGAGCTTATTCATGTGAATAAATAAGCTCTCTGCTTTATTTTATTTATCTTTTTATTTTATCCCTAAACGAGATGATAATCAGACACAGAGGCAGTGAAGGAACCACCAAAATTAAACAGCAATCATACTTGCTTATTGGCTAACGGTGCAGAAATATTGCAGCCTTTGTAGGATTATGTGGTGAGCATGACTGTAAGGCAGAAAATACCCACACTGACTCACTCTTCCCTGAATAAATTAAAGACTTCAAAAGAACCTCAACTGGTCTCAGTAATGACAGAGACGTTTCTGGTGCTGTACTCCTGCAGGATATTCTCAGCTTTATTTTCAACATGTATTGACATCTATTATGTTGTCGGTTTGATTCAATGTGCTGACAGCATTAATCCATTACCTCTGAGTCAGGAGTCAGGAAGCACAAAGTGACTGTGCTGTTGTGATATCAGAAAGGTTAGCCATACATAATGCTGAAATGACAAACCTGCTGCACAAGTATAAGACGCTTCAATGTGCAGTTCAGGTGCAGGGGCCAGGCTCACTTTTATTGTTATTGTGTCTGGATCGAAGTACAGATTTATTTTAAAATGGATAGGGTTTAAACTTCTGATCTAAGCCTGTTTGGTGATAACAGTATATTACCTTTATTGTATGTTTTGTCTTTGCATCATCAAACTGAATATGTGTTCAAACATTAACTCCTTTGTCAGTGCTGTTTGCTGTAGTTAAATGAACCTTTTAAGTGCTCCACGATGTCCCTCTGTAGGTTTAAACTTTTGTTTTTGACCCTGAGCTATTGTGAATCATACTGCTGAGGAAAAGTGATAAAGTAAGTCGGAAGACAAATAAAATTTACAACACAAAATCCAGAAATCAAGAAAAAAAAAGAGTTTCTGATGGTTTGCAAATCATGGAAAACCTTTTTTTTTTTTTTTTAACTACTCTGTTAACTGTTGGGAACTTCAGCCACTCAACAATTTGGCTCAACAGCTTATAGACTGTTCACTAATAAAAACAGGTCAAGTGGTTCCTTCTTTCATGAAAACAGAGGACAGAGTATCCGTGGTATCCGTCAAAAGACTGTTCAGTTTTGATTTGCTATACCTCTGGACAGATTTCTGATTCACCACAGCTCAAACACAGAGAAGTTGCCGGTGAATCTGGATCATGTTTTTACATGGTTCCTTCTTCACGTGGTTTAGTTTTAACCTCCATTTGTGTATGCGATGACAAACTGTGTCCACAGACATTATTGTTTTGAAGTGGTTTTTAGCCCATGTGTGATTTCCACTGCAGAGTCATGTCTTTTTGTGATGCTATGCCTCCAGAGGACCTACAGATCACCACCATACAGTGCTGCTGGTTTTGGTCCTTGTCCTTGTGCATTAGCTATTGTTGAGTTTGCTGCTGTTATAAAGTTACTCACAGCTTGCAGTTCTAAGCCTTCATAGAGGGTCTATATGGATAAAACAGTCCCCTGGTTCTGGTAATAGTAGAGCCACAACCAAAGAACACTAACGAGGAACTTTATAGGACATACTGAATTTACAGAGTGCAGAGCAAACAGTTCGATAGAATTTCAAAGTGCGGGAGAACTACAAAAATCTTTCAGTGGGGGCTTCCTCTAGCAAGATGCCAAAGCCTGGCATCAGGTTCAGGCCGAGTCTTGCCAAGTTCGTAAAGGAAGCATGAGGAAAGCCCAAAAACTTGCACTAATATCCCCATATCTCTTATTTTTAGACTTTGCTGAGGCCTCTACAAGCAAGCATTGGTTTCTGCCATAGAAAATTAACTCAAGTTCAGCGATCTCCAGCATTTACCCCTTAGATCTGAAGATTTTTTTGCTTTAAGGTATTTTATAAATGAATCAGTTTGGATTTTCTACATATGGTTTGACAAAGGAGACCGTGTGTTAAGTATTCATCTTTATGACTTTTATATTTTTATAGATGAATCACTAATAAAAGAGATGATTGTTGAGTTTTGAGCCATGCACTGTAAGAAATGTGTCATAATTCCAGACAGCAAACCTTTATCTCTGTCTCTCTGTCAGGCTGTTTGTACAGGACTGAGCAAACATACACCCTTTGGCCGCTCAGGTGTTTTTCTCATGCTCTGTTTGAAAATCAAAAACACGAATATAGTTTCATACAGCTCTTGATAAAGAGACTGTTATGAGAACAAATGGGAACACTTTATTTAAGGCGTGTTTACTCAGTCTTTTTCAGCATGTGACTTACGTGAGAGTGATTCTGAATGTCCAGGCTGTTGACTTGCAGGAATGTGACCTGCAGAGCACCTGAGATCTTTGCTGAGTGGGAACAGGTAGAGTTTAGCTAGACAGACAGATAGATAGATTGATAGATAGATAGAGAGATAGAGAGATAGAGAGAGAGAGAGAGAGAGAGAAAGAGAGAGAGATACTTTATTAATCCCAGAGGGAAATTCAACAACCTTTTACCGTTAATGCTGTGGGATAAGAAAAGGATCAGATTTTTGAGGTTTCCAAATACATGTTATGTCTTAAACTCAAGTATCAAATCAACAATAGGTTAATTCTTAAGCAGCACATCAAAATAATCTAATCTAACCCCGTCACACCCCTCTGCAGAGACTGTGAATTCCTACCTCACAATTTCTAGACAGTCCCTCAGGTGAGGGTGTGGAGATAGAAACCATTATGAACAAGTCGACATTTTTGTGGACAATACCATTTGGCACCATGGTAATGCAGGAATAAACAAGTGAAGCAGCTTTAATGCAGTCACTTATACCTTATTTTGTGTGGATAGTAGCACTGTTTCAGCTCTGATTATCTTGTGTCTTGTTCTGTGACTTTAAGTTCCGGGGTCACCCAGGGTTTGCTGTTGGAGAAACACTGTACTTTCCTGGTGGGTACAGTGTTCTCAACACAGAAGTTTATGTAGTCCTTAATGCAATCTGTCATGGTGTCGATGTCATCCCCATGTGGGCCGCACAGTACATCCCAGTCTGTGGTCTCACAACAGTCCTGCAGCGCCTCAGTGGCCTCCTCAGACCACCTCTTAACATAACTGATGGTGGGGGGTTGTTTCTTCACCATAGGTATGTAAATGGGCTGCAGTCTCACCAGGTTGTGATCTGAGCGGCCCAGCGGGGGGAGGGGGGAGGAGGTGTATGCATCCTTGGTGTTTGCATACAGTAAGTCCAAAGTTTTATTGTCTCTTGTTGGGCATTCCACATACTGGCTGAAGGTAGGGAGAGTGGAGGAGAGCGATGCATGATTAAAGTCTCCAGAGATGATCAGAGACTGAGGGTGTGATGGAGGAGGAGTTCACAGGCTGCAGCAGCATCAGCCAAGGGGGGGATGTAAACAGTTAACGTTATGACGTGCGAAAACTCCCTTGGCAGGTAATATGGCCGCAAACTCACAGCCAGCAGCTCAAGCATTACACCATCTCTCATTCACATACACCGCTATCCCGCCTCCTTTCTTCTTACCACTCTCCCTCATGCTCCAGTCCGCTCTGACGAGATCAAATCCGTCCAAAGTTACGAGCGGGTCTGGAGTGAGTTCGTTCAGCCATGACTCTGTGAACATCATGTTCACCTGGTAAAGACTTTTACTGTGTAGCAGGCAGCACCCAGCTCCATGCCCCTTAGAAGTTTTGCACCACTAAGGTTTCTACATTATCTCCTAACTGACTGATTGAAAGCAAGAATTGAGAATTGAGCCCTAATTTGATGTTACTGTCATTGACCCCCCCCCCCCCCCCCCGCCTCCACTACCAGCAAGATAAATAAGTTATGCACCTTATTCCTGCATCAGCAAGCACAACATCAACTGCAAGTTCCTTCAAACTGCTGCACCAAGCTAAAAAGTGATCTTACTAACACACTGGCTACCTGTGACTTTTAGAATTGATGCAAAGATTTCAGGGCTTGTTTTAGATCCTTAAAGACCCACTCTGATTGCTTTTTTAAAAATATTTAAAGTGTTCTCAGTGGTCTTTAAATTGTGATTATTAAGTTTTCTTTTGCCAAAATCACGTTACCTGTGTCATTTTCAAGGACATTTCTTCTGCAAAGCTCCACTAGCTCGTTAGCAATTCTCCTCTGAGTCATGGGCTGCGACAGTGCTGCTCTGCACACTTCTCTTCACGCTAGTTTGCAGCCGAACATTGTGCAGCAGAAGTGGCAGGTAACATAAGAGCTTTTCAGCTCTTGGACAGTAATGTCTTTGGCAACATGATGAAAGTTAATATCAGAAAAATGTCATATGAACATGTAGACTACAAGAAATGCATGATTTTCATTAGAGTGGGTCTTTAAATGGCCAGACTCCTGCCTATGTCAACCTCTGACCCCTTATAAGCCTGACCACTGCCTAAGGTCATCTAGCAGGGCCCTAGCTGTGGTTTGCCTGAGACAACTGAGCATTTGCAGTCAAGGCTCTGCTGCTTCAGGACTCTGTCTGCTTGTATAACTGATTTACAAGCTCTGAAGTTGCAAACCCAGTTTTATGTGTTTGAAGTTCTCTAGAATTTTTTTTTTTCATTTCAACACAATGTCCCACATACTGTGGTGACACCGTGACTGTTAAAAATGTCAAAATCTCTGTGAGGACCTTGAACCTGAGCCAGCTATTTATCAGCTATCTGAAGATGACAGCAAGGTGAAGTGACAAGAAAGGAGCCAAATTCACCGTATACCCATGAGCCAATCTCCTTCTTATTACAGCCCCATTTCCTTGTAAGTCAAACCTGACAAATGACTTGTTGCTCAGCTGTAGAGCAGGTTTGCTGAGAGGCCAAATCAACAAACATCAGAGTCGCGGCACCTGAATCCTCCAGACAGGTGTTGTCAGGTTTTGTGGCTCAGACCATCTTTTGAAAGTGAAAGCGCTTGTTTGCACAATAGCATGGACTGACAGGCTGTTTGAAGGCTGATCTGACTTGTGGCTCGATCTATATTCACACCTGTTCACACCTGCTTATTCACATGCAAACAGAAGACACGCCTTCTAGAAAAATGTCAATATCCTGATGTTATTTGTGGATGTTTGTCTTTTACAGTTTAGACAATGGAAAATGTCTCTTCGGTGGAGCAGCCTGCAGCGAGTGTTGTGGGGTAGTGCCGCGCTTTCCATCCTTATTGGTCCGGAGTTAAATGTGCAGAACTGTATTTGTTCCATACTTTGCAAATGGTTTATTTACTGCAACAACACCCTGACAAACTTCTACAAGACCATCAAAGCTGTCACCGGCGTTGGCCTCTTTTTACCTGATGAAGCTCTGGCTCAAAGCATCGTCATTCAATGGCAAGTTTGCGAGTAAGATAGTGTGCAGGAATTGGCTTGCACTTTTGGAGATATTCCTCCGGGCACTGTAATCTAAATATGTGAGGAATTTTTCTTCTTTAAAAACTTTCTTGGAAATAAATTCCATCCTTGCCTAAATCACTTTGCGCTTCAGGCAAATTCAGCCAGAAAAATGTGATAATGTAGCAGCATTCTTCTTTAGCTAAAGTATCTGAGGCATGTGCTGATGATAGATTTTCCAGAGGTTATGAACTTTTATATACTTATATAGTTATATATTTATGATGTTGCTTTTATATATTGAATTTGAATGATTCTAGTCAAACTGCAGAATCAGAAGGAAGATCCTGAGAAGCTGACTTTCAAGTCATTTAAATTAAAGTGTAATTCAGACTGCTCGAAACACTCAGGCAACACAATCTAGCGCAATCAGAGCACAATTCTATATATTCAGTATGCTGAAAAAAATATAAGGGGTACAGTAATACAATTAATGGTTTAGTACATTTCTCCTTTTGGTCACAGTTTTTAGTTTTGCAGAACCAGTGAAGGAGGAAAAAAGCTAGTTATCTAAATCCTTAAACTATTTCTTCATTTGACTTTAAAGCACTAAAAAAATACTTTAAGATATATAAGTTAGATACCAAATTAAAGTAAATAAACACATGCATTATGCCAAGTACAGGCCAATAGATTAAATCACTGAGTGTAAAGGCTCTACTGCTGTGATTTGATGCATATAGTATGACTTTAATTCATTTCATGTCTTTGGGGACATAATATAACAATTTTAAATGCTTTAATCTACTTCTACTTGAGCTGAGGATCTAAACTGATCACAGAGATCATTGTCATGTTGCTATAACAGAAAAGACAAGACAGTGCTTTTTTAGCCAAATTTGAGCTAAATCTTTGACATCACCCAGTCCTGACAGGTTCAGCTTTGCAAAGATATGGTGATCTAGACAGGTTAAAATAGAGACACTTTAAATTCTGACTGTGAAACCAACAAACCGGATTTTTACCTCCGCCAAGAAGGTTATGTTTTCGGTAGCGTTGGTTTGTTTGTCTGTTAGCAACTTTACGGAGAAAGTTACAGACGAATTGACCTGAAATTTTCACCAGAGGTGCGTCTCAGCCCCAGGAGGATCCCATTACATTTTGGTGGTGATCTGGATCGCCTTCTGGATCCAGGAATTGAAGGATTCTTTTTCATTGTGAGATAGGGAAAATTTTGGAATTTTTGCATTTAACTCTATAAAAATGGCCAGAGTCTTTAGTAAAAAAATTACACAAAGGATCTCAATGAGTTTTATGAGGTGTCAAAGGTTGATCCTGATCCAGACAAAATTCCGGATACTGTGATCCAGAACACACAAAAATAAGGGTGTAGTTGGAATTTTCAATGCTGAAAGATAACCAATGAAGATACAAGGAAGTAAACGCTTACAAATATTGCATAATAAATCATGCATTTATGTATCTAATATGATCTTTGTTGTTTTAGGGACATTATGAACAGTGAACATACCAGTTTAAATTCAAATAAAAGTTAATAAAAGACACGTAACAGTAAAATTTTTGGTGTGAATCACAATATAAGAGGGGACATGAGCTGCTTGGCGGAGGTCTGCACTCTACGAGTGCTTTTCTAGTTTTGTTTAGGTTTCAGTCCAATCCTTGAGAAAGAGTTTTGCAAACCCAGCATGTGGTCTAACAAACAGAACTGATTCAGGGGGCTTTTCAATTCAATTCAAAAAACTTTATTTGTCCTCAGGGGACAATACTGCAGGAAAACTAGTTCTAGCTAAACAGATCGATCATCAAATTTACTTCTTGGGGTGACGAAGCTTGCCATTGACTGTTGATCTTTGGACAGCGCCACACTTTCTGCTGTATGCCTCGCTCTCAAATGGCTGTGCATACTTGTTGTTGATTTGTGATATGCTAGTTTAACCTTGCAGAGTTTGCACTGCACTTGATTTCTGTTTATTTTCTCGAAGGAGCTCCACACAGAACTTTTAGATGCATGTGTAAGTACCTGCATGTTTGTATGATTTGCAGCATTACTGGCGTGACATTTAGGGCTCTATTTTCGTTCCTCGCTGGCGGCGTGGCGCAGGCGCAGCGTAAGTCAGGTCCGCCACGCCGACAAGGCATGCCCAAGCACATTTTGGTATTTTGGTGAGCTGCGCCCCCTATGTATGCCCCCTCCCTAACTCAGCTCCTCCCAGCGGCGTAAGTCGTAGAGAGGGAGGAGAAAAGGCGTGGAGTGGGTTTAACACAGCCAAGACCTGTATTGACCAATCATATCAGCTCCTCTCCTCACCTTTAAATCCGGCACCGGCAAGGCGTATTACAATTTTCAAAGAGTCAAGTCAAAGAGATCAAGAGATGGTTAAAGACAGCAATGCCACACGATGGCGACAGAAGGCAGCCCCTCCACAAGTGTCGCTGTAAGCGCTGCAGAGGGCATCCTGCACACTTTCTCAAAGGGGGATTTGGTGTGTGTAATGTTGGACCCACCAGTAAGACAAACACCCTTTCCACAAATAAAGACACTCACATAAAGTTGCATATATTCAAACCTCACGTGACAAAGGTGGGTTGTGTGCACAGATCACAACATAAATTCCAAAAATGGCATTAAAATTGGATACACTTGTGCGTAATGGACACATCACCCTCCGTGGCCTGGCTCTTTCTTTCATAGATGTTGGCATATAAAATGATTTTAGCTAACACAACTGAATATTATAATATTCATATGTAAGCCTAACTCCAGATTGAATATTCACAGAATTTTAAGGATGTGAGGACATTAGAAAAACGGGTTATTTTAAATGAAAGTTTCTTTAACTTTTTTGTTCAAATTTTAGAAGTAAATAATTCATCTTATCACTAAAATAAACCATCTATTCAGCCTTGCTGCCGCAGCATCAGGACAGGGAGAGGACACGGGGACATGTCCAAGTCAAGCTGTGCGAGAAAAAGGAGGAAGAGAGAAAGGGGGACAAATTAAATATCTTGTTAACTTCATCATGTGTGACTGTTTACTGGGTATTTAATTTAATGCGGTTTCAGCTGTGTTGATTTGGTCAGGTTGAGTGTCCAAATGCACTCATCAGATCAGATATAGATCAGAATATATCTATAGACCTAAATGTATGTGCTGACTCAGATTATTAGTTGTTGTTGATTATTTATTGCACTGAAATGTTCCTGACACTGTGGAAACCTGCCAGTGAGGCATCGGCGACGTATGTGCACTACGCCTCCGGTCTACCAAAATATCACTAGACCAATTGCACTCGCTGAAAAGCTGACCAGGTTTGAATCGGCGAGCTTTTAGTGCACTTTTCACGTCGCTCACGAGCACGAAAATGTCACTGCACCAGCTGATTCTGTAGACACCTCCCCCTGCTGCACCACCACGCCCAGCTTGGCGGACCTCGGTACGCTTCAGTCTTCGAAAATACCAAACTGGCTGTGCACCGGGCTCCGCCAGATGAAAATACCACTGCGCGGGGTCCGCCACCGTCCACTGCACCGCCGGTAGGCATGAAAATAGAGCCCTTAGTGTTATTGCATTATCTCCAGATGCCAGTAAAACGCCTTTTCTTTTGTTGTTGTTAAAAACAAAACCATTGGTGCATGAACTATTCTATTTTTTGAATGTAATGACTATTTGAATACTCGAAAATCTATGCCCATCCCTAGTGGAGGCCATCTGTCCTTATTGTAGGTCCATGTCTACACGCCTGTCCATGTTAGCCATTGGTCCAGCTGGATATTTATAGGCCAGTTTAATCCAGACAGAGCCAACATACAACTTTATCAAACTATCTAATATCACAGCACTCTAAAAGATCCCATCTAACCTTTGTTCTTGGTTACAGTCAAGGGATACAGCAAGAAGGTGGGCCAGTTAATCAGAGGCACAGCACAGCTAGTAGCTGGAAGCTGTATTACACCTAAGACACAGCATTTACCAAGCATTGCGGACCTTCAATGATCACGTTCACTGGCTCTTTCTAGCCGTAGTGATAAATGTTTGTCTAGCTAAGTGTGTACATCCTGACAGAGTATACTGTTAGTTTGGTGATCTCATAGATATTGGTTTGTTTTCATTGATATGTTCGCAGTGATAAGTAGGAGCATTCATTGAACAGCATTCTGGCTGTCTGGCACAGTTGTGTAAGAAAAGGAAAAATAAAAAAAAAACACTTATTAACAGGTGAACCACTGAGTGTTTGGAATAAACATGATTTATATGTAGTGTGGTAGACAAAGCAGGTAGCCAATATCTGTAGATCATGTCTGAACAGATCTACTTACCTTTGGTTGCGATCCAATTAATCCCTCAACCTGTTTGTTTTTCATCAGGGTTTCTTTTGCAGGAATGCACTTATCCAGCAAAGCTTTGACTCATAGCAGTTTCCAGTAGATCAGGTGATAAGTAATGATAACGACTGCTGATTGACTCACTGCTGATGTAGTTCAGGGAAAACACATGAATTTGAGTCAGACCTGCAGGGGTCTGAACAGGTATTGCGTTTTATGCTGAGGATTTGTACACTGTCAACTGAAATGTATATTTGTTAAGGCTTGTCAGTTTCCATATTGGATACTAACAATAGTTCTCTTGATCAGGTTTGCAGAGGTTTTGGGGAAAGAATGCCAGGCAGGTTGGGTTGATGAGGCTAAATGCTCTGTGAAGGATCAAGAGGAAAAAAAAGCTAACGTTCTATTGAAGGATGTCGCTCCAGGCTGAAGGTTGTGAAATGTGGTGTAACTCTTTGTTCCTGTAAACCAGTTCAGTTCCTCACCAAACTTTTATTCCAGCCTAAATCAGACTTGTTTTTCAAATATAAGACATGTTGAACATTTCTTTTTACCACTTCGGGGCACAGTAGTTGTTTTTTTCACTTTACTATTTCATCAGATTAAGGCCGGACATCTTGAAAGTAGTTAAACTTAAACTAGCTGTAGTTAAGCTCACAGCCCCCAGATGCCTGCTCAAGAGTACTGCTGAAAACCACTCTACTCATTGTTTATTTCTATTTTAACTACATGGTTTGAATGCTTTTAGTGAGGAAGCCCCTGTGTATAACTCAGCATTGCATGTACTTGTGAATAAAAGTCTTATGTCCAAAAGCGTGAGACAAACTTAGCTAACATTAGTGTCAGCTCAGCCTGCAGCCCCCTGACGATTTTAACCTAAGAGCACTTAAATCAGTTGGTCTAAACTGTTTAATTGCTGTCTCTTCTTGTAATTAGAAGTCTTTTTAATTGATCATTTGATCCACACACTTTCAGGAAGCAGCTTTGTTTTGTTTTGCGTGATTCATGCAGTTGTGACGTCCATATTTGCATGTTTTGTAATACACAGTCTGTTGTGACATAGCTAACTTGCACAACCAGTTATTGACGAGATAAATTAATACACGCTGTATCATTTGCTCTGGTCAATTAACTAAATGATTCACAGGAATGTCTGCCCTTTGTGCTGCTTTCTTTTGTGCCTGATGCTGCAGGTTAAGAATAACATCTGCCCTCTTAAAGTCGACTTCCTTCTATAGTTCTATCGTTGACAGATCCATCAACGGCCAATTGAAACAGAGGCTTAAATGCATTTGAACCATACCTGTCAATGACTTAATTACTAACCCACAAGCACTTAGGGTTTGTCTCGGCTCCTGTTGTCTCACAAGGTGTTTCTCAGTCAGGAGTGACTGAAAGTAGTTAAGTAATAGCTTGACACGGTTGTGTTCACTGCAAATGGAACATGCAGCTAAACAGAGTATATATAGGTTGATAAAATCTCTTGTCTTTGTGAAAACTTCTCCAGCAAGCTCTGCTCCGACTATTGTTGTCTGTGTTGTCTGGGAAATAATGAGTCTGCCACCAGAACAACCTGAAATACATCCTTCACAAGATCAGCTCCTACCATTTCTACACATAACATCCTGTTTAGTGTGTCAATCAAAATGTGGAATAAGAATTACGGTTAGACACCTTATATGTTTGCCAAATACTTATCATTAAATTAAATGAAGACTCCCTGTTCTGACCCAAAACAAGCTTATTAGCTTGTTTACGCTGTAGGTTTCTGCACCCACAACGACAACAACTACCAGGATGAGCAAAAAAACAGACTGAAAATCTGCCTTGCTTAATTTGTTTGCATAAGTCTCTGTGACAGCATGTGCATGTTTACATTTTACAGTCATGTGACAAACAGACTCTGCATGTAGAACAGTAAGGTCTGTGTATGTGTGTATGTGTTTGAGGTAGGAGATGCTGCTCTTAAGTCATATTTAATGGATGTATATTTTGTATCAGTGCTGATGATCAGACTGCTTATGCAGATGACCAACATGCATTTTCAACAGTCTAACAGTCTGTGGTTCAGCTCCGAGTGTTTTATTGAAATATGGTGATTCTGCATTGATTGGCATTTTACCAGACAGTCATACATTGGTTTATCTTTATTGCTTTGATTGTCTTAAACGTGTTGCTGATTTGCAGAGCGAGAACATGTCAGAACCTTTTTGGATCACGACTCCAAATGTCACCTGTTGCATTATGTAAAAAATGGACAGGATGTGAAATGCAATGAAAACAGTCTGCAGAAAATGTTAAAAAACTCTGGGAAAAGTGTGTCTTTCAGCCAAAATGGGCACATGGGCTGATGCAAAACTTGAGACACAAGAAAAAGCCTTACACTGAACTGCTAAATTAGACTGGGTATCAGTTCCAGCTGATAACCCTGGTCCTGACAGGCTGTTTTGGTGTGTATTGTGTACCTGAGGACTGTTTGAATTGTACTTTGACAGCTGTGATACTGCTGAGTTTGTTGATTCAGTGTGTCACTGTTATTCCAGTCATGTTTGTCATTATTCGCTGCTTTTCAATAGTTCCAAAGCAATGAGTTCATTGAAAGATTTGAGCCAAAACTGTGGCTATAAAGAGTGTATAATGCACCAGTCGTAGCGTCCTGTATATTGCTCTTATGTTTCTGTTTTTGTGCTTCATGGCTGTCAGTTTATCAGTCGGTTTATTAAATTCTGAAGACACTCTGGATGGTCCTGTGTGGCATGCTGAAAAGTGCTCAGGATGGTTGGGTGTTAACTCCAGTGCAAACACTTTGTGTTGCCCCTTTAAGCTGCAGTGGGCCTTCACTCACACAGCCATTAAAATAAAGCAGGGAAGGAGCAAATAAGCAGGTAGGATGTAAGCAAACATGACCTGGATTGGAGCATGAAAGTGGCACTTGCTGTTAAACCTCTGGATTTCTATATTGAAAGGTGATACCGCCGACTGTACTGGAAAGTGCGCATTCATGCTGAGAATCAGAGTTTCTGCACAAGCACATCTCCAGGTCTGTAAGAGGAGGGGATTTCAGCAGAACTGTTGGCTGACTCATGTTTTTCCAAGTTAATAGACGTTGTTTTTTGTGAAAGGTATTTGAAGAATACCACAGTTCACTGTTTTAACAGAAAAACTCTGAGTGATTTAAGGGGACATGCAGTTATACCTGTCCAACTTCTGTGCCTCCAAACTCATGTGTCACTACTGTTTTACATTTGCATAAAACAAAACAAGACAGGGTTGCTGATTCCTTTATTAGTTTGTCAGAAAAAAATATTCTATTTGCACATAATATTGCAAAAGCTTGGTGTAAACTTGTAATTCAATAATTTTATACATCTACTTCTATGCTGAGAAGTCCCTGAGGTTAAATGTTAGAAACAAACACCCGTAAAAGTAGTCCACATAAAAGTTGTTTTCCAGATTTTATAGACTTGGTATCCTGCAGGGTCTCTATTCCAAATTGACAGCTCAGTACCTGTCGAGATAATAATGCCATCATGCTTTGAAGGGAATTTACTCGAAAAAGAAAAAGCTTGAGGATCAGAAACTGGAGCTCCTTTTTATTAAAGCTCCTTCAGTTGTATTTTGACGGTTTAAAGAGAAGCAGTTGCTGAGAGATTTGTGCAGGCTGTAGAAACCAGAGAGGCATTTTATTTGCTCTACTCCCGATATTGAAGGTGCAGTGTGTTGCTTTTAGTAGCATTCAGCTGCCATCTTGCACCTCCATCTTTCTACTGTAACACAGAGGGGACAAAGTAGTAACATGCAAGCTTTTCTATTGAGAAAGCAGCTACAAAAATGCACCAGCTGGAAGTTTTTGTGCAAAAAGAAATTTCCTTCATGATGTTTCTGATGGTAAAACTTGTCAAATGGGTATCATCTTTATCATTCATTACTGGAGCTTCTGGTCCTTAAAGATGGGGTAGGGAGGATCTGAGGAGGTGCCAGTTTTTGGGGAGGAATCTTGAATGTAAACACTAGCCCTCCCAACCAGTTTTCCCCTCAGCTCCTCCTCTCCCCTCCCGCTCTGCTCCAGCAAGCCCCGCCCATAAACAGCATTGGTGCTATTAGGGCTGCACGATATATCGTTTGAGCATCGTCATTGCGATGTACGTGTGTGCAGTAGTCACATCGCAGAGCTTGCGATGTCTGAGGTGAATGACCTCATCTAATTTCAAGGGTAACTGACTGAGAAACACGGCATGTGACTCTGCATGTGCTGTGCAGCGATCCACCAATCACCTTCGTTCTTTACTCAGTTGCCAATCAGACTACCCTGCCAGCTGTCAATCAAAATCAGAGAGGAGGAAACCCACCCCTGCACATGTTCTGCACATGGAGTGAGTCGCTGGCGCTATTGGAGTTGATCCTAGAAATGCGTGTCTACATATGCACTACATTTTTGTCAGTGGTTACGTTTTGAGAAAAGGTTAAAAAAAGACGTTTTATTTTCAAAGTAAATTTAGATGAAGTTGTCACTGAATAAAAAATCAAAAATTGAGTTTTCAGAAAAAAAAAAATTGGATTTTATATTTGGCCAAAATCATGCAGCCCTAGACTAGACGTCATCAGTTTTTTCCATTTCTGTGAGGGATTCATTGGATTTTTGCACATATCCAATTCTGCAATATTTTCAAACTCATTTTGACTGATATACCAACATAGATACCAATATATGCCATGTTTCTTTCCTGTAATAGAACTTGCCTGTCATTCAGTCTATATGTTTAAGAAATACCCTTAAAACAATATAAACATTTGATTCTTAGATACATTTATTCCTTTTAAACATAGACATTCAATAATGTGTCTGTAATATTTACAGCACTTTGCCACATGTAGACTGTCTTGTGCTGTGCTTTACTTTTTTCCTGTAGATGATAATAGCTGCAGAATTTTGACTAATTTGTCACCAGTACTGAACTTTCGAAGCTATTATCTGCTGATACCAATACTATTCCAATATTATTGTGCATCCCCAGTTTCTGCACACTGAACCTCTGAACAGCTGAGTCTGATAGAGCTATGATGTAATTTTAACAGCTAAAAATTGCAGCAGGAAAATCATTCGAAAGCTGTTTGGTTTCAGGCAGGCTTAAGTCAAAAATGCGTGAACTAAAAGTGACCACAGTGATGACTTGAAAAATATACTGCCATCATACAGCTTTAGTGTCAGACTGGAATTGGGCTTTTAGTTTATTGACTTTGAGTCAATGGATGATGAAAAGAATTCCACAAAAGAGAACATAAGATAAAGTAGATTCATGCCACTTAAAGATATTTTCCTAAAGTCAACATGTCAGCTCTGAGATCTGCCATATTAATATTCTCCTGATCTTATAACATCACAGCTGTCTCTCAGAGTGAGTTGTAGTAATAAAATACTGCATGCATGTCATTTCTTCACTTTGACTTACTTTCTGAAGTTTGATCCCATATGTTCAGCTGTAGTTTTATTTAGGAGTATAATGAGGTCTGACTTTGCAGACACTTGAAGGTCTTCATGAATATGTTGACTTGTTTCCTTCTGCACACCATGACACTCTAGTGGAAGTGTACTGTGGTGGCTACAGTCTGCTGGTTGTTACAGACCCGCCCAGCATCTGGCAAACAGTCGTCCTCGCTGAAATTGATCCAGCCACTCCCTAACGCACCCTAGCTCTGACAAACAAGCATTATGTTTTCAGTGTGAAGCCAATTTATATCTCCAGGTTATGTATTGATCCACTTCATAAATGTTTGATAAACATGTCATTTATTACTTTGCATAACATTAGACCTTTAAGCCCTGAAGACAAATGAAGACTTGTTAACACATGACTAGGAGATAATAAGACCAAATGCAGAGTATGAGCCTCCTCTGTTTGCTGCATGAGCCTCCTCTGTTAGCAGCATGAACCTCCTCTGTTAGCAGCATGAACCTCCTCTGTAAGCAGCATGAACCTCCTCTGTTTGCTGCATGAACCTCCTCTTTTAGCAGCATGAACCTCCCCTGTTTGCAGCATGAACCTCCTCTGTTTGCTGCATGAACCTCCTCTGTTTTTTCTGCTTCAAACATCAGCTCAGCTCCAACTTTCCTACTGGGCACCCTGACCTTGGAACAATTTCCATCAGGCAGGAGTCCAGCATTGTCCAGTCTGTGTGTCAGCATTGGTTGTTAATGTGTAAAGTAGTAAAGTTACAGCTCCCTCTTTCAGGTTGCTCCTGGTTTTCAGTTGTCTTATATTAGAACTGGATATCCTCCATAAACAGCCTTCAGTGACTCATTACACCCCTCATATACACAGTGAAGGGTGAGTCAGTTGAATGCTTTCCATCCCTTGTTTGATTGTATCCAGTAGTTCAGCTCTGCAGATCAGTCTGTAGAGTTGCTGAGCTCTCTGAAAGCTGTTTGTCTTATTTGTCTGATTGTTTCTGGGAAATGAAAGATGACTTTTTGTTAGTCTTTTCCTTTTCCCCGTAGCAGCATGTTGTAACAGTGGAGTTGTAATTTCTGGGGAAGGTGGAGAAGCTGCAGTAGAAGCAGAGATGTTTTGATATCAGCGTTTTTACTGGCTTTGAACATTGTTTGAAACTTTGCTTTTGTCTTCCAGTAAATTATGGAGCAATGATAACGAATATCTACAGTGGCATTCAAGCAGACAATACTTTGCTTCGAGCCATAAAAATGCCAGCTCTCTGTGTTTTTTTTTCTTCCCTAAATAATATCTGGAGTTGTCCAACAAGTCACCAAACTGGACTGGATAAATGCCAGTATACTTATAGGTTTAAGTATCTAAATTTAGACCTAGAAGAAAAAAGATATGAGAAATGTTTTTAAAATCATTCAAATGGAAGTAGTTCATGATGTTTGTATATGGAACTAGTCCAATACAGAAGTGGATGTCTTCCATCACGCTGTGATACATAAGTTTGTTTTGAAGAGCATTTAATACATCCAACAAAGCTCAGGGTGATCTAGAAATGTTCCCCTCACATAGTCTGTCCAGCAGAGCAAACAAATCTAGTACACTGAAAATGGTTTTACTTATTTTTACACCTGTAGTTTCTAACATCCAGTGCCCTCTTGCAGGCTCTCATCCTGCATTTTTGAGTTTTCTTTCTTTTTGACAAGTCAGTGAATTTAAATTGTAGTTAGAACAACATAGAACTGAGTCAGTTTGTAACATCCTGAGCCGCCAAATTTTGGTCTCAAAGATCTCATGTTAGTTGGGTTTAGGTTGACAGAAGTTGGTTCATGCATGTGCAGGGAAAATGTTTTTTTTTAGACTTGATTTTAACCCTGCAGATGTGCAGTTTGATTGGTGCAGACGCATACCAATCCAAATACTTGCAGAACTAAAGGTAATTCAAATCCATGGTCCCCACATGGACCAGATAATGGGAAAGCACCAGCCTTTGCCACTGAGACGTTGGTTTTCCTGAACTTACTTTCTCAACAATTCACCGCCAAACACGCTGAGTTGAAATTCGTCTTACATCTATGTTCCGTTTCCTGCTGCGAGCTCAAACTGTGCCACCTGTGATCATCTGTGTGTGAGTGTGTGTGTGTGTGTGTGTGTGTGTGTGTGTGTGTGTGTGTGTGTGTGTGTGTGTGTGTGTGTGTGTGTGTGTGTGTGTGTGTGTGTGTGTGACAGAAGGGGTTGGAAGGGGAAGAACACAGAGTGCTCTCATTGAATAAAAGTAAAATGTGTCTTCTTTGGGGAAGAAATGCCCATGAACTAAAAACAGGTCCTCTCCTGTCCTTATTCTAAAAAGAAGAAACACAAATATGCATAAACAAAGTGATCTGGAAAGCCCAAGACCTAAAAGTGTGAACTTCAGCTGCCCTTTCACATTTAGCAGCTTCAACTTAAGCTTAAATCACATTTCCAGCTCTGGTAGCATTCACTCTGAGAATGTAGAACAGCAACATTTCAACATTACGCAGCATTTCTCCAGAGTCTCTTACTCTCATTCATATGTTGATTGTTTTCAGACAAAGAGACAGCATAGGTGAGCTCAGGAGCATCTAGACAAATAATTTTTCCTAAAGCTTCCTTTTCTTCTCAAACAGATCCTTTTATCCCTGAAACACCAATCTTAACCCCCTGAAATATTTCCGGGCTGACATCAGTTTCCATGGTTTGTCGAAGCCATAACAGCAAAGAGTTCTCGTTAAAACCTCACACCTCTTTGTGTGCTTCAACAGTAGAGCTTTGTCTGCAACAAAAAACAGTTTCAGACATGTTGGAGCTGGTTCAAGCCTGCGCATTGACAGAGACCTGGAGGAACAGACTTCATGCAAATCGTTTGACAACTTTAAAAAGGACAGGTGTCATTCTTACAGACAGATTGTCCATTTGGATGCAGAGGTAGGAATTAGCTCTCAGAGAGAGCTGTGGATGATGACACTTGGATCTGAGCCGTATGTGCTCGCAGACATTCCCTCTCTTTCTGGTGTCATGTGAGGATCAGAGGTCAGAGGGTGCATCACTCACTTTTTCCCCTTCACACTAAGCTTCTGTTGAATTCACCGGCCATCAGAAAGCCCGCCCTTTTAAACCCAGCCCCAACTCTTTGATATGTAAGTCTTTATTGTATGTTTGATTTGACTTTAAAGCCCAGGTGCAAACCTCAGGATCACGGGCAAACCCTCAGAAAAATAAAGCTTTGGCAGGTGGCCTTTCATGCTGCATTTAGACCCTTTGAACTTATGAGAGAGTTTCTCATTCATGCCACTAAAAATACACAAATTCACTGACAGGATAATTATTTTTCAACTGCAATGTTAATGCAAGAATTAGCTTTATTTTATAAGATGTGTTCACACAGTCTGCATATATATTTTAGTGCAGATATACCAATATAAAACTTTCCATGCATATGGAGAGACAGACAGAGAGATAAAGAATCTGACAACTTTTCTACTATTTACAGCCTTCTCAGCATTGTATGCAGTAATGGGGGATGTGATACTGGGAAAAACTGTCATTAAGAGATGATATTTCTGTAACGTAACATCTGATACAAGATACCCTGCTTTTTGTTTGTATGCACCCTCAGACTGCATGATATGAGAAGAAATCAAAGTTTAGCTTAATGTAGACATCAGATTCTAGATTGAAACGCTCCTCTGCTCACCTCTCTTATCAGAGAGGCGATAGTGGCCTCCAACTCCAAGGACAAGAAGCTTCTGTGATTCACAGGAGGTATGATTTGTCATGTTCTTTTTTGTTTCCTCTGCATGGAAAAACAATTTTGCCCACCACATTCACTGAAAAATGTAGATGTTTTAGTAAAAAAAAAAAAAAATTCACTATTGCGGTCAAAGCAGTAAGAATTTGTAAAAATGTTTCCAAATCAGTCGAATATTCTAGCGCTACCTGAGACTAATTGTACAAAGACAAATCTTCCCTGCACTTATCTGTCTGTTTGTAACTCCAAAAAAACATGATGACACTTAGCCTGATACTGTAGGCACATCCTTCGAATGTCGCACTGGAGTGAAATCAGTTGAGGCCTGAAATCTCATGTCACTACACACATCAGTTCACATGTTTGAGTAATCCGTTATAAAACTTGATCCAGCAGCAGAATCTGGGTTAGAGCCTCCTGCTCCCCTCTCTGCACATGTTTCAGCCTGAGCAGAGCCCGGTGTCATTTAATCCCAGTATGTCTGTTTGATTGACTGAAAACAAGCTCCTGCATGTTTCTTTGAGAAAATAGGAAATCTAGATTCCTGTCAGACACTTATGCTCTAATAAATAACTTTGTTTAAAAATGTCATTTTTCAATCCATATTGAAATATTGTGTGTAGGCTTAGCTCTGCGGGTAAGCTGTGTCATATGAGTTTTCAATTTAAGCTTCTATGAGGAACGTCTGGTTAATGTCAATCCTGGCGCCCCCTGTGGACAAAGCAATCTTTCCTTACTTTGTCCATGACATGCTTTAGAGGTGATTCATTACAGCAAATCCCCCCCTGCAGACTTTTAACCGTCAGATGTGTCATTCATTGTAAATATATTTTATGAGGAAATTGAAAAAACATGGCTGTTTCTTCAACTGTGAGGCTTGGACCTACCCCCTCGTACTGGATAAGACAATAAGAATATGGGTAAAGCAATCTTCAGTTTTATCTCTTTTAGTCTTGTACATCATTAAAAGGCATCAGTGTGAGTTTCAGTCAAACATCTTATCACCAAACATGGGTCTGGTAATCTCACTAATTAATAGAGAAGCATTAATAGTGGACAAAGAGTGTAATGGAGTCTCCATGACAGAGTTAATGTCAACAACAATTATGCTCAGCCTTACATCAGCTGTATTACAAATGAAAAGAGGTGCAGCTCAACCTCAGCAGACTTAATCTTTCAGTGTACTCCTGGTACCTTTGACCTTCATTCAGAGTTCTCCACCATGACAAACAGACAAACAATATAGTCCTCTCAGAAGTGTTTTTTAGGATCCTAGGAATTTGCACAAGTGTCCTGGGCTCACCCAAACAATCCTCCCTGTCTCCTCGTGGAGCTCTGCAAAATGATACCCTTAAAGCTGAACATGATATTTGTCTCATGTTTTTAATTTTTTATTTAGCGCATTTAAAAACCATTATGTGGTTGTAATAACATCAACACTATGTGCCTGTTCCATCAGGCTGGAGAAGGTGAGGCCTGCACAAAGAATGTAAATATGTGCAACAGACAGTCCTCTGGATCTGCTGAGTGTTTCACAGTTTCAGAGTGTGGATTAATCCTCTCTGTAGACTGTGCTTTGGGTTATTGACATGGCCTCATAAAGCAAAGAACTGGGTACTCTATGCAACAACCCTTGGAAAGTTTGCTGCTCTGGGTGATCTTATAAACATTTCCAGTAATAAATACCAGAAAGTTCTCCAGCAGTTCAAGTGTGATCGCAGAGCGGCATTAAATAAACAATTTTCGCAGTGTTGGACGGTGTAGGCACATGGAGGTCATATCGTGTTCTGCATGTTTCAGTTTAACCTCCATCAGGACTCCACCTTAGATTCTGACTCCAGAGTACTGCCTCTTGTTTTCATTGTCTTTCCAGTGGCTCTGCTGTAAAACTTGTCTGACTCTGCCCCCTAGTGGGAGAAAAAAGACATTACATAGAATGTTGTTGGGGTGGTCTTGGGTGGCAGCTACAGAGAAACACTATCAAGATAATGCTACAGGTGTTTATAATTATGTGTTCAGTCAACAGATAGTTTCACAAATATAACTGAAGTTATTGTGGTAAAATGGTGATTAAAACCATTATCTCTCACTCATTGATAGGACAGTCCTCTGCTTAATTCTCAAGGATGTGTCTGTAGGGAGCTCAAAGGAAAGACTCTAGTCCTTTGCACTGAAAGGACTAACTTGATGTGGTTCAGGTATCTGATAGGAAGGAAGCCTCTCTTTGAAGGTCTTCAGGGAATGTCCAACTTGGGGAATACCCAGAACATGTAGGTGGGATGATATATTCCATCTGGCCTGGGTAAACCCCTGAATTTCCTCAGGGGAGCAGGAAAACCTGCAGGGGTGGGAGACTTTGGAGGAATTTGCTTTGCTTGCTGCTGCTGTGACTCAACTCCAGATAAGGGGAAGAGAATGGACGAATGAATAAGGCAATACATAAGTAAACAGTCTTTCTGCACAGTGGGTTGAAGACTTTTTGAACCATTTATATGCAAGGTTTAAAGTGCATGGTGCAAAGTGACTCAGTGGTGCACAAACACAGAGCAAAGGTGTTGGATTGAATCCTCTGAGTATATTTCTAAATGTGATTTTAAATGAGCTCTGAGATTTGACTGATATTTAACTGGTTGTTTGTCCTTTCCTTAAAGTCTCACTCCGGTGTTTTTTTTTTTGTTGTTGTTTGTTTGTTTGTTTTTTACTACTTAAAGTGTTCTCAGTGGTCTTTAAATTGGGATCACGAAGTTTCTACCAAAAATTGCATTACCTGTGTCGTTTTCAAGGGCTTTTCTTCTGCAGAGCTCCAGCAGCTCATCAGCAATATGCCTCTAAGTCATGGGCGGAAAAAGCAGTGCTCATGCTAGCAAGCAGGTCACATAGGAGATATTCAACTCTCAGACACTAATGTCTTTTGGGACACAATGAAAGTACGTATCATAGTTAGCTTTCTTACAAGCATTGCAATCCGCTAACGTACACACTTGTTCTGCGATCGTTCTCTGTATTTCTCCGCTATATGCAGAGTGTGGCCTGCATAGCAAGGCTCTGGGGGTGGGGCTTGGATTGGTTATGTAAGAAATCTCTCTGTTTCTGAACTTGCCATTTGGGTCTGCCAGAGAATACTCAGAAATGCAATTTCACATTTATTTTTCTTATATGTCCTGTAGCATCAGAAAAATACCATATGAACATGTAGACAACAAGATAAACATGGGGCTCTATTTTTGTGTCCACCGGTGAGGCGACGGAGGGTGGCGGACCCCGCGCAGTGGTATTTTCGTCTGGTGGACCCGGCATATAGCCAGTTTGGTATTTTCATGGACTTAGGCGCACCGAGGTCCACCAAGCTGGGCATGGTGGCGTGGCAGAGGGAGGTGTCAACAGAATCAGCTCAGTGACATTTTCGTGCCCGCCGGTGGCGTATAAAGTGCGCTGAAAGCTCGCCGATTCAAACCTGGTCAGCTTTCAGTGCAGGCGGAGTGCAGCTGGTCTAATGGTGTTTAGGTAGACCGGTGGCGTATCGGCATACGTCACCGATGCCTCACCGGCAGGTTTCCACAGTGTCAGGCACATTTTAGTGCAATAAATAATCATCAACAACTAATAATCTGAGTCAGCACATACATTTAGATCTATATAGATATTCTGATTTATATCTTATATGATGAGCGCGTTTGGCACGTTTTTGGATACTCAACCTGACCGAAACAACACAGCTGAAACCGCATTAAATTAAAAAAATATCTAGTAAATAGACACACATGATCAAGTGATCAAGATATTTAATTTGTCTGCCTCCTTTTCTTTCTTCCTCTTCCTCTTATTTCTCGCGCAGCTCTACCTGGACATGTCTCCGTGTCCTCTCCCCGTCCTGCTGCAGCTGCAGCTGCAGCTGCTGCTGCGGCGGCTGAACAGATGATTTGTTTCAGTGCTCAGATGAGTTATTTACTTTAAGCCTACACACGAATATTATAATATTCAGTTTTGTGAGCCAAATTTATTTTATATGCCAACATCCATAAAGAAGGAGCCAGGCCATGGAGCGCGATGCGTCCTTTACGCACAGATGGTTCCGATTTTAATGCCATTATTGGAATTTATGATGTGATCTTTGTGCACAACCCACCTTTGTTACATGAGGTTTAAATGTATGCAACTTTATGTGAGTGTCTTTATTTGTGGAAAAGGATGTTTGTCTTACTAGTGGGTCCAACATTACACACACCAAATCCATCTGTGCTCATATGAGAGAGTGTGGAGGATGCCCTCTGCAGTGCTTACAGTGACACTTGTTGAGGAGCTGCCTTCCGTCGCCATCTTGTGGCATTGCTGTCTTCAGACATCTCTTGATCTCTTTGACTACTTCACAAAAATAGTAATACGCCTCGCCGGTGGTGGATTTAAAGGTGAGGAGAGGAGCTGATGTTATTGGTTAATACAGGTATCGGCTGTGTTAAACCCACTCCACACCCTCTCTCCTCCCTCGCTACAACTTACGCCGCTGGGAGGAGCTGAGTTATAGAGGGGGGATACTTACGCCGGGCTGCGCCGCTCACCAAAATACCAAATTGTGCTTGGGAACGCCTTGTTGGCGCGGCGGACCTGACTTACGCCACGTCTGCGGCACGTCTTCGGCGAGGCACGAAAATAGAGCCCATGATCTTTATCAAAGTGGGTCTTAAAAGACCCTCTTCAAATGTCTCTGGGACTCTGCACATGTTTCTTTCATTTTTGATCATTAAAATAAATCAGAGGACTCCATCTACATAATAAAACACCTCTCTGAAATGACAGTGAGGTGTTAAAGCTCTCCAGATTTCACCAGTGTAGTGAAGATAAAGATAGGATCCTGATAAACTGAGATAGGGTACTGATAAACTGATATTGTTGCATGACACATTATTTGGTGATGTGCTGATGTCTGTTATGCGGGCTGATATTTGCCCATACTGATGTTAAACTGATATACAGGTGTAACTCTTTGTGATTATTCGATAAGTTCTGGGCGTATCATGAATCAAACCAATTGGTATGTCTGCTCTCTGTCCCTGTAAGAGCCAGGTGAGCCTGCAGGCTGGTGTGTTCCTTTTTACACAACATGATTGCTTTAGGTTACAAATGACAATGACCACTTTGCTCTGTGCTAAACCATCAGCACTTTGTAGAAGAACTAGCCTATGCATACATATATTGGTGCTTCTTTTTTGTTCTATGGTTAACATTTAATTATCCAAAATTTTAAGCCAAAGCTTAAAGTATAAGGTTTTCAAATCTATATGATTGTCTTAAGGTTTTAAAAAAATGCAAACATTGTGTTATTATCAGATTTTTGTCAATAAATGCATGCAGAATACTAAACCAAAGCTGCTAATCATGTCTGCAGGTATTTTAGAAGATACCTTGAAAGACTCAGAGTTTGCATGTTCTCCCCCCTGCATGTACAGCTTCTTTCTGTGGACTGGAGCTTCCTCTTACAAACCAAAGACACCCCTGTCAGGTGGTTTCCTAACTCTGAGATTGCCTCAAGGTGTTAGAGTTTGTGAATATTTTTTGTCCCATGTGTGATAGATTTGTAACATAACGCAGTGACAGTTTGGATAAGCTCCCCTTTGCATTATCTTTACTCCTGGGATAAGAGGGAAAGATTAGCTTTGTTTAGGTGTTGCTTTCTTTGTGCTCTGTGCTAGTAAACTCATTATCCTGTCATTGATCTTCACTGTCATTAAAGCCAGCATTGTCTTGGTGTCATTTAGCTGCTTGTTTGTTGTCTGAATGAGGTCAAAAGCCGTCTGTCATTCAACGAATGTCTCAGCGACCGCTCATCGCTCTAGTTCCAGACTGGGTGTGAGCTGTTCGCAAACTTCTCCTCCTGAAAAAGGACACGCCTCCTCTCCTCATGCCTCACATGTGTCCGACAATCCTCGCAGGCACTCTAATTGATCAGCATGTGTGGTTTGCTGCAGGGGAGTGAATGTTGTCTTTCAACTGTCATATTGTCTGCGTCCTCTGTGTGTGTTTTTCCAACCAGCTGAAGACAGAATAGGAAACGTCACTGCGGTTCAGATCAATATTAAGTGACTGTGCACGCCTGTGAACACCACCATGTTTGAGGTGGTTTCATATTTTTCTTAATCAACCGAAAGTGTTTAGTTCTGTTTCTTAATATTTCATCTTTAGTTTGGTTTACAAAATGAAATCAAAAGAGCAGCCTGTCATATCCCTTTTGGATAGGTTTTCATAAGAGGAGACTGAAGACTTTATAACCCTGTTAAACATCAACACTGAATATTGAGAGTAATAACAGACCAGTGAGTGAGATAACATCCTCTTTCTCCCACTCCCTCTCTCTTTCCTTCTCTCTCTCTCTCTCTCTCTCCTTGTTTCCTGCCTCTCTCGACCAGGAGCTACGACCAGATGAGTATTTCCACAGAGTGCAGTTTCCGCACTGAGTCGGACTGGGACCCTCACTCTGAGTCGGCCTCCATGATCAGCTTCGACATGAGTCAGCTACAGGGCCCCGTTTCTCCCTCGAAATTCTTCAAGGTTGGTTTTATGTCTTATTTTTACATATTTCAGGACAAATACAGAGAATAGCATGTGTTAATGAGCATGCATGTGCAAACATACTGTACAAAAGTACAGTATGTGCAGTACAGTGTTAGGACTGGCTTTTATTTCATGTCTTTGCTTGAACAGAGACTTTCAGCACTATTTACTTGTGTTGACATGTATTAGATGTTTAAATGAGATTTTGTATTTATATGTTTTTAATCTATCTCACTGTAAAATTCACACAGACAGCCTATGATTTCAGCTTAGACTTGAGCCAGTCATCAACATAAGGAAGAGAAAATACTTAATATGACTTTAATTTAAACAACAAACAAAGTCGATTAATAAAAAGATGTTAATGAGTGTAGCTGCACTTGTTGTTTGTGTGTTTTAGTTTAGGTTATTTGAGAAAAGTAATAAGGCAGTGGAATTTTTTTTAAAAGAGAGTGCAAAAAGGCTTTTTTATCCCATGAAAAGTTGGCAGAAGCTATGGAGAAATGAGACGTAACAAACAGTTTCAGTTTTGAGGATGTGGGTCATACCTAAGACGCACTAGAGCTAGGGAGTCTGAAAACTGTTTTGTCTTTTCTTTCTTTTGTTGTGAGGAAACAAGGCGACAGGGTTTCTTAAATAATACATAATACTTAAAAATAATACATTTGTTTTTTCACTCTATTTTTGTAAACTAATAGAAATTGACATGAACAGTTGTTGGTATTTGATCAATTCCTTATTTTGCATCGAAAGCTGAGCTGCACTGTTACCCAGATAAATCTTCTCTGGGTGGGCAGTTGATCCAGATGCAAAAAATCTTTCATGTTGCCTGTGTAACCTCCTCCCAGTATGGCTGAATTTCTAGGCTGTTGCAAAATAAGTGATAAAGTCTGCAGGCTATAAATAGTCTGTCTGAAACACAGAACCCCTTTAACCTCAGTTGTTTGCTTCATTTTACAATATTTTCTTTTTTTGGGACAATCTGTCTTGGTGTAAAAACTGGGGAAATACCAGACACTAAAATCAACAAAAAGGTTCTTACAGAGATGATGACACCTGTGTGTAGTGGTGAGACAACAGGTGGAGAGTGGATCTTACTAATCCTCACATACAGACCTGTAGTCTTATTACACACAGGTCATCAGCACAAATGTTCAAATGTGTAGTCAGTTTGCATGTCTCGAGCTCCGACGGGGACTTTTTAGTACCAGAAGGTACCAGAAGCACCTGAAACTCACATAACACTACACTGTACATGCACTGCAGGTGTAGTAGCTCAGAGTAAACATTCAGGGGCACATCTGCTCTGTCTGTGTAACCACAGTGTTAACCAGCATTAAGAGAGGAAGCTCAAACCAGAAAACACTCCAAAAATCTACCTCTGAACTGAGCTGAACTGATTTCTTGTCTCAACCTCCTGAAACCATGTAGTCTGTTATCACACCGTGAAATAAGCTATGTTTGTAGATAAATCATGAAAATCTAGAAACACACTTTTATTTTTCATGACTGGCGTAGCACTATGACGAGTTTCAGCTCATGTTGTCCGGTAATGTCATGGGAATGCTTGAACCCTTTGGTGATAAAAATCAGAGAAATAGTTTACAATAGAGGTGAACATGTAGAACAGACTCATACTTTGCTTTGTGTTTGTGCATTTTTGAGTTAGATTTGATGTTTATGCTGTACTGCACTACCTATTATTCCTCCATCTTATTTGGAAAAGTTACAGTCTTTCTCTTTGGTCACTCTTCACTTAATAATATGAGCACAATCGTCCTTATTAAAAAAGCGTATTTTCACATTGATATATTTTGTCATAGGTTATTTTTTGGGGCTTTCAGTGCCTTTTTTTAAAGAACTATTTCTGTGGACACAGTATGAAACTAGAGAGATATGTGAGCTACAGGTTGTGTTTGAACCAGACCACCTGCTTCTAAGGTGTGTAACCACAAAGCGAAAGCGGGTTTTTGTTGTTGAATTTAAACTGCAGTGAAGTTCATTTTCCCCCTTCAGTTTGATGTAGTGAACAGAGTCTCTCAGTTGTTTCTCTTGTTGTTTGTTTGTCTGTTTGTCTGTTAGCAACTTTACAGATAAAGTTACGGACGGATTGACCTATAATTTTCACCAGAGGTGCGTCTCAGCCCCAGGAGGATCCCATTAAATTTTGGTGGTGATTCGGATCGTCTTCTGGATCCAGGAATTTTTTGAAGGATTCTTTATCTTTGTGAGATAGGGCAAATTTTGGAATTTTTGCATTTAACTCTATAAAAATGTCCAGAGTCTTTAGCAAAAAATTACACAAAAGGATCTCAATGAGTTTTATGAGTTGTCAAAGGTTGATCCTGATAAAATTTTGGTGTGAATCACAATATAAGAGGGGACATGAGCTGCTTGGCGGAGGTCTGCGCTCTCCGAGTGCTTTTCTAGTTGACTATGTTGCAGGTAAGGTTAAGCGCACACTTCTAAGCACCTAGTGTCAGGTTTTTGATAAAGTCAGTAAACAGTGTGAAACAAAGAAAAAGTTCTTTAAAACTTTTGATGGCTCGTTTGTGTGGTGAAGTTAGAACAAATGTGTGGGGTTGCTTTGACTGTAACCGACTGGCGCCTAATCACGGGGTCCAGAGTTATGGGTCACCTGACATGGGGCAGCTGTGACTCAGCAGTAGAGTTAGACGACTCCAAATTGAAAGGTCGGGGGTTCACTCCCAGGTCCTGCTGTCCACATTCTGAGGTGTCCTTGGGAAGACACTTGACCCCACCTGCCCCCGCTGGCTGCTCAGTGGTGTGTGAATTACTCCAAAACTGATGAGCTCTATACACAGCAGCCTCTGCCATCAGTGTGTGAATGTGGTGTGAACAGGAATGTGGTGTGACATGTTACGTGAAAGTGCCCAGAGTGCCCAGAAGACTAGAGAAAGAGAGATATAAACATAAACATTCACCATCTACAAATAGGGAAGACCGGGGCTTGTTGACACATGGGTAAGTTGTCACATTGCAATTATACTAGTTTTCTTCCTTTACATGGTCAGGGGTCATGTTCTGTCTTAGAGGAGAGGGGTACTTTGTGGGCTCAGATGAGCGCCAATTAACCATTTTGCACAACCCAAAGAAAAAAAAAAGTCACCTTATATATTTAAAAATAAGCTCCTACCAGATAAAAATCCTAGCAATGATACATGTGGTTTTGTTAAAGGAGAGATTAAGGAATCCTTTCATACCTCAGTCATTGTTCTGTTTTAAGCTAACTTTAAGCTAGAGCTAAAGCGGTACTGCAAAACATTCACCCCAGCCGAAATACAGAGTCAGACAGCTCTCCAAACTCCAGAGCATGTAGCATAATATTTTATGTTAATGTTTGTTCAATGGCTATGTTCAATGACTTTTTCTAGCTCAATGATCAAATTTTTCTGTGCCTGACTATGATGTTCACTTTCATGTAAAAAAATGAGAACAAGAATAACTTTGTCCTTGTTTTATTAGCTGCAAAATCCACTGTGATATCTTACCCCATGTAGTGAGATAACTTACCCGATGGTGGGGCAACATGTCACATGTTCACACTCTTTATTTGATTGCTTATAACTCTGCACTGACACAAGCTATGAAAATGACATGACTATGAAATATATACCTGATACATACCTTGGTCTCTTATCTGGTACACATTTTTTTATGAATGATGTATTGATTTTAATAAATGTATGAGTGTAAAAAGTGTGACAACAAGCCCCGGTCACCCCTACTTATATACAGCTGATGTAAAGACAAGCTAATCACACATTATCCCATCAGATAATGTGATAAATAAAAAGAGTATAGAGATTTTAAAGCACTTTTTTCTCTGTCATGGCATCTCAGATTATTTTATACTGTAATAAAAAAACTGTAAAAAAAAAACCTCAGTGAAATTACCTCAGTGATGTTCACTTTGGCGCCCTCTGTAAACAAAGCAGCAAAGACAGACTAGAGATAAAGAGGTCCTGTTGCCATTAAAAAACTCCCTATCTGCATGCAGTAAAGCCCTTTATTTTTGCATGGCCAGGTGGCAGTGCTGGCACACATAAAAGGGATATTTCAGCATTTTTGAAGTGAGGCTGCATGACTTAAATGCCACTTGTAAGTGCTTTAGTCTCAGTGGATGCCAGTCAGCTCTGGCCTTTTACTGGAAAATGTTGGCAGAAACAGAACACTGGGGATTGAACCGTTTTTCAGCAGACCGGGCCACCTCTGGCATGCAGTTTAGCTAATTTTGTGAGACTTGAACTTAGGTGTTTATCTAGGTTTAAGTTTACACTGTAGTCAGAACAGTAAACTGAGAAACTTCATATGTTTTTGCACTATTTGAAAAAAAAAATAAAGTTTTGCTGCTGTATGCCACAGTGTTAAATCCTCCCTGACAGTCTAACCTGTTGTTTGGAAACATATTTATGTATTCAGAAGTGTACTTCCCCTTTAAGAAAAGACACACGTAATCCTATGGGATCTGCCTCTCCTGGGGCTGTTTTCCATAGACTGAAACCTGTCTGACCTGCTCTCAGTGAGATTTATGTCAGTGGGAGACGTTGAGAAGTGAGGCTGGAGTTCACATGTTGATTAAAGTTTCCAGGAATCCAAGCAAATTTAATTCTTTGAGTGTCTAACAAAAAGAAAAACTGTTCAGATCTTCAGGGTGTGCAGTTACAGAAACACAAACATCAAGCTCCTCGTTGACACTTGCCTGGCAGACTTTAATGCAAATTTAATCAGCAGTATGCTGTCTGTGTGGGTTTTTATAGTCATTATGTGCAGCAATCAGAGAATGAAGCAAAGCTTTGGCTGACAGATAAGGAAGTGGGTTATGATTCGCACAGATATGGCAATAATAATCTCCACCTACCTGACATGTATCATCACAATGAGTGAAGTGCAAGGCGAATGCTTGGCAGAGAGTTAATAGAGGAGAGTCAGGGTTGAAGGAGGACATGACTTAGACCTACATTTGATTGAGGACACTTCACTGGTGGTCTACACTTCAGCATGTGGATTTATGAATGAGTCAGAGCGACTAAGAGGTACAGTAGCACTGCTTTTAGCTTATTTTAAATGGTCTGGGAGAGGCTGTTTATTTACAGGTTATATTCTGTTTGGATATAAACCGGAAAGCCTGCCTCTGACTGTCTAAACTAGCTGTTTGCTCGATGCAATTATTGAAATGTTTGAGTCTTAACAGGTTTTTAAGCAAGAAAAAGTTCCTGTTTGGAGAGTTCTTTATGAATATACAGATTTAACTCAGAGGAAAAGTAGAGAAATGTGATTGCACTTGAAGGATAGCAGCACCTTCTTCTCATTTCACTGTAAAGCTTCTATCTGAAGTGAGTGTGTGTTGCTGCTACAGGGTGAAATCTCTGTAAATAAAGACATAGCAGATAACAGATGTGCTATTGATTTACCAGCTTTAGAATGAGGAAGGGTGGGGTTTTCTCCAACATGTCTATCCACACCCTGCCAATATCACTAGATTCTTTTATGTTTCTCTTTTTTACCATGTGAACCCTCTTTCACAACCATTTTTTTACACTCTTTAACCGTGATGCAAAGAGCCGTGCCCTGAAGTCAGACACTTTATTCAGAGGTGGGACTTAAAACTGGAGACACACTCCGCCAGGAGGGCTGCTCACCTGCTTGTTTGTAGTCCACTGAAGAAGTAGGACACTGGATTTTATATTAAACTTTACGAGCACCTGTCCGACCTTGTGGCGTAAGGCTCAACCTGCTGTCTTAGAGACTTTTTTACTTAAGTCGTCTTTTGCAATCGCAGCATAAATGAGACACAGAAATAGAGAGAAATTGATCAGTTTAGTCTCCAGGAAGTCACAATGGTACGTAACTGTTTTTTTTCTCTTTGTGGTTCATGCTTCTTGTCCAGACATGTGCTCTTTGTATTGTCAGGTTTTGCAAGGTGTGTTTTGTGTTGGCGTAGAGCGTTTTTCCCGCTTTGTGCCAGGTCCTCTTGGCTACGACAGATACCCTTTTGAGAAGTTCCTGATTGAACTTATATGGATCATTTGGAAGTGTGTCATTGTTTTGTTTGATGATAGTTTTTAAATCTCTTTTGTTTGACTTAAGTCTGTTGTTTTGTTCATTTATCATCTGTAGAAACTCCAGTGACCCTTGAACTGAGGGTAAAGAAGTTTTATGTCTAGTTAGTTATTCGTACCACCTCTTCAGCCTGACTGTTTTAGATATTTATTGTTATTTATGAAAGAATTTGTTGATTCAGACTGATCAGTGTGGTTGTTTATTGTCTTTCTGCTCTCTTTTCTCTTGGAAAACTAGATCACTGTTATACTAATGTGTAAGTCTTTAAAAAGAGTTAGAAAACAGGATCCATTAAAGCTTCAGTGAGAAGTTTACGGGTGGCTACCAAGCAGACTTAGAATAATATTAGCGACTCTTGATGAGCAACAAAAGCAAACAAAGCCATTAGCATGAAGATCGGTGGTTTCTATATTGTTTACATGGAGAGACACAAGCTCCAATGTTGCTTTTGTTGCTAATTGAAAGCTCCTGTGAGCTGGCTTTGGCATCCCCTGTTGACAGAGCAGTGCTTGTTATGTCTTTGCCGAATTGGTTTTGCGCATGAATGTGTTATTTTGAGTCAATTTCAACAAAGAAATCTATGACTTAGTGGAAGTTTATGCCACATTTAATGTAAAAACAGAGTGTAGTTTGTTACTCTTACTCACAAAGGTATCAAGTGTATTTGTAGCAATATTAGGCAGATATATAATGAAAAGTAATTTGCAATGCCACAGGATGAATGGATACCAATGAAAAAAGAAGGCGTTTACTTTAACGATAACCTCATTTCAGACATAACTTCTGCCAGCACAATGAAACCAACTGACTGTCACAGAGGAATGTGTGAAATTAAATTCTTATCATTACTATTGTGTTGGATCACATATGATTGTGCAAGTGTACGTTTATACTCTATATTTCTCAGTCAGTAAGCAAGTACAATTGATTGATTTATTGATGTCTTTATTTTGAACATGTATAATAAAGTAAAAACAGCAGTTAAAATCAAAGAAAGATCAGATATTAACCGATCACTTCAGTACTGTCAATAAAAATTAATCATGTTCAATAGTTACGATCAGAAACTCTTGTGTTTGGGAGAAACCCTGAGTGCAGCAAAGCATGCATACTCATTGTCACATGCAACAAAGTGAGGGTTAAGGAGGAAGTGGACTGGCTGAAGATGGAAACACAACAAGTGCAACCATGGCAACCGTAGTAAACACAAAGCATAAACTGAGATGTATGTCAAAACTACAGAAGCAGGGTGTAAATTTATGTTCAAACTGATCATTTCCATTGATGGTACATCTGGACAAGAGAAAATGTGACTTTTCTGAAGTACCACAGCACCTCACTCACCTCTTCTGGGGTCCTGGACTCAAAACGGACCGATAAGAGTCAAGTGTCCCTCCAGGCTGCAAAAACAGTGTGTTCAGCTCAGGGGTTTGAATCTTTCCTCTTCTTTTGGACTCCTTAAGCATTAAAAATCTACAATCCTATTAAGTAACAACTTCCAAAGCAGAAATAATAACATTATCCTTACATAACATTCATGTTCGATGTGTGAAACATGCTGGATTTGCATTTGCTGTGTTTATTCTCTGCAGAAACTGAAAGCAGTGTTTCATAACCGTACATGTAGATGTACATGTTTACATCCTAAACTTGTGCCTATTTTTATACAAGCTTATCCTTTTTATTTAATGGGTTTGTAGGATTTTTAAAGTCATTTATTTACTTACTGCTTAATATAAAATATGTATTGAGCCAACCGGCATGTTTAAAAGAATTGAAACAAGGGTAAATGATGGTCTGTTTTTGCAAGCTTACTGCAAAATACTCTGTGGTGCATGGATGCTACCATCAATTACTTGGTTATTTTTATCAAAGCCACAGATTCAGAGTAGCATAAGTCTGACCCTGACAGTATTTCCTGGTTTTGTCTTCCAGAATTCGGAGGAGAAGAAAGGATTTTTTAACCGCTTCAGCCACTTCTTCAGCTCCAAGAGAAAGAAGAGCGGCAGCAGGCGGCATACGGATGATACAAGTACCCCGACATCCCCACTGTCCCCGTTATCCCCAGAGTCACCTCTGTCAGAGCTTGAGGCTGGACTAGAAACTCCAACTCCTTCTCGAAAAGACTTCGAGCTAACAGGACCTTATTATACAGATGCTAAAAGAGCAGCCGTGCAAGGCGACACTCTGAGCCAAGGCTCCAGTCCCAGCCTTTCAAGCATTTCTTCTCTGCGCCCGTTTGCAGACAGTATCAGCAGTGGCAGTGTAAGGGAGGTACACGTGCGCAGGGTCAGCACTGGCAGGGATGGGAGGAATTCTGGGAATGTAACTCCCACCAATCTGGACTTTGGTGCTACTCAATTAGGCGATACAGGATCAGAAAAAAGCTTTACAGAGTCAGTGGTGGAGGAAGTAAGCAAAAGGCTGCGGGTCAGTTTGGAGGGAGATATCCTTAAGTGTTCAGAGGATAATGCAGCTGACGGGACCACGATGTCCACACTCAAAATCCCTCTTTCCAAGCCGGCTGATGTGCCAAAGTCACCTAACTTAACCTCGATAAGTTTGGCATCAAAGAAATCATCAGTGACAGTTGGGGAAAAGGGGCACAGCACTACTTTAAGAGGAATAACTTTGGGTTCTCAGTCGTCTGCCTCACATCTCATCTCAACTCAACAGGAAGATGAAAACACTCCAGAAACTGTGAAAGACAAATCAGAAGACAGAAGAAGAGGTCGGGTTTTCTCTTCGAATACCGCTGATGACGTTTTCAGCTCTCTACCTGGTGAAACACAATCGCCCCGGAGCGATTCTCCTGCCCAACTCCACAAAGCAATATGGGTGGAAACACACCTGGGACCAGAGGAGGAAGAGACGAGGGAGGGGGAGGAAGAGCGGGAGATAATGAAAGAAGAGGAGGAGGGCTTCAGAGCAGACTCGCCTCCTGTGCTGGCTCTACCTGCCACAGTCATTCCTGAGGAAGATTCTGCTTCTCAGGACTCTGCCGACAGCCCGTCTACCCCCTCAGATACTTTGCTGCTTACTGGTAGTTTGCCAGAGGCAGACAGAGCCTTGGCAAAGACAACAGAGGAGTTAGAGACAAACTTAGAGGAGCCCGACAGTGGCACACACCCACAGCAAAGTTCACCTCAGGAGAGATGTACAGCGAGAGAGATACGTGTGACACGCAAGACTGTGAATCTGCCCTCCAAGAACAAAGTTTTTGCCCAGAGGGTTTACATTAGCCCGGAGCCAAGCCTGGATGAGAACGAGGCAGCAGAAGAGGACAGCAGCCGTGATTTAGCTTTAAAGACTTCAGACACAACAGAGGAGAAACCGTGAGTATCTGTCTATTTACATTTGACATGGTTTGAGTTCAGTCGTCTGTCTGATCCTGTGGGGAACAGAGAGCTAAAGAGAGCTAATCTTGCGTGCAACCTGAGCTCTCAGTTCCCATGCTTCTTTGTAGTCCAGGAGAACAATGCAGGCTAAACCCACACTGACGCACTGAAATATTCATCTACTGTACATCTAATCAGACTTAAACAGGAACATATTATCATACAGTTGATAGATATCCTAAAAACTATCTGTTTCTGGTTTTACAGTGAACTGTATGTGTTTGGTTATCTTGAAGTGAAGTTGGTCGAATTTCAGCTGAAAGGAGGTCTCCTCTGCTGTGTTTTCTTAGGGTGTATGTTCTTCACCTGAACAAGTGAGTCATTACAAAACTCTCATGGGCAACTGGAGACTTCTGTCAGCACACTTTTGTTTGATTTACACATGACGTGGGTACACATACTCCTGCCCATGGAAAAGATGCAGAATACACACACAGAAGCTGCTCTTCAAGAAACAGAGTCAATACTGCTACCTCATCAGTTTCTAAGTAACCCTGCTTCAGGCTGTAGATGGACATGCCTGACACAAGAATTGGTTTGACTTGTAGTTCAAGCTCCCCTGCAGGCGGATTCTTTCAGCGGCCTTAAGTTTGACCACAAATTGTTTTAACCACTATCTTTTTCCAAGAAATGGAAGTAGCCTTGCAGGTGTAGAAGTTAAGTTCATGCAAAAGGCATTAAACATGCAGCAACAGGGAGCGATCGTGCTGACTCCAAAAAAAAAAAAGATGCAAATGCAGAGATGGAAAAAGCTGCAGTTCCTTGAGTGACCACTGGAGGCAAACTCGGAATGCAAAATTCAAACTTCTTATAGCTGATGTTAATGCCGATACAGCAGAAATGAAAATGTTCACAACCTAGTTCAAGACCAAATCTGAAAAGCTAATGTTTTTTTGTTTTTTTTTTCATAAAAGCTGTACAGAACCTGGTTTTGTTTTCTATAATACAAAGGTACTTTATACATTAGGATGAGGGATATGCTTAAATGGGAACTTTCTGATATTGGTCCAGTATGAAGGGAGAACTGAGCAGCCAGGGTAGTCTGACTGGACCTTTGTGGATTGTGCGGTCACTACAAGTGCTTTATTCTAGGGATGCACGATATTTATTGGACTGATAAAATATCGGCCGATTTGGGGGGAAATTACGTCATTTTTTATCGGTCCGATAGGTGCATTTTTCCGATAGAAAGATCCGATATATTAATGAAATTACGAGTAACGTTTGCAGGCGGAGTAGCCGCCCGTCCGAGACGCGCTGGTTACGTCATCTATCGCACCTTACTCTCAGGTCCCAAGCCTGACCCCGTCACTACCTGACAGATAATAAAATGTCTTCACCAGTCCGACGACAACGAGCGGACTGACTAATGACCGATTGACCGAAATGACCGAAAAGAACGAAATGAACGGGTCTTTTTACTGAACGACCCGGAATGATCCGGTTCACTGAAATGACCAGTTTTGCCCACCACTAGAAGACAAGTGAGATCTTGCAAGACGTCAGAATGAGAATTGAGACATTAGATTTTGTTGTGCACAGACACAGGCACAAGTGGACATGTTGAAAAGTTTGACAGTTAATGAGTTATTCATATTTCAGATCATCATAAGCTCTTGTTGAGAACTTTGTGATTGTTTTGGCACCCCCTCTTGACAAAGTCATACCCGTTTCACTTGTCCTCGATATGTTAGTCAAGTTTTAAATATGAAATGCTGCTGTGCTTTTCCTAACATTCCCTGGTCATGAATGTTTGCTGTGGGAAATACTCTGAATTTCCTTGTTTGACACCTCACCCTTACAGTGTTGAAAGCATTAAGTGTTTGTTAAGTAAAAAGTGTAAAACTTCTCACAGGAGCTTTAAATTTGACTCACATAGACTCTTTGTGTGCTGGAAGCTGACCAGAGTTTTGAATGTTACATATCAAACACTGGGAGTGCTGATAGAGCTGACTTGTTGCACTCTTGTTGAGTAAGAGAGTGAGTTGCAGCCAGATGAAACTAACTCTGTCACATTTTTATTTCTTTTCCACTTCCTTATGGTTTCATTTTTCAGGCCGCAGGTTGGAATGTGACACTAAAAGTCCTGTAAACTATTCCTGTTCATGTTTTTCTTTCTCTGCTCTCAGGCTGCCAAGCCCCCAAAACAACAATGTGGATCTTCAGGAAGCTGAACTGGGACCCTGTCCAACAGCCGATGAGCCAACCCACCCTGACAGAAATACTCCCGAGCCCTTAGTTAAAGCGATAGCAGACTCTAAAGCTTCTGACGTGGATGGTACTGCTTCAATCCCAGACATGTACAGAACAAAGTTACAGATAGAGGGGTCTGTGGTAGGAGGCAAAGGACATGACCCGGCTGCACCCTCTGTACCAGGTGTTAAAGCAACAGCAGAAGAAAGTCGACATATCACAGCAAGTGGAGCTAAGAGTCCATCCTCAGCAGCTGGCAGCAGGGTCAAGAATGTGACAGCAAAGGCAAAGGCCTCCACAGAGAGCACAAAAGTGGGAACTTCCAGTGATTTGCCACCTCAGAGGGAACATAGCAACGATAAAACTGTTCCTCCGTCACCAACATTAAAGGAACAAAGCAGCAGTAGCCCCTCAAGTGCAGTAAAGTCTAAAATCCCCAAGAGGTCAACATCAGAGGCTGATGTGAAATCACCGACCACACCAGATAAAACATCAGCGCCTGAGGTCACAGCCAAACTGCAGAGGCAACCCAGAAGCAGAGAAGCTTTGAGATCTCCGGTCACCCAGTCCAAGACTGGCAGGAAACCAAGTTTTGAAGAGGGCAGAGGAGGGAAAGCTTTGTCAGGAGACATGTCTCCCACAAAACAGAGGATAGGAATTAAGCAAACAAAGGAAAAATCAGATGAGGACAATGACTCAATAAATCTGGTAAATGGCACTGAAAGGGACCACGAGGAGAGTCGATCTAAAACAGCACCCACCACTGAGAAGGAAAGCCCCGATGTCAAAAAACGAGAGAGCAATGCGTCACCCAAAACTCGCTTACCCATTTCTTCTCCGGCAAGAAAGAGAAATACTAACACCACTCATACGAGTGAAACCAGCTTTAAAAAGGTGACAGACTCAGAGAGACAGAAGAAGCAGAGTCTGGAGCAACAAGAAGCTACCAACGATGAGAGCCCAGGAAGTGAAACCCCACCACCGCTCCCTGAAAGTCCCAAGAGAGGTGAGACTTACACAGTCTTTCTGAGGATTCTGAATTAAAGATTATTACTGTGAACGAGAGAAGGTACTCATTTATTCTTTGACAAAATAGTTTGACACTCCAGGAAATTTGCATCTTTGCTCTTTTTCTGAATCTCAGTTTTATAGATCAAAATACTGCCAAACCAATCTACATCTGTCATCTGGGCTCGTTTACACCCGGGTATTAAGACATTTTAACATAATGGCAGGAACAATGGATGGGACAGGAGTTGGTGGCTGCACTCAAGTTTAGACACAATGTGTAACCAGGGCTAACACCAATAATAGTATCATTAATTCTTTTTACAGACTTGTAGTGGTGAGTGGCTTACTAGTTTCAATACTGTCACAGAATCAAAACTAGTGCAGTTTGATGTTCAGAGGTAACAGCACTGCAAATGTGAGAGTGTATAACAGAGTTTTGTTTTTTATTTTTGCAGCTGATGACTCAGCTGTCATGAGTCTAAAAAGAAGGAAAGCTAGCTGAAGCTGTTAGTCACAGTCCGAATATAGTGACTGTTACTGACGACTATCACTGCTGGATCAGAGTGAAACTTCTTTTCAGAGTTAGTTTGGCGATAAACAAATTTCATGTCTTCACAGTAAGTGAAGAGTCCCTATTTGTTTGTTATTGAAATACCTTTAGCCTGAAAGAGCCACCTCAGGAAATAGCATAACTAGTTTGTAAAATCATCTTTCCGTACTCTCAGGCACAGACATGAGTTACATCTATGTGTCTCAGGCTTGATTTAGGGCGAGAGGGGGATATAGTACCATCATCTAAGGAAGCAAAAAAAACCCAAAAAAAAACATGATTTTAAATTTAGAGTTTTGTCTCCTGCTGCTGAAAAGAGAGGTTGATAACATTTAACCACTTAGACAACTAACGTGATGACTCACATGACACCGATTCAATTCATTACATGTTTATTTGCACTTTTTTTTCTTGCAGATAACATAAATGAGCTATCATGTGTAAACTGTTGGGTTTAGATGGTACTTATAGGCAGATTTTCTTCCATGTATCACTATCTTCCTTTTTAACTGTCCACATTGTCTCATTTAACTTAAAAACTGCTTTTTTAATCAATTTGATCTCTATTTAGACTCAAGTTAATGCACAGCTAAAAAAATAATCCATATTTACACACTGGGAAATGTACATTTGTAGACAGTGGGAAAGTTTTTGGTTAAAGCAGCTCTTATGTAATGCTTGAGACTGAATTAGTAAAATTAATGTCGGCTAAATGAAAAAACTTGGCTTGGGAATTACTCTGTTTGTCTCCTGATAGAAAAGCAGCAATAATAAATTAGGAGTTTTTCTGGGTTGTTGCAAATGCAGCAGCACTTAAAAGTTTTTAAACTAAGTGCATGCTGCAGTTTAGGTAAATGCTGCATGGTTTTCTGTGTAAGTAGAGTCAGGTGATCATGGTGAAACACATCAGTGAGGGACAACTCAAGACTGATTAAAATATAAGCAAATAAACGTGGATGTTGTACATTTTTGTTTCTCAAATATTATTTTATTCTTTATCTGCCTGTGCAAACTCAACTGAAAACCAGTTCTCACACTGAAACTGAGTCACAGGGATTCAAAAAGTTTCTTTCTAGCAGTCTTTCAAAAAATAAAGCTTGTTTTTTATTGAATACGAGGGACATTTTTGCTTTTTTGAGCATCAGTGTTGTCATACTCATAGCAAGCTATCCTTTTGAGGATGTTTTCCTTTTTTTTGCATTGTAACAGTGTGTTTTTTTCTGCAGGAAACATGCTGTCACCAAGAGCAACCAACCGCCTCTCCAAAAGCAGCACCAGCCGTGAGGAGAGTCAGTCACCTACACCACGTGGCTCACTGTCCCCCACAAAGCAGGAGAAAACTGTCTCATCAAGGCTCCTCAAACACAGCAACTGCGCCAAACCCCCCAGGAGTCCAGGTAAAGAGACATCCGAGCCAGCATCTCCAGTAAGCAAGCTCCCAACGAGAGGACAGAGGAGCCCCACCAAAGTGGGACCCAGGAAACACTCATCAAGTGAGAGCTCTGCAACCACACCAACATCTGAGGATGTCACAGCTGACCAAGTGAAGGACAACTCCAGCGTGTCCACAGAGGAGGAAGAGCATGTCACAAAACCCAGAGGCAGTCATCCCAGAATCAGTGAGACCAGATTGAAAGGGAAAGAGAGGAAGGAGCTGAAGGAGGGCAAAAGAAGTCCACTATCTAAAGACATTTCAAAAACTCAGCCGAAGCAAAATAAGGGTGCAGTTACTGCAGAAAAAACTCCAGCAGAAGTGACACCAACCACAGGTGCAGGAGATACAGTATCCCCTGGTAACAAGGCTGTCAAAACATGTCCATCTGAGTCATCTGCTGCTGATGTAAATAATGCAGAGACAGAAAGCCAGGACATACAGCCTGAGACTGAGCAACAGACAAAAGCTGAGTCCCCACCCATGAATCTAACCCACATTAAAAGTAACAAAACCACAGAGGAAGAAGAAGAAGAGACAGAGTTATCCACAAAGACAAGTGCAGAAGAAGTAAAAGAGAAAGACATTACAGAGGCAACGCAGCTGGTAGGTAACAAAATCCCAGATACAATCCCAGTGAAAGGACTCACAGAGCCAAACTCTGCAGAGCCGGATCAGGAAACAAAACAAGCTCAGGAGGATGTAAATGATACGTCAGCCACACCTGCAGAGGGTGACGGTATTCAAGGTGACATAAAAACCCCCTCAGATCAGGAAGGTGTGGAGCCTGGTACTGTTTCTGCTGGAAAAACAAGCAAGGAAAAAGATAGTCTTCCTGCTAAAGAGGACTCTAAAGGCCAAGATGCTGAACAACAAGATGCACTTTCAGCTTCTCCCACAGATGTTTCAGCTGATCCTAACCTGGAAGTTAAACAGGAGACACAAAAGGAAGCTGAAAATCTCAGTCCTAAAAACAAGAGGCTGCCTACAGCTGGTGGAGAATCTGTCAAAGTAGAGGAAAAAAGTAAAGAGGAGGCTGGCAGAAAGCCAACTGAGGCTTTGGACATTCAAACAGGGACTGTGCCTGTTTGTGAATTACCAAAGAATGCTGAAAATCAGCCGGACAAAGAGCCTCTTTTACTGGCAGGAGAAATTGAAAAACAGAAGGACTCCAAACCAAATGAAAGGCTGAATGAGGCATTAGTGGAAAGCAATGAGTCACAGAGCAGTGGCAAAAAAGAGCTCCAGGCCACAAGTGCTGAGGATAAAGAAGAGACGGACGTTATGAAACCAGTGAAACCAATGCGTCCATCAACAGAGGAGAAATGTTTACAGCCAGAAGAGGAAACAAAGTCAGCAGTTACAGGCACTCTGCAAGAGAAGAAGCAGAAGAAGTCTGAGGCAGAACAGGAAGGAAGTACGCGCCAACCAAATAAAGCCAGTGTGCCCGAAACAGCGCAGACATGTGCAGTCCCCTCGCAAGAAAAAGCAGAGATTGGAAACAAGGAAACAGATCGGCAGATTAAAGAATTAACAGCCGAAAAGGAGCCTGAAGTCAAAACTCAGCTTACCAAAGAAGAAACGGTGGAAATTAATAAATCAGTTCAGGAGGACAAACAAACTAAAGCTGCAAAGGAGAGTCAAACTCCTGGACTTGAAGAGGTGAGTATAAAAACTGAGAGAACTGAAGACACTAAGAACAAAACTGAGACAAAGGAGAAGAGTTTGGGGGAGAAAACTTCAGGAAATGCTGCTGAGGGTGAAGCTAACGCACAGAAAGAAAAAGTAGACCAGCTTGTAGACATGACAAAACCAGAAGAAAGCAAGTCAACAAAGTCTAAATCCAAAGCTGAAGCTGAGAGGCAACCTGAGAGAGAAAAGGCTGCAGAGACGACAGTTAAAGGTTTAGTTTCACAAAGTGAGAAATCTCTGAAAGAAGAGGCATCGAATACCGAGACCAAGAGGACTGACGGTGCCAAAGAGGAAACTGAATCAAAGGATTCATCATCAAAGAGTTTGGTAAAAGAAAGTGCTAATGCTAATGCTAACAGCGAAGCTAAGAAGTCCAGAACTGTTGACGGCCAAGGTGGGGATGTTATGGTACCAGCTAAGGATGAGTCAACAAAATCTGAAAGTCTGAAAACTGACAAAGAAGAGCAAAATGCAACAAAGAGACAAGATTTACAGGAGGGCAAAGCTCAAGAACCAAAACCTGCTCAAGAGGAGGACAAAACAAAGGACCAAGTAAAGAAACCCAAACCTGTTAAAGAGCAGGTCAGTCCAAAACCAGAGGAAAACAAATCCACAGAACCGAACAGAAAACTGCAACCTGAGACAAAGACAGCTCCAGAGAAGACCTCAGAAAGTCAAGTTCTACAAAAAGAAACAACCCCAAATAAAGAGGCTGAGACAAAGACTTCTGTAAAAGAGACTGAAGTCACTTCTGCTAAGAGTGAAGTCAGTATCCAGCCAGAACAGAAGTCCATAAATGAAGAGAACAAGACAAAACCTGCTACAGACAAGTCAACGGGGCCCAAACTTCCAGAAACTACTGTGGAGAAGAAACTTGAGACAGAGAAAACTCAAGAGAAGACAACTGGAAATGAAGCCCCACAAAAACTAAAAGTGAGCAATGAAACCCAAAGTGCTGGAGGTGCTAAAGAAGAGACTCAAACCCTTCAGAGTTTAGAAAATAAGTCTGCAGTTACACAAGCTGATCAGAAAGCTAACACGGAGCAAGGTCAAAAGGCTGTGACTGTAAAAGTTCAAGATGTGGACAAGAGAAAAGATGCTCAATTACTCAACAAATCCGATGTTTTAACAGCTGGAACAGCAGCAGGTGAGAGTGATAAGAAACAGGCACAGAACCTGGACAAAGAGGCAGTTTCAGATGGAAATAAAGCAACAAAACCAGAAGACCAACAGAGCAAAGCACCAATGAAAGATGCCAAGCAAGAGTCAGAAGCTGTTATTGGTAAAGATGCACTCAACACAGAGGTTGGTGAGGTAAAGGAGAAGCCCACGGTAGTTCAAGATAAAGCTGCTAAGAGCTCTGACACTCAGAAGCGTGAGGAAGACACCAAAGAAAAGTCAAAAACAAGTGTTGATCTGAAGCAGGATCTTCAGACCAAACAGCTGGAGAAAGCTGTAAATCTCAGTGACACACGGCCAGCAATCAACGGCAGTTTGTCTCAAACGGTCAAACCAGCTTTTCCATCTCAACCAAACACAGAATCACCTTCCAGCTGGTTGGACGTAGAGCATAATCAAAAGCCCAAGAGAGAGCACCGTAGAAGACTGGAGTCCTCAAACAGTGAGGATGAATCCCTGGAGCCTGATGACATTGAAGAATTCATCAGGAGTATCAAGGAGGGCAGCGTCCCTTTCTCAGTTCCTACGAGGAAGCGCACTCGCAGACAGTCCCCATCTCCACCTTTTGCCATGCCAGCCATCAGAGAGGACCACTTTGAGAAGACATTTGATCCCGAGGCGTTCCAGTTTGGCCTGGGATCCGCCAGCAAATGTTTGAAGGACCTATCTCCTGCTATGGTGATTAAGCAGAAAGCAGCAGAAAGAGAAGGACGGACCCTGGAGAAACGAGTACAGGACAACGACAAGCACTCGTCCACAAAACAAATGGAAACACTTGATGAAGTGGAAGGAAAAGATGGAGCCAAAGGGGAGGCCAATGATGTAGGAAACGGGGAGAAACAAAGCAATAAGGAAGAGCCCTGGAGGTCCAAGTCACGCCTGGAGAGGATGTCCATCCTCTCTGGCTTACTGAGCTCCCCTCGGTCCTCCAGGAAGACCAAAGAGGAAGTTACGTCCGCAAACAGCACACCTACTTCTAACCAACAAAAGGACCTGCCCTCGCTTGAAGCACAGGCAGTTGTTGATTCACTTCCGTCTAGCGTTGAAGCAGATAAGGAAGGCATAAATGGTGCAGATCAGGGCTCACACATGGGTGGTGGTGCAGGTACAGTTGATGAGTCAGCAGTGGGCCACTCCTCTCCTCCTCCTCCTGTGCCTTCATTCTCAGAGATAAAGCTGCCCGAGCACTTAGAAAAATACCTCAAGAAGAACAAAGTGGAGTCTGAGACCTCCAAGATATCCGCTGAGACACCAAAACCGAAACCTATGGAGACCACTGACATGGGCCAGACTTCAGCAGAAGGAAAACCCCCAAAGAAAGTGGTGGACCTGAAGGGGCCTGTTGAACCGCCTCCACCCAGCAACCACATCCAGGAAACTTTTAGAAATGGCCTCTCCACCTCTAAGCCGAAGGTAACACTTTCAGTCCTCTTTATTGAAGTGCTTTTATGGTTCAATGTGGTTAAGCCTTTCACTTTTCTGATGGCCCAGAGCCTGGGTGTGTTCAGACCTGCTAAACTTTCATCTGTCCTGGTTGATCTCCATGGAGATGAGTCTTATTTAATAACCTGCTCTTTTCTTTTGCAACCAAAGTCATGAATCCTCTGCAGGTGAGGGCAGGACAAAAGAGTGTGCCCTCAGACGAGAATTTTGCAAAGTTGTTTTTTGCCAAGATGACCTGAAGCCTGATTTAGAAGTTTGCAAATAACATGCAAACAAAGTCGAGCGATGCAAAACATGTTTGTGTTTAAGTACACTCCATGCTGCACAACATAGGTTCTCTCCCTTAGACTCTTTGCATTAACAGTAATTGTGATTTCTCATCAAATCTTACCCAGTGGATCCTAGAACCTGCCAACAGACGCATCAATCTGGTTCTGATACAGTGTCCAAGCTGGATTTTCTTTTGCATGGATGTAAATTTTCTCTAATGAGGCTGACAGACCCCCGTAATAGTGACCTGAAGTTTATTTTTGGATCACAGGTTCACGTTTATCATTAAAATACTTCTTTCTTTCAGATACCTGCTGTCAGGGGTTTCCACAAAAGGCCTGGAAAGGTATGAGTAAATATTCTACAGTATTTTCTCAAGTCGACAATTCTTTGTTTTCCCCCTTTTGTTGAATTATCTCTCCTTTCACTTAGATCGTTGTGCACGAGCACGCTCAGTTTGGAGGGCAAGCTTTTGAGCTACACGGCGACATCGAGGACGCCACCACAATGAAGCTGTCTCCTGTGTTCTCAGTCAAGGTCATCAGAGGATGGTGAGACTTGATGATACTCTGAAGTCCCTGCCGGTTTAATTCCTCATACACTGTGAAGTGTTTTAGGGCCGCTGTGGAAAAGTGGTGGAGTTTGTTATCTGTTAGCTGATTGGTTGGTGGTTTGATCTCAGCGTCTGTGGTCCACAGTGTGCCTGAACAAGATATTGAACCCCAAATTGCAAATGGCAAAGCATCAGTGTGTTAATGCATGTAATTCAGAATAGTCAGGGCACTCTATATAGCAGACAACACCGTCAGTGAAAGGGTTGAAGTGATGTCCTCTGACTACTCAAATAGCTTTGAGTGGTCAGAGGACCTGAAAAAACACCTAATAACAGCCATCCATTGATGATCTACTATTTCTGATGGGGTTTAAATGATGCATTATACAATATAAATGAGTTAGCTGAACTTCCAGTGTGCTGTCTTTAATAATCCTGCTTGTTTTCTGTGTTTCTGCTTGTCTCTGTGGGCTGCTATCCAAAAGCAGTTTAATTATCCCCTTTAGCAATTAATACAGCTTTAATAAAGAGAAGGTTTCTACACTCAGAACTGATGTTATTTTCCCTCTCTGTAGCTGGCTGCTCTATGAAAAACCTGGTTTCCAGGGTCGTATCATCGCCCTGGAGGAGGGTCCTACAGATCATATAGTAAACATTTGGGCTGAGGAGGAAACTCCAGCAACATTAGACCAGATGGGTCAGCCTGTCCCAACAGCACCGATGGTCATCGGCTCTATACGACTGGCTGTCAGGGTAAGTTCATCAGTGGTAATGCAGTCAGGTTATTTCACCCTCTGTTTACTCAAACCCTTAACTATGCTGCAGCCACTATCTGTTTGACAGGGTCTGCACCATTTGACAAATCTGTAACCTGCATTATAAATATGAGATAGGGCTAGGCTGAGGTTGGCCTGCAGCATACATGGTATTAGGAGGGTAAAAACAGTAGATCTGCAAAGTCACGACCCAACCTGATGATGCGTCTGCAAACCTTTTACTGCTTTGAAGTCACAATAATGGCATCACTAGTCACTTGATTACAGCCAGCTATTTTTTCTTTTTTTTTGTCATTTGAATGTATAATTTCAAATAAAAAATACTGAAATAAGTGGAGACCTACTTTTCCTGTACACTTTACACAAGCATGAGAAAGATGCTTATGTGTCTATGTCAGTCTCCTTGCCTCTGCATGCTCTGTTTGTGTAATATGAAGGGGCTAAGTGAAATAAAACTTCAGTGCCTAATAGTAACAAGTGACATTGTTGAAGAGAAGAGCCTTAAAATCCAAGGATGCTTCAGAAAACACCTGTAACACAGGTTACAGCAATGTGACGTCTGCACAATGAGCATTTAAAAGTTGGCTCCTTTTATCCACTGGCTGACTTCTCTATATGTTTGTGGAGGGTCCTACCTCTTAGATATCCTTTGAAATGACTTTGGAAGTTAGAAATAGTTTTCTTTTTTTTCCTTTATCTCAGACATATAATATTTTTCACGTACCTTGACATGTTCTGGTTTTGTCACTTGGTGGTTGGTGTGACGCGTCATATCAGCTGGTGTTACGGAGGCTTGACTGTCCTGCCAAAAAAATTGACAGGACGGTCACGCCTTTCACTGTCTGTTCGCCTCTGCAGGACGCTACTCCAGGAATGTGAGAGCATGGATGACCCCTCATCCCTGTAATGGAGGCGTGACCGTCCTGTCAAAAAAACCGACAGGATGGTCACGCCTCTGTAACACCAGCTGATATGACGTATGAAAAAAGAAAACGATTTCTAAGTAACTGAAGAAATTATGAACATCTTTCAACTTTGTAAGTTATAGAGACTCTGAGAGTCATCTGATATGGACTAACTTTTTAAAGTGAGTTGGAATAAAACTCTAACTACGTTACCAGGTCAGCAAAATTATCAAACACTGTTGCTAAGTGTTGCATTTTTACTCAGTGCAACTATCACTGCCATTGACTATGCTGAGCTGTGCTGAGGGTGTCTTTTTGCTCATCAGAGAAAAAAAAAGTGGTGGAAGAATAACTGACAACAATAATCAGGACAATAACTGTCACATCCTGCATGAACAATGCTGGGAAATTAAAACTATGTGTTGCTGAGTGGACAAAACAGAGCAGCCTATTTATCTTATCTTCCTGCCTGCTTCAACCACTCCCTTTACTCAGAGTAAAAGCCCAGCTGTGGAGTATCCAAGAGTTACACTAATGCAGGGTTAGATATAATCTTTTTGGTTTACCCACTTCTGTAGTTTTCCAAACTTATCAGCCACTCAGCATTTTCAGCAGCCATAGTTTTGTTGTTTGGAATTTTCGTTCAATCAAAGTTGACGACGGTGTGCTAAAATTGACTTGAAGCAGATTTACAGCCCTTCTCATTGTGCAGATAAGTTCATGCATGCTCCTGTGTTTTCAGAGGAACATTTTGCTTAGAGTCTTTGGAATGAAGAACAGTAGAATTAGTGAGTTTGCACAAATGTAAAAGCTCCCCATGACTCAGTCAAACTGTAACTTTTCTTGTTGTTTACAGGATTACAGCGTACCCCAAATTGACCTTTTTACAGAGATCAATGGTTTGGGGAGGATGACATCCTACTGCGACGACACTGTGGAGACCAGCTCCTACGGTATCCCACAGACCACAGGCTCCATTAAGGTCCACTCTGGAGTGTAAGTTCACATGACAACCTTAGATGTGAGTCGATTGATTAAAAGTATCAGGAGTGTATTTAAACATCATGGAAACATTAGTGGTTTGAAAGCCCATGACTTTGCAGTGACCTTCAGGGCAGAGTGTTCTCTTTCTAAGAAAGAATGCATGCTGCAGGCCAGAGCTTGTGGTTGTCAGATTTTTAACTGCTGCTGGTTATTGATGGTTAGCACTGACTATTCTTCATTGTGCAAGAGGGTACGACAGGTTTGACACTTTAAAGTACAGTGAGGAAGGTTGCACTCAGCTTTTCTTGTTGTCCTCTTTCTCTTTTTAGCTGGCTGGTGTACACTGATCCAGGGTTTGGAGGACTTGTAGGAGTGCTGGAGGAGGGGGAGTATCCCTGCCCAGAGGCCTGGGGTTTCCCTCAGCCCTTCATTGGTTCCCTCAGACCTCTCCGGATGGTACACTTCATCAAATGTGTATTAATGTTTACGCTGTTCTGGTATGCTTCAAATCATTATGCACCGGTTACATGTGTATCTCTCTGTTGCAGGGAGCAATAAGGGTGGAGCATCCAACTGAAGTCAAGGTGTGATCTGCTTTATATTTGTTTCATCTATAAATAGCAGCTGTTTGTGGAAAGCTCATGAAATTTGAAATGCAAACACAGAGTCCAAAGTATCTGTTAGATGAGTGAACTCAGCCTTAGAAAGTCCTCTGTGAGGGCAAAACAAGTTAGAGAAAGGCAGCTTTATCCAGGTGAATCCCACAAGTTTATCAGATTAATGATGTGAATGGTCAATCATCCTGCAGTCTTATTACAAACACTCAGAATTCAGATTTACATTCAAAAGAGTTTGCAGATTAAGAGAAATGCAGACAAAACCTTCCAAAAATAAGGGCCTTTTGGGGTCATTTGAATGTTATCAAACAAATAAACTGAAATAAACTAAAATGTGAGATAATTTATATATTTGGCGCTCAAAATTTAAAAACATGCTACTAATTTAGATAACATGCAGCATTATAAGCCAGAGGCATGTTCATGAGGGGAAATAGACAAAAGACATTATAAGTAGCTTGGAAAATGTTTCTCTATCTTTGAAGACTCACACAACCAAGTATGATATTAAATCTGTTCTGGCAGTAATCAAAGTCTCTTAAAAACAAGGTTCTGAACCTGACATGTTGGCCTTGAATTGACCTACTAAGGCTTTCAATAGGATCAAGTCAAAATGATGGCGTACCTACCTACCTTCCTTCACACTCTGCATGTGCACTCACCTTATGACCAGGAGATGCAGGGGTGTGCCGTCTGCTCACATTTTTCAGCATGCTCCAAAAAAGAACAAAATATTTTTTTTAAGTATCAAAAGAAACAGTTGGTTTAAATGTTTAAAGTGGTGTTACAAGCAAAAAAGACAACAAAGATCTGTTTGTTTTTTTCTGATCTATAATACTGTTGAATGAATTTTAATGAAAAGCAAACATGACGATAAACTCAACCCAGCAGTTAATTTTATTACCAATAAATGAGAGCAGCCGCCCAATATAAATACAGGTGGAACTCACAGCCTTAAGTAAGGGTGAGCTGGGCCAGGATTACAGTTCCCTCAGTGGTCCCTCCAGAACCAGGCAGGTGTATCTAAAGAGAAAAGCTCCTGCCCTAAGAGGACTGGTCCAAACCCTTTTATGGCATTCCTGTAGTTTCTGACTGCTCTCCGCCTGAAGCCTGTGTGTTTGATTGACGGACTCATGCTAAGAAATACTGTCCCTGCATCACGCGGTAATTTGAAGAATGAATGGTATTCCACCCTAGGACAGAAAGGAGCTGACATGCATAGCTCTGTGCTCTCAGCACATACTGGAGGCCTTAGCTCATCTTTAACTCCTTCCTCTCCATCGCCCTCTCAGGCCTTACTGTTTGAGAAGCCTAACTTTGGCGGAGAGAGCGTTGAGGTCGACTGTGATGTGTACAACCTTCAGGAGGAACCAGAAGAAGGAAACACGAACAAGAAGACAATGTCCACAGTAGGGTCTATGAAGATACTCGGTGGTCTGTAAGTATCCACTGAGCGAAAAAAAACTAGCTAATTATGTGGATATTTATCCAGGTAAACTCCTCTGAGGAGCTTTCCTGGATATGAAACAGACTGAATTTAATGCACATGCTTATTTTATGAGCTAACAGCATTAAGATCAATATTTGAATGTAGTTGTGAAACATGCCTGAAGCTATAGCCATGTGTAGGCATCATAAGGCATATATTATCTTCATTAGCACAAGAAAGACAAGTGAGTTACAGCCAAATTTCAGTTTTGAAGTTATTCAGTGAGTGACTGTGTGAGATGCACTGGTTAGAAGGAAAAAGAGAAGACGAATGAGGGATTGTTGTTGAACCCAGAACAACTTGCATTGATAGACATTCATAATAATGAAAACTCTACAAAAGCATCTATATCCAGGTTTTTAGTTCCCATCCCTTAGTTTGAGCAAGGGTCTGAGAGGTCTGGGTTTAGTGACTGAATGAAAAGCTCCTGTCATTAAATATCACAATTCCTACACACTGTACCTTTAAGTATTGAACGTACAAGCAACATGTGCTGATCCTGTTAGGAGGTCATTTACTGTCATGGGTGCTATTAGTGTGAAATTTAGATTCCTGGACTTGGCTAAAAAGTGAGAATGCAACTTTAAAATCCATTTTTACACAGTCATACTTAGATTCCTCTAGCTTTTTTCTATATTGTCTTCCTTTCCCTTGTCTGGTCTGTTTTGTGATGCCAGCAACAGTGCTGCATATCTGCTAGCCAGCTTTTTTCTTAAAAAAAAAAAAAATAGACCACCTAATTTCTTCTGATCTGACCTTCTATTGATTTCCAAGAGGAAATGTTTTGAGTAAAAACCATAGACTGTATATATACAGTCTATGGTAAAAACACACTTCATATATATACAAAAACACACCCATATACCTCGTGCAAAGGACATCAGAAAGTACTGTAAGAGAGTTGTCAGGTTGACCCTGAACTTGTTTTAAGTGTAAAAAGTTTTAAGAAGAAATATCTCAATATTGCTTTTTGGTTTTGACTCAAACTGTTCACGAGTTTTTGGTTTTAATCTTTAGTTTCAAACGTTGTTACATGTGGAGTTTCTATGATCAAATATTTTGTGTTCTGTGATGACTTGTTAAGTACTTCCTGCTCATCAATAGTAGATTTCTGTGAAAATGAAAAACCTCCAGGGACGATGAACTGACTCACTGTCTCTCCTCATAGCTGGGTGGGCTATCAGGACTCGGACTTCGAGGGCCAGCAGTACATCTTGGAGGAGGGCGAGTATCCTCACTGCAGTGACTGGGGAGGAACTGAGGACGGGTTTCTCTCCCTGCGGCCTGTGTGCACAGTAAGTATTATATGCAAAACTGATAACTCATGAACAGGCTCATATGTAGGTCCTCCTGCCTGGTCTTGTCTCAGCCTTTGGCTCTGACACTGATCTCTGTGGAAATTAGAAAATTGGCTCTTCACTTTCTAACTATTTCACTGTGCTATTATCTCTTTAAGGACTTCCTGTCACCTCATGCCAAACTCTTCAGTGAGCCGCACTTCAACGAGCTTGGGCTCAGCATGGACCTGCTAGGTCCCGTCGTCGACATGGACGTCGGCTACGGCACAAAAACTCAGTCTGTCAACGTCATGGGTGGAGTGTAAGTAAAAAAAACAAGCTAACGATTTTGTCTGTGCTGTCGTTCACGCCCTTGTGCAGTTTGGGTGTGTCAGCGCTCCTCACCTACAAATGATTCAGCGCTCTGTCATTATATACACAAACAAACGCACGCACATACGTATATAGCCTGAGAGAAAACAGAATAAGGGGGTGATTCAAATGTTTTATCTATTTAGAGCGATGATTTACACTGACATGATGAGAAAACTGCTCCTTAAGTTTCTATTAATCATAAACATGATACATTTCGTTTAGAGGATAATGTCAATGTTTGCAGTCAATCTTGTCTAGATAAGAAAACACAGAGCTTTTACAAGGGTTTTTTTTACAATCTAAACCTGTTAACTCCTTTAACATGTAACAAGTTTTTCAGTTCACAGATTTTTATTGGACAGCAAACTGCTCATTCGAGTTTGTTTAATGGCATTTTTGATCTTTTGTAACATTTGACGGTTTGCTCTAAATTGTCCAAACATCTGCTGAATGATTTTATAACCTTTGAAAGACATGGGCCTCTTCTACTGACTGATTGATTCAGTATGTGATAATGTCAGTCAGGCTGCACTTATTAAATGAGGAATACACAGACTTTTAATTTTTTTTCTCATATTTCATGATCTTAAGAAAACATTTATTTTTAGAAATTTTAAGGTTACATTAAATTAGTGTGGTTAGTTCTTCCTCTGCAGAGACCACCATTGTTGATAAAGTTGATACCAGAAGTCCCGCCCCTGTTTGAGTTTGATTGGTCAGTGATAGTAAAGTGACACTGAGGGGTGCCAGGGCTCCTTATGTTCAACTAGTTTAATAAAAATGGCATCAGATGTGTGCTAAAAACTCTAAAGTGCATCAGCTTCAGTGTTTGTCGGTGATACTTAAACTCTTCCACCTTGGGGTTTAGCATCTTCACTTGTTTTTGTCTTCCTGGCAGGTGGGTGGGCTTTGAGAACCCTGGATTCAATGGGGAGCTCTACATCCTAGAGAAAGGACTATATGTGTGTCCAGAAGACTGGGGAGCCCAGAACCCAAAGATCTCATCCATACAACCTGTTTTCTATGTAAGAGCAAGTTTAAAGTGTGAAGAGAGTCTACAGCTGTGAATGAGTTGAATCTTTTAAAACAAATCTCAGATGATGCAGTTTTGTTTATGTAAAACTATCGTCTGATCTCTCCCTGCCTCTTTACCAGGACCCTCTGATGGGAGCTCCAAAATTCAAGGTGTAAATCTCTCCATTAAAGTCTTTATTTAACAGATTTACCCTTTATTTCTAGACCATGCCAGGTTACTAAACTCTGCTGATGTGGATTTCAGGTGAAACTCTATTCTGAGCCAGACTTCCAGGGAAAACTGGTGACGCTAGAGGAGAGCGCAGCAGCTCTGGAGGAGGACTTCATTCCCAGGTCCTGTAAGGTTTTGGCTGGCAGGTAAGCACCGCTGACTGACATCCAAACAAAGCTTTAAACTGTTAACAAGGTTTCTAGGCATGTAAGGATGGGCACAGCCGGCATGTTTGGCTAAAACACTGTATTTAAAGGGATAATTCAGTTTTTTTGAAGTGAGGTTTATGAGCAGCAAGTGTACGAGTCACAATAGATGCTGGTGAGCTTTAATGAGAAACTGCAGGCAGAACCAAGGCACTCAGTATGCCGCTGTTTTTGTTTTTGGCAGACGGGGGCGACTCTGCCATGTCATTTAAATAATTTTGAGAGACTCTGACCCAAATGCTCCACTTGGTTTAAGTATGCACTCTTCTGAGAAAATTTTCAGCATTTGACCATCAGAAAGCATGTTTGTTTTTGCACTATTTGTGAATGCAACACACAGAGAAAGCAACAAAAAGATATGTTAACCTTGTGAGAATACACCATGTTTGCTGCTGAATTGGACAACTGAGCAGAAATAAATGACTTTACACACATCAATGTGTCTGCAGATGGATCTTGGGCATTTGGTGCATCTCAATTTGGCATAATGTGTAAAACTGAGATGTAAAATAACAAAATGTGCACTGTGTCAGTGACTTATACATCACAGACTTAATCAGCTGATCCCTCTGCATGCAGGAGAACTCTTCCATGTGTGAAGTGTCTGCAAATGCTGCTAATGGGCTTTCTTATGAAGAATGTCTCTGAAGGGCACACACGTAAACCAAGATGAGTGCTTGGGTCAGAGTCTCTCAAAAATAGCAGAATTTTGTGGCAGAGTCGACGCTGTCTGCTGTCTTGGACCTGCCCGCCTCTATTATGGCTAGAACACTTAGTAGTGTTTTGTAACTTATACAACCTCGCTTCAAAAACACTGAAATATCTCTTTAACTGGTACAAATAGGACTGTTGTCAAGGCTGTTTTCATTGTCTTTTTTTAGCTCAAGGGGCATTCCTGTATTTTAAAATTTGGACTTTTTAACAGAACTGAGGTCTTCATGCGTTATTTGTCTTTAGTAGATTACTAAAGCCACCCGCTATAACATAGGCTGTAATGACAACAACATCAGATGGTCATTTTCTGGGTTAATTTGGCATTAAGTGTAATCAGTCACTCCCTCCTGCTATAGCTGGGTGGCGTATGAAGGGGTGGAGTTCACAAACAACATGTACATGCTGGAGGAAGGTGACTACCCCAACACTGAGGCCATGGGCTTCATATCTACAGACTGCACCATCCGCTCCATCCAGATAGCTGGACATGTGAGTACTGCTTCTTGACTGCTGTGTTTATGTTCCATGGGTAGTTAAAGATCATCAACTGATAACGAATCCTCTGTTCTTGCTCTTCAGGAGCTCTCTCTGCCCTCCATCACATTGTTTAGTAAGGAGGGCTGCAGAGGTCGCAGGGTGGTGTTGGATAAAGGAGCCGTCAACCTGCCGCAGGCCGGCCTGGATGCACGTATACGCTCCCTGGTGGTGGAGGGAGGAATGTAAGTCACTGCTCTTCAAAAAGGTCATGAAGCTTTAGTGCCTAAAAACTGCAAATGAATGTATTTTTGAAAATTGGTATTTAGGAGTTTGAAGAAGTAAGTCCTCACTATCAGTCTGTAAAATAAATAAGTATTTTTCTATTTATTCATGGACGATAACAGTAAGGCAAACTGTCTGACTTTCCTCCCCTCAGGTGGGTGTTGTATGAAGGCAGTAACTACTGTGGTCGCCAGCTGCTTCTGCAGCCAGGTGGTGTGCTTGATTTGTTCAAGACCAGCGGCTGGCAGCGAATCGGATCTCTGCGCCCGTTAATCCAGGTATGACAACTGCTGTAGGCCCTCCACTCATATGTTGAGTGTGTATTATATTTGTGCCCTCGCCTGGGGTGGAAGTGCAACATTTATACAGAGAGTCCCTATCTTGTTGTAAATAACTTTGAATAGACCGGCTTTTATGAACCAAAACTCACCATGCAGTGCTCATTGTCTCCCTCCCACAGAAGCAGATGTACTTCCGTCTGAAAAACAGGGAAACAGGAAGTGTGATGTCACTGACAGGAAATCTGGAAGACATCAAGCTGATGAGAGTTCAGGCTGTGGAGGATACCGGAGGGGTGGAGCAGATCTGGCTCTATCGGGACGGACAGCTTACCTGCAAGGTACAACAACACAACAACACTGCTGCTAAAACTTCAGTCTGCATTTAATCTGCAAACACTCATGACTAGAAGGTCAATTATAGCTGACAGGGAGAACAGAGAGTGTGTCATTTATGTTAAATTATTGTTTAAGTGGCCTGGGTATCGTTTTATAACTCCAGGAAATGAACTTGAAGTGTTTGGAAACAGCTGTTGCACCCCTGCAGGAACTGTTTCACTAATTTAACATTAGGCTGCAATGTGAGTGTTGAATTTGTGATATTGTTATTGTAGGTGACTGTGTGCATGAAAACAAGGGTGGGATCAGGACAGTGTGAAAGGCAGGAAAACAACATGAATTCCCAACAGGCTTTGTTCATTCACAGTCAACCTCAAACCATCAAAGAGCATTTGTTTATGTTCCTGTCTGTTGTCCTCAGTCAGCAGGAGGTCTGGAGACATGCAGACTGGCTCCAGACTCGATTCAGACCTGATTCAGAGCCATTTAAACCTTATCTGTAATCATTTCAGAGATTAAATTCTCAAACTGCTGAGATTTCTGGTAAATGTAGGAATTAAAAAATGACATCACAATAAGAGAAATTATCAAAGTAGACATAATGTTATGAAACAATATATTATAACCTGATGTCTGACTTACTTAAGATAATTAACCAGCACTCACTAATCAAAATCAAATTAAACTTTACTTAAAGAGCACTTTTCATGTATGGACATACAACACAAAGTGCTGTACACACATAGAAAAAATAAATCATAAATGAAAATAAAATAAAACAAATAAAAAATGAAGTAATGCATCTTCATCCCCTCCCTCATGTCCTCTCTGTCTGCAGCTGGTGGAGGACTGTTGTCTGGAGACCTCAGGCAGTATGGTGATGGCGGGCTGCCGCCTCTGCATTTCACCAGAGAGAGGAAAAATCAACCAGCTGTGGAACATCACTGCAGACGGCCTGGTGCGCTGCCACCTTAAACCTGACCTGGTCCTGGAGGTCAAAGGTCAGACATTTGTTAAAACTTAGTTGAGTATATTATGGATTAGATAGAGTGAGTGCAGAGTCATCATTGGGGGTTGGGTGTCTTTGTGGGGGTAAAAACATTAAAGATATGCGGTTGACTTATTTGTAGTGCAGAAAGTTTCCTATTGTTCAGCTACTTTTAGTTGATTTCAGGCTCAATCCTTGATCAACAGCTCCATCTCCTGGTGAACTGAGGAGGTGCAGTTATGGGAAACATCTAGCTCTGTGCAACCAAAAGTTCAGTTTTGTGTTGATAAGAGACGTTTCTTCAACATAATTACTTGCTAACTAATTTTATTTCCCCAAATTCCCCACATTGTGCCAGAAGTGTTTTATTTTTCAAAATATTCACCTGCATTTTCTCGCTGTTCTCCCCAGGTGGTCAGCAGTATGACAAGAACCAGGTGATCCTCAACACGTTTGACGAGAGAAAACCGAACCAGAGGTGGATTCTGGAGATCCTCTGATGAGATCCCAGCCTTTACTTTTAAGAAAAGCACTGCTGGGGTTGTCACAGCCCCCAAATTCAGCTCTGCCAGGGGCACTGAGCCCTGTGACGCAGCTCTGCTGTAGCACTCACACCACAGAGGTGGACACCGGGTGGTTTTCTGCAAACACTGCACGCTGTCATAGTATTTTATTTCTGTTTAGTCCTTGTGAAGAGGGTACCCGTCACCCTGACAAACATTAGTGTCAGTTTTAAGACAAGCTTTTAGGAGAGTGATGATTTCGACAAACCAAAGACTCCCCCTCTGTCGTCACTGTACGTGGTGAGAACTCAGCCCTGTCTTGATGCTGCTTTTTACTGCATGGTACTTTTCTTCTGCAGGGGTTTAGTGTCTGCTCTTTAGTCATGTCATGAATGTAATCTTTGTACAGCTGCAATATGAAGTCTGAAGGGCCTTCACTCCTAAGATCTCTGTAGAAAAGTTCTCCTGTAAAGTCTTTAATTAGAGTTTTATAGGTTTTTAACTTTTCTTACAGACTCACTGCTTTAGTTTGTACAAAAACATCAAGTGTAAAGATTTCAGATTCACTTTCACAGCAGTAAAATCTTCTACCTGCTGATTGTAAATATGTGAATGTAAAAGAAACTGTTACACGAGATGTGATTTTCTTGTATCATTTTTTTAAATAATAAAACACTGTCTCATCTTGGACATAAATGACTTGTTGCTGTGATTGAGTGTGAAGAGTCAGAGAAACCTTTTCACTGTCAGTTTAAGGTCTAGGTATTTATACCACTTGCCTCCAAATGAATATGTCAAAGGTGTGATTGTGGGCTCAAGTAGTCCCAAGACTATGAAAGATAATGACCATGATGTTAGCATGGCGCTGGTCCAGCTCTGTCAGTTAAGCAGGCGCCTCATTTACAGAGGCTCTCACCATCCCAGTCCCAGAACATGATGCATGCCATTCCCCTCCTTATCTCCACACTTTGTGTCTCCAGTGCTTGTAAAGAGCAAATTGTCTGCAGCACATCTCGTTTGGTATAAATTTATGCAAATGTCAGATTCAAGCTTTTGCAGAAAATCATCTAAAAAACTGAACATTTCTGAAAGACAGCAGATTTGGTAACACGCTATACTAAGGTCCTTGTAATAAGCAGTAATGATTAGTCAATAAGTTTCACATTGTTAAGTGTCAGATAAGGCATAATTAACACATTGATTATTGCATATAAGACTTTAGTGCTTATAGTGGTCTTTTTTATTTCCTCGAGAGAACCTTGCCAGGAGGATATAGTTGCGTTTAATCTAATCTAATCTAATTTTGTTTTGAAACTTAGCTTAGCTGTCGAAGACTTGATCAATTTTGAAGGGACACTTCAGATACAGTGGCTGCAGAGAAGTACTGTTAGGTGTTAATAACTGTATAAAAATGATTTAGTTATCCTTATAAAGCCTAAATATTAACCTTTTACAGTCTTATTCATGTTAAATAACATTTAATTAAAGTTGAAAAGTGGTCTTTAAGTTGTAAAAACTCTTTATAGCAGAGCAATAATAACTTAGTTGTAATTTAAATAAAAGCTTGTACAGATATATTTATGTTGATATACAGTATCTTGTTAAAATTTTAAAGCTGTCTATAGACTCTAATTAGGATTAAAATCCATGCAAGAGTGTTACAAACTAATAATGTTCATAAATCTTAATTAACACTCTAATATAAATAAATGTCTTATTGATGTTTATGACTTGTATAAAAAAGTTACGTTTCTAATGAGAACCTCTGAGCAATGATAAATGTATTAATCATGCTTTTAGTAACACTGATAAATGATTGTAAGTACTTTATCAGGTCTTATAAGTGGCTTATTAACAATTCATTCATTTTTTGGTACAAGGACTTTAAGATAAAATGTTACTGCAGATTATTTTGGGCTCAATTCAGGAATCAGATTGATGCACTGATTTAGAGAACATAAATTTATTCACAGAGTGATGTCATTATGATGATTGTGGCCCCTCATATCTAACAGAGTGCATGATTAAAATAGAAACCTCCCTATAACCTGCACCATTCTTACAAATCACTACAACTACATCCTCCAAATTTGGGGCTTCATTTAAGCTGCAAGATTTCAAGTGTCTGCCTCTGCTCTTCCGTTACCTCAACCACCATAAATCAGTGCTGCACTCAAAATTTCAGCCCCAGCAGTCACCTGCAGGCTCCAACTGGGGCTTTGAAATACAGTCTCATCACTCCTCAGCTTCTGCATTAAACACAAACACAATGTGCTGCTGTTGTTATACGATATCTGTCTAGGTTCTCAGTCCGTTATTATATATAATAACTGACCCACTTATACTCAGTGGGTTATTTCCTACTACAAGAGCAACAGTCTAGTTGCCCTTTCATGAAGAATTGGATTGCTGCTGTTGTAGTTTGACCGTCTATACTGCTATGAGCTGAGATAGTAACTACGTACTCTCTTTTCCCATTTCCTGCTCTATCCTCCCTCCTCTTCTCTCTAATAAAGGCACAAAAAGCTCATAAATGTAATAAAAAAGGAACACCTGTCAGTTTAAGGAAAGGATTTATTCGTTTACGTAGCATCTTTTTTTGTGTACATTCAGTGTTTGCTAAAATGTTTCGACTGAATAAATTTATGAGATGTAATTGTTCCCTTTCTTTGGCTTTTCTCATTAGTTTCTTTGTTTAAGCCACTGAAAAAGGTAGAATATTTAGAGTTATCCTCAGACAGTGAAGCAATAAGACCCACACACACTGATCACCACTTGATTAGTCCTTTCTGTATCCCTGTACCTCACTTGCACAGCCTCGTCCTTCAACTCGAACACCCTCAGTTTGTTTTAGGATTGTGAAGAACCACACACAGAGTCCCTCTTAGAATCGGTGCTATAAGCCGTCTCCTCCTTTGCTGATCTGGACCACAGTCTTCCCTCGAGCATGACCCTTCTCCACCTTCTCCAAGGCCTGAGGAACCTGCGAGAAGCTGAAAGACTCCTCCACCACAGGCCGGATCTGACAGACAAAAGATGCATTGAGTGCAAAAAGAAGGTTTATAAATAATGACAGGACATATCTCTTAAACAGATGATGCTCACATGTTGGTGGGCAAGTCGAGCTGCACTGATTTCATACTTTTACACAAATCATTCTCAAAATTTTTAGATGTTATCTCATCTCTCCTCAAGTTTCTAAAATTAAAAATTGAATAGCGAAGAAGCTGAAGCAAAAATGCTGATAATAAATATTGTTCTGCTTCTGCAATGGAAATGTAAAACCTTCAAAATGCAGCGTTAAGGTTCTACTTTAGCTGAGTCCTATCTTTAGTAGACCCTCTCCAATGATTACGGTTTACTGTCTTTGCACCTGGTCTGAAAGACAACATCTGCTCAAGCTCCTCAGCTCCTTCTTCCGACTTCTTTAAGTCCTACTGCAAATCTGAACCTCTTCAAACTTCATTTACAACCTTAACCCATGACAAGGCTCCTCTTATACAGCCATGCATGTATATCTATACACCTAAACTTCTTTCATGGCACTAAATAACTTCCCAAGGCCATCAGGCTCAAGTTTCATTCTGATGTGCACACTATCTAGAGGAGAGAGACATCAATGTTTTCAGTCTGTGAAGAGTTAAGAGAGCCTGAAGTTGTACCTGTCCAGCATCCACCATCTCCCTTATTTCATCCAAAGCAGGACCGCTAGGTGCAAAGAACCCCCAACGGTAGTGAACTCCACTGACCAGATGCTGTAAGAAACAGAAAGAGAAGAAAAGCATCAAAATGTGCACCTGCATAATCAGAGAATTGTGTCATGTGAGATCATATCAATACTCCAACAGCTGATATTAAAGCATGCATGTTAACTTCAACTCACAGCTCTTTCATCTGTCTGCTCATCTTTTTCTCAAATTTTATTCAACATCTTTGTTGGCAAAATGTCTCTCAATGACCAAAAAAGCTGCTTTATTTCTTCACTACCAAACATGCACCTGAGGAAAGCAGGTAACTCCTTTTGCATGTAAACAAAAGATTGTAAAAGTGATATCCAGTAAAAATGTGCAAACAATCAGCACTGCTGATGTACATTTAAAATATGTCTTACTTGATGGAAAGAGCTCAAGATTTTACGATGTGTTTTGTATACACTCTCATTAGGATTGCAGTAGAATAGGATTAATTGCACTGAAGCGTACAGTATGCACACATAAATACATACAGAGAAATACAAAATGACTGTAAGAGGACCATACATGTCAGACAGCTAGGTGGAGATACAATCTCTTTTTCTCTACACCTTGAACAGTTAGGTAACATTTCCTTTCATCATAGATTTGTCTTTGTGTCTGTGAGTGTGTGTGTGTGTGTAGGGGTTGTACTGGTTTTCTCCATATACGAGTTGCTCAGGCCGTGTATTTCCAGCCTCCTCAGGAAAAAACATGTTGCAATAACCATACCGGCTGGTGGTGCCTTACTTCTCCTTTTTCTGACAGAGTTTACAGTGAGTGCATGAACAAGAAAAGATGAGATATGAAGGTGTACGTATTGTTTTTGTTTCCGGTGTAGAAAACCACAGGGTAAATCCTTCTCTTTCTTCACACTCAGATGTGCCATCTTGAAGTGTCTTTCTTCCATCCATGCCATCAGCATCTTGAATCAGACACACCTGTGGAGTCTAAAAAACCTGTCTGATTTTGGCTCTGACTGACCATATAATGTTAGAAAACAAACTCCAAGTTTGACCTCCTTTACACTAACTCAAATACAAGGTGCAACCATTAAAACACTATTATAATGAGCTTCATCGCCTTTTATTTGGAAAGTTGAGATGATTTTGATCAGGACAAAGTTGATCGTTTCTCTAAAAAATACGACAGATGGTTTCTTGAGCAGCAAAGAGAAAGGACATGGTGTCTCAATAATGATCTTTTTTTAAATGAAATATTGATACCATGCAATAAATATACAATCATACTGAGACACCACAGTTCTGGTCCTTTTTGTAAGTTACTGCAGGACATAGATCTTCATTATTTATCCTCTGAATTGCTGATCATGTGCCTGATTCCTGTTAATGCCTTTACCAGCAAAATTTTACAATTTTCGTGGTTTTTATTCTGAAAGTTTTTATTTATCACTTCCACCTTCCTTCCTGCTGTCTAACCACTTCTTCGCTCTCTGACCAAAATGAGAAATGATTAAAAGGAGAGGGAGAGGAAAAAATACAGAAAAGAATAAAAGAGGTTGAAATAAAGGTGTTTGGTTCAACTCAAAGCTGTAGCTGCCATCATTGCTCCTAGCCCTGGGACAAACCCCACAGTCTGACAGTTACACAGTAAAAAAAGAAAAGGGTCAGGTCTTCTGGGGACGTCCCAGGAGTCTTCACGCCACCTTACACCCTCTTCTTCTTCCGCTTCAAATGCATGAGAAATTTACCTCTTGCTTTACTGAGAAACGGTGAGGAAGTCAGAATCTAAATTGCAACAGGCATCACTTTATTGCTTCATCCTGTACACCCCGAGCTGAAGGTGAACATCTGATCTTTGGTTTGAACTCTGAAGTGTTAGTTCAGTTTACATTTATTACTAACTCATTTTCCTCAGTCAGACCCAGGATTTTTGAAGATGACAGCAACAGTATAAATACTTTTTCAGCACAACCGCAGAGAGATTTCTCCTCAATCTTCAGTTATTTGTAGATATATTCAAGCTTAAATGTATCATTTTTATGATGTTCTTGAGTTATTTCATACTAAACTTAATTCTAATTTCTTGGATTAGTAGGGGGATAATCTGGGGTGATATTTTACCATTTTTTTTTATAATATCCAAATTAACCTGACAAATTAAATTGGAGCAAGGATTTGGTTTGAGGTGTGATCTGAAACAGAGAGGAAGTAGAGCTGTTACTTTTTTGGTCTGCTTGTTGCCACAAGGACATTGAAACATCACAAAGTTCTGGATTGAAAAAAAGTGGTGATGGAGGTACACGGATGTGAAACACACACACACACACACACACACACACACACACACACACACACACACACACACACACACACACACACACACGCCACAAATGCACAGCCTGCAAGCTCTGCTGAGCATGATGTTCACCACACTGGGCACACTGACAGGATGCAACTTACACTTGATACTCAGCTCCAAGAGTGTGTGTGTGTGTGTGTGTGTGTGTGTGTGTGTGTGTGTGTGTGTGTGTGTGTGTGTGTGTGTGTGTGTGTGTGTGTGTGTGTGTGAAGCTGACTAACATCACTTGCTGTATATAACTCACATGCATTTATGTTTTTTCAGGAATAGATATTGAATATCTGTTGTCTTATGATGACTGAGAAACCTGTTGCCATGGCTACCTGAGTGTCATCATCGCATAAACCATACTGGAAAAGATGTTCTCTCTTATCAGGGTGGAAAGACGCTCACACTACCAACTTGGTGTCCAAATCAGAGTGACCATCTTCCTCTGCAGGAGAGGAGCTGGTTTGACGCACGTTTGTGGTTTGGAAATCAGATGTTTAGCAAAGACATACATGTGTTCACTGACCATGTGAGATCTGAGTCAACTCTTTTCTCACAGATCCAAACATACAACCGCAACACTAAAAAAGTTGGGACGATGCACAAAAATGATAAACAGAATTTGATTTTTTTTTTTTTTTTCACAAATTACTTAAACCAAAAAATTTCACTTTAGTACAGTATTGCAAAGATAATAGAGTGGTATTAAGTCAATGCAGTGATTTCCACTACAGAGCCATGTCTGTTTTTAATGCAGAGTCACTTGAGGGGCCAAAAGTCCTTATTAACCCTTGTTTTTTTACAGAGATTTCTCTCGATTGTCTGAACCTTTAACAATAACATGTACAGTGGAGAGGAAATCACCTTATTATTTACAGAGACAGATTATTCTGAAATTGCTGAAAAATTTGCTCATGCCGTCCCTTTACAAAGTGGTGAAGCTCTTCCATATCCAGTTACATCACCAACTTTTTCCAAATGAATCCAGTGTGTTGTGAGGTGTTTGTCCAGGTGTCTTTTTTAGTATTAAAGGGATATTCTGGTGTAAATTAAGTTAGGGTCAAAAACACCATAACACTGAGTCTTGCTTCTCTAGTTATATTATTATTATTACTTCATGGAAATCCAATCAGGGTTCTTGTGTATCTTGTATGTGCACTGCAGAAGCAGTAGTTATTTTGCCTTAGTGTCTCAGTCTGATTGCATTACCACGAGTAAAAATCATATATGTTCTTCCTTGAGCTGCGAATCTCTGCTGCACTCAGTGATCGACTTGTCAAGGCCCCCCCACAACCAAGCGGCTGCTGGAAGAGAGTCGGTGAGTTACACTTGGTCTTGTTGCTAAAGAAACCAGGCAAAGCTAAAACATGTTTGATGGCTTGTACTATGGCTGGGACCCTATATGTACTGTTGATGAAGTTAGGTGCTGTTCTGAGCGTTATTTGTGGCCATAGAGTGGCTTTTTGGTTGAGGTTTGCGCGTGGAGACGTAGACTGTGTATTGCTATCCTGCGGTCATTGATGAAGTTGGTATATCTAGAGAAGCAAGCAGTCGGCAACATTCATCTCTCGAGGGGGAGTCTAACTCGGTGTTACGGTGTGTTTGACCATAACTTAAATTTACACTGGAATATCCCTTTAAGGATTCAAGATTTGCCTTTTTACTGACTTGCATTACTACAATCCCTAATACCACTAGTGATGGATGCACAATTTTTTGGTTTTGGCCAGTATTTGATAATCAGATACTCTAAAGACACAAAAACAACCTTTAACTTTACCATAATTGATGACTGTATTCTTTCCTACTTTCAGAAATATGGTCACAGATATACTTTAAGTATTTCTTAGCTGTGTTATATGGCTGAGGTAGAGGATGCTCGCTGAGGTAGACTGTGATTGATTTTTTAAGCTTCAATTGGCTGAAAGTGATGTTATGTTGATATTTATACTAAAACAAATGATAACCAATTTCATTTATAATAAAGTTATGTGTTTTAACAAATCCTAAAGTACCTCTAAAGGTTGACATCTTTAGTCACAAGGCAGTCCAACTGAAATGTGCAGTTACAGGCGTAATATTTCGACAATATTGCATCATGAAGTTGAGCCATGATCTGCTGTTTTTTTAACCTTTCTTCCTGCTGTGTCAACAACCATATTAGGAAAATGTGTTGTTTGTTCTTTTGAAATCAGTCTGTACTGAACTGAGTCTTCTGATGATGCAATCTGCGGTTCTGCAAGAGAAGTTCGGGGCCTATTGTTGAGTGTGCATAAAAGGTATAAACACATTGTTAGAAAACAGAGATATGCTGTATGCTCCTGGCAGCTCTCGAAAACATGTTTTTCTGATTCTACTATTTATTAGTTTGTGTTTGAATAGATTATTGTGTCACTGAAATCAGCATTTCTCCAAGTTCTTAAATAAATACTTTAATTTAGATCTTTAGTGTGCAGGTAAAGGTTGCAAGACTGATCATTTCTCTTACTCAGACCAAATACCTGACAGGAGGCTGAAGAAACAGCTTTTTTTAAAAGAGTTATAACTTTTATCCACAGGGGGCGCCAAAATCAACAAAACCAGGTGCTTAAGCGTTATTGGACAATGATGTTACCTTCAGAGCTTTGGTAGCCATGGTAGCAGCGGTCTGTACCATGCCGTCAGCGATACCCAGCCTGTCTGTGTTCTGGAGGAATGGCGTTACAAGGGTGACATACTTGGCTCCACTCCATGGCTTAAGTAGTGTCAATGCCCATCGCTCTGTGTCTCCCCCAACGTTATCCAGAATCAGGTCAAATCTGGAGGTAAAGAGGGGGATTGTGGGTAAACCTGTACACAAGCAGGTCTTTGAGGACTGATAACAAAGTAAGAGGAAATGGAAACTTATACGCGGAAAGAGAAAAAAGAAGTGGAGCTGCCTGCAGCTGGAGGGACTTTGTTGCCATGGTAACTTGGCAGGTCACTGATACAGACAGTAAAAAAGCAACACTAAAGTAATGTGTTTCTGTGTTTTGAAGATGTTCTTACTTCTCAAGAGCTCTCAGCGGCTCCTCCACAGGCCCAACAGTGTAATCCACCACATGGTCCGCCCCCACATCCCTGACAAACTGCTCGGCATTCTGGGAGCAGGTAACAGTTACATGGGCTCCCCAGGCCTTTAGCATCTGTGCACAAATTGAAGTGTCAATTACATGATTTCAAATGACAATTTAATTTGCCTGATTCTTGTGATAAAATTTATGATTGGTGCAATCCATAATAACTGGTTTGATTCAGATTGTTCGTTCATATATAAGAGGCACAGAGAATATATGATTAATGAGATCAAGTGTTACATCAGTGCAATGTGACCCCAGAATTCAGGTCAGGAGGTAAGATGTGGTTGAGTTTCAAACCTGAACAGACTTTATAAGACCACCGTCAGCCCTCTTTATTCAGACTGCAGTTATAGAGTATACATTTACACTCTCGTATTCAGGGAAGGTATATGTGTTACATAACAGCGTCTGTACCTGTATAGCAAATGTTCCAACTCCCCCAGATCCTCCGAGGATCAGGATCCTGCAGAGAAACAGCAGATGGATAAAAATGACCGTGTTGGAAATGTTCTCCTCACTTTTGTTGCACAGATTCTCTCTCATTAAGATTCATGTCAACCGAACTCTGAGCTTCAGGGTGTCAACTTCACAGCAGTGTAAGGGAGCGCCTGAACAGCTGCCAGAGAGGCACAGCACCCTGAGGCTCATTAGGGAGCAGGGCAGGCTAACGGGGCCAAGCTTGGATGGAGTGAAATAATTGGTTTCATCAAAGACAGGGAGCTTCCTGCAGAAGGGTGGACTGAAATTAAGAGGGAAAAGTGTGTGTCTTTGAGTATGTGTGTGTTCGTGTCTGTCTATGTCCCCTCACCGTTTCTTAGCACAGTTGTCCTTGTTGAGTCCCCCGGTGTTAACCAGTGCAGACCAGGCAGTGGTCGCCACGTAGGGGATGGCTGCTGCCTCGGTGTGACTTAGAGACTTTGGTTTGTGGGAAATCTGACCACAACACACATTGGTTTATAATGATAACACTTAAAAAAATAGCATTTTCATGGCACATAGTACTATTCTAACCAAGACTAAGTCATGAGAGAAGGTCTGAATCTATCAAGAAAATGACAGATTTAGTTTCAGACAGACAGATTTTATAGTTGGTTTTCAGTTATGTTGATACACACTCAAATTGACAACACATATCACTATAATATGGACAGCAGAGGTAAGAAATGCAGGGTGACACAAAAAGAAACAAATTGGCACAATATGATACAAAATATATTATATAGTACGACATAAGACTGTATACAAGACAATATTAAATGATAAGATATACAATTCAATACACTTTGATAAGATACAGTACAGTGTAATATGTATTGTATCTTATATTGTTTCGCATCATATCCTGACTTGTATCTTATATTCTATTGTACTCTATCACACTAATCATTTTATTTTGTATGATCAAATTTTATCTTATTGTTATAAAGTTCAGCATATTGTTTTGTAATATTTATTTTCCTATTGTTTCATCTTGTATTTTAACATATATCATTTCATGTTATATTCTCTGTATTATTTTGTGTCTTGTTGTGTTTTGTTCCATCCTTATACTGATCTTATCGTATCCCATCCTGTTGATATATTCATTTGGTATCATATCATATTATACAGTTCTGAAGTATGCGGAACAGTAGAGTCAACAATCTTTTGATACAAGTCTATACAGTCGATAAGTTACAATACAATATTGTAGGACAGGATACAATAATATACATCAGAACACACTACAATATAGTGCAACACAATAGAATCAAATCAATAAATAAATGAACAAACCTCATTGGCACTCAGCACCACAAACTCAGCCAGGCTGCCTTGCTTCCATGGAGGGATAGCAGCCCACACCTAAGGGGGACACAAAGAAAAACATTACTACTGAAAATATGGAAACAGACCAACAAAACACCTGAGAAAAAAAATGTATGTGGCTTGAAGCATCTGGATAGCTCTTAAAGCTTATGTTCTTGGGCCCATTTCAATATAAGTTATTTTCAGCTGTGACACAGAAAACATCCGAGTCATGTTTGGTTTCTAAACCCAGTTGGGATGACAATACATAATCCAGGAAAAAGGGTCTCTGTGACATATTGGACACTGAATGGATGAACTGATCTACAGTGCTCAGACACATTGATTCCAAGAAAAACAGTGAGGTACCTGTAATCCTGTTGTTTCTGATGTTTTTGTTTACTGCACACACGCCTGACTACAAACTTTACTCTCATACTTAATTCATGTATGACTCAGTGTCCAGGAACAAGTTGTTACCGTGAACAGGGAGGATTTCCTGGCAAGTTTTATTTGGGTATTGAGTACCATGACCTAACATTCTGTGATACATTACTGATTCTGACAAGGAGCAGTGCAGTTTTCATTGTATGGTAGTTCCTTTGCTCAGGCTGCAAAGACAAGTGTGTTTGATATTACAGCCTATCACTTAAAGATGCAGTTTTTGGGAATCGCTGTCACAGAAAGTTACCTTTTCACCCTCAGATTTTGTGCATTTATGGTGGTGTGTTCTCCATGCTATAGCAGAAAAACAAAACTGCAGTATAATGCTTTGCTTACAAATTTTTATTGCAATCAAAGATTTTAAAATATCATTTCAATAAACCCCTGTTCCTCATTTGGCTCATTATGTTTTTTTATTTTCAAGCTTTCTGTATACTGTTATTGCAATATTAAAAGGACATGTTATCTGATATCATGACAGCCCCAGTGCCAATACTGTCTAACTAAAGAAACTGTGTGCTTGATTGGTCTTTTGTTCGCTGCACCCTCTCCAGCAATCAGAACCTGCGGGGGGGGTACTATCGTGCTGACAGGGTGTGATAAAGTACCTCACGCTCACTCTTCCAGGCCAGTCCCCTCCAGTTTTTAGACTGTGATGTATTCACTCACACTCCTCAAGTTTATTGCACTATATTGAACCGTATCTCCTGCATCATCAGATAGATTATATCACCAAATATTTGCTAAAACAAAGCCCTGTGTGATACATGAGTACTTTATTTTGGTGAGGTATAATATACACCGTTTCCTTTGTTTACCTCATCTCTCTCTCTGAAGTACTTCACGTCCAGGCCACACTCCATGATGACCCCTGACACGTCTCGTCCCAGGATAAGAGGGAACTCACTGTTGGACTGTTTGATGTTCAGAGGGTCTCTCTTCATAGACAGAGTTGCAGCACCATAACCACCTGACAGGGAGAGCAGAGCGTCTGAATACAGCCAAAGACTTCAGCTTCAAAACAATTTAACCTTGAATGAGAAAAAAAAGGTCACTGAAGAGCTTTTTTTAAGTTTAAGGGTCTTTTTTCTTTCATTTGGACAGGACTGGTATAGGAAGATGGGAAAGACGGGGGGATGATATGCACCTAATCCCACCAGGATCAGGACTAGATTCTTGCATGGGCACCATTAAAGTGTGTAATGCCTTTACCTGCAGAACTATAAAGAACAGCAATGTGACTTTATTTTGCACAGTTAATTGTTAATGTAACGGACATATTTGAATCTAAATTTGAAGTGTTTGACTTTATGTTGTCCTCTAAATATATAACAACTTTTTTTAGCTTTTATAAAATATTTTTAAAATGCAACTTTGCTTTTAAATGTCCTTTTTGAATTTCATTACCTAATAAGAGTTACTGAGCTTCCAGGTATGGAAGCTTGAAAAGGTGCCTCGGTCCACCCATTTAAAAAAAAATTAAGGATTTTTCCCGGTTAACTTTTTAATCTTCACTGCCAGCATGCGAAGTCTGACCTGAAAATGTAAATTTCACATGCAAATGATAAGCAGAATTAAGATGAGAGAAATTTTGTGTTTGTTATCCTGACATGGAGAACTTGCATGAAACATGAGGATCAAAAGCTCCATCTCTAAATAACTGCCTTTAACTAGCAAGAAAAGAAATCCCAATAGTGAAACTTAAATTTCCATCAAACTTAGAAGTATAACAGCGTTCACCCTTTTTCAATCCACCCCCACTGAACCCACATCCTTTAAGACTACAGAGTGGTAAAACAGGCACTATCTGTGTGGGAGAAGGATGACTGGTTGTATGATTCGATTTCAGAAACGAAAAGCAGCCTCAGGAAATATCAGTCTACTCTGTCTCTTATCTGTACAGCTCAGTATCTATTTTACTCTCTCCAGATAAAATTAACTCAAAGAATCATCTTTTCAGTTTGTAAATGCCTTCACATGCCAGGTATGACTTTTTTTAGTCACCACAGGCTTTTAGATTTTTTAAATCTGATTATTTATTATCAGTAGAGACATTCCAGTATGTCAGCTGAACACCAGTGCTCACCCTTTAGACAGATCTCAGCCCATCTGCAGATCGCGTGTCATGCACTGAAGTCAGACACAGATGTTTATCTGTTGTGTTGCACCGGTTTAATGCTAGTAAGCCCGTGAACCACACTGCTCATTCAGATAGAAGGGTTTTCAGTAAAGGGTCTGATTCATTATTGTGGTCTTCACTGCGGGAGTATTAGTCTCTGAGAAAGGTCACTTTGTAAGACATGTTCTGGTGACATATCAAGAGGATGAGGAATGACAAGTAATACTTTAAATACACTGACGTTAAGGCTTATTCGAATAACAGACGACAAGAATTACAAAGCAGTAATGGAAACATCATCATAAAGACCAACCTTCACAATAATTGAAATGGACTTAACCTTAACCAAGGAGAAAGAAATCTTGGTGTTGTATTTGATCATCTCTGGTTTTAACTTTAGACCACATCTATGCTCTCTGACAAAAATGGCATTTTATCACCAAGAGAACATATCTGATGCCATTTCTGTCACAGTGAAACTAATGCATACTCTTTTTACTAGGAGGCCAGACTAATGATATGCTCTCCCTACCAAAGAGTACAATAAACCAGCCACAGTTCAGAGAGAGAGAGAGAGAGAGAGAGAGAGAGAGAGAGAGAGAGAGAGAGAGCATAAATTACACCTATTTTCAAAAATTCACACTGGCTGATTGTTAAGTTTTTTACTTGTTTATAAGGCTCTGTGTGGTTTTTGAACCCAAAGGCCTCTTAGATCCTCTGGCTCGTCTTTATTAATTGTTCTTCAGAGTAGAAGTTAAACATTTGATGATGCTGCCTTAAGCCATTGTGCTCCAAAACTGGAAAAGTCTGCCAGCAAAGGATCCTAGCGAAGCTGAAAATGCTGACACTTTTAAGGGTAAACTAAAGACCTTTCTCCTTAGTTTGGCTTTTATTAGTGCTGTTCTTTGATGTTATGATGGTTTATCATTGACCATTGTCATATAAGTATTTCACGTCTTATTTATATTCAACCATATATTTTGATCTTTATCTGTATTTTTTACTTTTTATATTTGGATGCTTTTGATCCTTTAACTTATTTTCATCTCCTCTCCAATGCAGTTGCACTTAAAATGTTTTATTGTTATTGGTTTGTATTAGTCTCAACCTCTTCTGTTTCTTACAATTGTCCAATTTCTGCCTTTTTCTTTGACTGAGTCAAATGAATATTGCAAACACTGGTGATTGTGTTAAATGGCAGGTCTATTTTAAATTTGTGGGTCTAATGTCACGTGCATTCTTTATTTTATTAACTTTAAACCGTTATGCACCACTTATCAGTAATATTGCACCTATTTTCTCTCATATCATTTCATCCAGTCCTGCCTGTTTGTGCACATGTTCTGACCATAACGCTGACTGTGATGGGACTGTAAACAGACTTACCTCTCATGCTGACGTCCAGAGGGTTCAGTCCTGCAGCAAACACTTTGACAATAACCTCATTGGGGTAGTCGATGACAGGGAAACTGACGTTTTTAGTGAATCTCAGCACATCATTGCTCCCATATTTATCTATGACCCAGGCGGGCATGATAGTTCTGCAGCTCCTGGTCTTACTAAACAGTCTTTTCTGGTTGTTAATCCCGGACCCTGATGTCCTCACTTTACTCATGTGAAACAAACACCTGCTCTGCATGAAGCGTCTCAGAGAATTCATCTTCTTACTCCTACATTTAGTTAATAAAGAAGAAGAAGAAGAAGTTTAACTTCGTTCCAGTAGAGCTAAACAGGCAGTGACAACGTCAAGTTATGTCATCTTTCCCTCATTTAAAAGTCAGAACCACCGTCCTATCAGACACGTTTTCTTTCTATGTGCATATGTCAAACTATCTATATCAATAAACACAGCAATTTGGGATCATTCCTAACCAAGGTCTTCCACAACACGCTACTTCCTCAACCGGTGTCTCTGACAGTGCTCTTCCTCTCCACCTATCACAGAGCAGATTCTTCGACCACTGTCCAATCACAGAAGCTGCTGTTGGATGTCAACGATAGAAACAAGTATGGCTGCCCGCTTGTGCTGCACACACTGCGAAGGTTGTCTGTAAAGTAAAAGGCTGTTATTAAGAAACCTGTAAAGATGCTCAGGCTGACGATAAGGGAGGTTAGTGAGAATATTCAAACCCATGTTTAGTCTATGTTCCTGTGTTTATCTGAAGCACTGGTGCGTTTATTGGATGTTTTATGCTGGTGATTTATAACTAGCTGCAGTGAAGTAAAAACTAAACTCCTATTTGTACTTTTTTAAATTATTATATAAAATGTGCCAACAGTTCTGTATGCAGGATTCTTAGTTTTTTCCAAAAACGTGTGCACTTAGTGTGCAAATCTCAAAGACTGATGAAAAAGTAATGGCATTGTTTTTGCTATTATTGCACTGTAATCTGATGACAGAGGATAATCTTTAAAAAAAAAAAAATAAAGTGAAATGGAGCATTCATTTATCTGCAAATCCTATTCATGTAAATTATTTTGTATCTGAGATATACAAAACGGGCAAAGTTCATGAGCAAACACCTAACAGGACAAATTTAGCTTGTCAAACTTAAGGTTATTCTCAAGCTTTGTATTCAGTTTAGCAGTTTGTGTAGTATTTTATGAGTAGAGCTAAGGGGTGACATTTTACACCTTTACTTTCAAAGAAATATGTGCAAAACTTTATTAATGGAAAAAAAGTGTTCAGTATCGTGTTCAGAAATTAGAGTAGAGGAGGGAATGTGGTAAAAGATGTAAAAGAAAAAGTATATTGAATGAAATGAGCAGTAAAAGGCCTGTTTAAAGGCAAATAAATGAATGAACTTGATATTGATGGAGGGGCAGTTTCAGGTTGGAGGGTCCTGGTACTGCGCATGCCAAGACACTGAGACAGTCAGTTTAAACAGCTGAAGTCTGTTTGAGTAAAAGACTCACATACAACCATGTTTCCCTTATTTTTTGTCTTCTAAAGCTGGCCCGGGCCCTCAGGGAAGGAAAAATCTCCCCAACAGAGCTGTGTAGGAGGTGTCTCAACCGTATCAAGAAGACAAAACATCTCAACGCTTACATCACCGTGACAGAGGAGCTGGCACTAAAGCAGGCTCAGGAGGCAGAGACTAGACTCCTACAAGGTGTGTTCAGGTGAGGGTCTTTGTTAATCATCTTATCAGAATCATGACAGTGACGGTTTCATCTTGTTTTCTGTTAGGGAAGCCCAAAGGCCCTCTGGATGGAGTCCCATTTGCAGTCAAGGACAACTTCTGCACAGAAAACATTAGGACAACATGTGCCTCCAGGATGCTTAAAGGTCAGTGAAATCAATGATTGTATATTTTTCTGCTTTGTGCCAATCGTGTAACAAAAACCCTAATGTTAAATTTTCTACAGACTACACTCCACCCTATAATGCCACGGTGGTCCAGAAGCTTTTTGACCAAGGGGCCGTTCTAATGGGGAAGGCCAACATGGATGAGTTTGCGATGGGGTAGGTCCATGTCTCTCAATACCAGAGCAGTTTTTGAGTTACATTATATTATGTTGCATTTTCAAGTCTATTTTACCAAGAGCAGAATGCAAGTGTTAAATCTGTGTTTACCCAAAGAAAGAGAATTGATTTGTAAAGATTGCTGTTTCCGTTTGCCTCCTAGTGCCGGCAGTACAGACGGGGCTTTTGGTCCAGTGAGAAACCCCTGGAGCTACGCGGCTCCCTACAGAGAGCAGACAGGGGTGGCTGCAGACTCAGACTGGGTCATCACAGGAGGGAGTTCAGGAGGAAGTGCTGCAGCTGTGGCTTCACTTACCAGCTACCTGTGAGAGGAAATACTTACTGTCATGTTTGGTGATTTAGGAAAACTGTTGCAAAGAAATACAGAAGGACTGATGTTATCTAAAGTAAATTAATGCATTCAAATCAAGTGTTCAGATGATTCCTCTGCAGGGCCTTGGGTTCAGACACAGGCGGTTCTACCCGTAATCCTGGGGCACTGTGTGGTGTCGTGGCCTTGAAGCCCACGTATGGTCTGCTGTCTAGACATGGTCTCATCCCACTGGTCAACTCCATGGATGTCCCTGGCATTATGACCCGCAGTGTCAGCGATGCAGCCACTGTCTTAGGTAGGTAACTACTGATCTAATCAGCAGTCTTAATCTAGTAATAATAATAATCATGAGGTTTTTTTTAAATGGGCTTGTTTGCTGTCAACAATCCACGACCTGAAAGTAGATGCTGTATTGGCCAACTCACAGCAATCAGTCACAACATCATGACCACCTGTCTAATATTGTGTAGGTCCCTGATTCATTATTAAGGGTAAAACAGCACTGACCCCATGAGACATGGTCTCTACTACACCTCAGAGGGTATGTTGTGATTTCTTTCCCCAAGATGTTAGCAAGGGATCCTTTCAGTCCTAGCTTTTACTAATACATTCACTAACGACGAATTCACTATCGCTGACTGGATCAACTTTGAGGGAATTCTAAAGACCAACCAACCATAGGCACTTTCAGCAGAGGACAGAGGTCAGCATGGACACCCTGACTGGTCTGCAACTAAACATCCCCAAAAACAACAAACTGTGTTGTCTACCAGAACCAGAATCCACTGTTTCTGCTGCTCCTCTGTTTGATTTGACCACACAGGCCAGCTTGCACTTCTCAAATGCATTATTGAGGCTCTGTCCCCCATTACCCTGGTGCTAGTTCACTCTTTTCTCTTCCTTGGATGACTTTTGGATCCCTGCTGAGCGGGAACACCCCATAGGAGCTGCAGTTTTGAAGATGCTCCGGAATCACGACTTGGTCCTCATCAAAGTTGTGCACATGCTAAAGTGATAATAACAGATTTATTTAAGATAAGAGAGATAAGAAGAACTTTTGAAGGGAAATTAAATTGTCTGTTGTCTCATTTGTCATGTCTCATAAAGTCACCTACTAATTGTATTTATATTTATTTTAGCTAAATATTTATTTAGTATTTAATCTACTACTTTATCAATTTATGTAGCGTTCTTCACCAACAATTTTTAAAGTTCTTAACAATAAAAAAAAGATAATACATAACCCAAAAACAAGCAATAGTTTTTCAGAAATTCCTCACAATTTAACATTTTTTGTGCAGTTTGTGTCAAACTTTGAAGCTAACTTTGGATTTTTCCGTCTCTCGCAGGTATCCTCCAAGGCCTTGATATCAGAGACTCCACAACAGGTCCTGCACCCTCATTGCTGACAGAGCTACCTGAAGACTTTGATGTCAGGAACATCTGTGTGGGCATCCCCAAGGTGAGTTTATCTCCCTATAAAAATAATTGAAATCTCTGTCTCAATGATGCAATCATAAAACATATAAAAAGCAGCTAGGATCCTCTTAGAGTCAGGTAGTCCAAGGAGGGTTTAAAACCAATAGATGAGTTTCAAGAAAACTTCCTTATGGACTGATCCAAGTGTAGATTTAAGTCTTATTGGCTGTAAAAGCCCTGATCCTCTTGGCTGCTTGTTTTTCTTCTTTCATAAATATATGTCAGGAGTACCATGCCCCGGGCCTTTCTGAGGAGACTCTGGCACAGTGGAGTCGTGTTGCCGACATGTTTGAGAGGGCGGGGGCTCGAGTGGAGCAAGTGTCCCTCCCCCACACCCAGCACTCCATTGTGTGCTACCACGTCCTGTGCCATGCAGAAGTGGCATCCAACATGGCACGTTTTGACGGCCTGGAATACGGTATGAACCAGAAACTCATTTTTCAGCCTGGGGCCACCAGTGAGTACACAGCTGCAGGGTTCATCACAAACTACAACGGCTCTGTGATGGTGGCGCTTTATCACAGTGCTGCAGCCGCCATCACTGATTATTACATCATCATACTTTCACACTGCAACCTAACAACAATGCAAATGTCACAGCGTGTCATTTCACACTGCAGAAGCACAAGAGGTAAAGACACGTCTGTTACTACCTCCACCCCAGCGGTGAGATGACCCAGTACCAACATCACTCCTCTGAGACATTCATTATAACTGAAAGATGTTACAGAAGTTTAAATACAGTACCTTCTAACTGGCAGTATCAAGAGTTTTCATGTTTTAATATAAAAAATGCAGCTCAAAGCCAGAGATTTGGAGTGAAGAGGGAGACTGGTTTGGCCCAGTGGTTGAGTCATATGCCTCATATAGTGATGTTTAACTTCAAATGAGAATTTACAGGCTGGAATATCAATGGATGGAAAAATAGAGGAGGAAGTCAAAGTTCTTGGTGTTATAATCCACCATCATAAAATCTCAGAAGTCTCACACAAGATTTCTCTTGTCAAATATGTTAAAACATGGCTGTGCTACACTGAGTTAAATGTGGAGCGCTGACCCCCTCCTGCTGGTTTCATGCAAAAATTCCTGGATAAAAATCATCTGCCATATATGTGATAGTCGTGTTTGCATGAGACACCATAGGAGTCCAAATTTACAAGATCAAGTTCGGTATTGACAACTTTTTGTCTTTTTATCTGTCTTTTCTCTTCTGTCTTCTTTACCTCGAATATTGATATTACACTACTGTATAAGAATTTTTAAATACTCTACGTGTAAACGTGATGAATTCAGGGGATGAGACAAAGACAAATTTCCCCCTTTCTGAACATTTTGCCTTTAATTCACAGATGACCTCAGTAAAGTTCAAACTTTCATCTCCACCTCTGTTCTTTCAGGCCATCGCAGTGCGGTGGACAGCTCGACGGAGGCCTTGTATGCTTCAACCAGACACGAGGGCTTCAACGACGTAGTGAGGGGGAGGATTCTGTCCGGGAACTACTTCCTCCTCAAACAGTAAGACAACAGATTACACCTTTAAAATGCACGCCATTTTTTAGCTGACATCGTGTCACTGTAGCATTTAGACCCAGAGTGTTCTCTGCTCTTAAATGTCTCCTGTAGTTCAGCGTAGTCAGGATTATTTCAGAAAAGTGTTTTTTTACATTTCCAAACAACAGAAAATCAAGTTTAAATCCTGTCCTACATCTTCAGGAACTACCAACACTACTTTGTGAAGGCTCAGAAAGTCCGCCGGCTGATTGCGAATGATTTCAAGCGTATGTTCGCCTCAGGTGTGGACATCCTGCTGACGCCCACTACTCTCACTGATGCAGCACGCCACTCCGACTTCATGCAGGAAGACAATCGAACACGCAGCGCTCAGGAAGACGTCTTCACCCAGCCTGTCAACATGGCAGGTAGAGTGAGAGAAAGCCATGAGCTGCTCATGCACACACACACACACACACACACACACACACACACACACACACACACACACACACACACACACACACACATAGACTGCATGTACCCTTAAGCCTTACCCTTAAAAACCTATGACCCAGAACAGTCAGTGATGCAAATTTTTCCATCCTGGTGCATTGTTGAGAATAAGCGTCATAGTGAAAGTTGAGGAGGAAGTACTTGAGAGTGAAGCTTGTTCTCTTTTTTTGACTGTCATGAGATTAAAGAGTAACCCATAGATTTTAAAGAATGTTTGCATTTAGTTAAACTTTCACTTACCTTTAATAAGACCTCAAAAGTTTTGGGGGATGACCGACCTCCAGATCTTAATAATTACCTTTACCTGAACTCTCACTCAGCTCTCGTCTCCTTGTCCTCAGGTCTCCCAGCTGTGTCTGTGCCAACAGCTTTATCAAGACGAGGCCTTCCCATTGGTCTGCAGCTCATCAGCCCCGCACTCCAAGAAAAGAAGCTGCTGAGTGTTGCCCAGTGGATCGAGCAGAGGGTTGGATTTCCCTCAATCAGTGACTACGTAGACACTAAAGGAGTGACCAAAAGGGAGCAGACTTCAGCTGGATGAGGAGAGCCATGGACATGAGAGATCACAAAGTCACTGAAATTAAGTCCCCTATATCAGTGTTGTTGCAGTCTCTTCATTGAATTAAATATCGATTATTAAAGGTTATAAGCATTTTTCAACATGCATCATGTGTTTAGTACAGAAGGATATTCTTTGACTTATTTCTTCTGTGTATTGGGTGCAGAATCTGATCTGATACGCAGTCCTATCAACATGATGATGATAGGGATAAAAAAAACTGCAGCCAGTGTATGTAGTCATTTTGAAAGCAGAACTGCTGCTAAAGTCAAAGCCCTGAAAGTCTGTCCGCTCACACCCAGAGTCTCGAACATCAAGTGATTGCTTAAGCCTAATCTGTGACCTGCTGCTTCATGTTTGATGGTGAAGCTACAAAATAAATTCAAGATTTGTCACATGTTTGTACAGACTGATATTTATTGTATGAAGGTTTTAAGGTGGTATGATTGATTGCTGCTGCCAAATCAAACTGACATCCTCTATTAAAAGTTTGGTCTCCTGGAAAGTTTTCATTTGATGAAGAGGTTTTCACAGCCATTGGGGTTGTATATGCATGTTCCCAAGAAGAAGAAGAAGAAGCACAGACTGACCCCCTTTTTATTTCTCCCTGTATCATATTCTTAAATTTGGCTGATATTTCTGTTTCCCTCACCTTAAAGCTGTAAAAAGCTGAATTTTTACATTTTAATAATGCCAGCAGGTTGACACAACATGCAGCTAGATCCATAATTAATCATTTAACTCTAACTGTTTTGCATTGAAATTTCAAAGAATGAAAACGTTTGATAAACTGAATTTGACAACAAACAACCTGCACCCCAGCATATCCAGGACCAAACACTATTTTGGTTTGCTCTGAAAAATCTTGAGAACTATTAGATTGGCATTTTTTACTTAACTTGTATAAATGCCATCAAAGTTTCAATATTTCCAATGATTTCATTCAGGATGAGATAGTATGAATAACTTTTTTTTTTACCTTGCACTTTTTCTTTGATATTTATAGGATACTTAAAGCTCCCGTGAGGAACTTCTGGTTTGTGTTAACTTTTGCACCCCTCTACATACTTGAGGAGTTTCTTCTGACATAAAAATCTCACGTTGCCGACTTTTACAGTCAGATGTGTTTTATTTATTTTTTTGAATATTTAATGTAGGGAGAGGCTTTTGCTCCAGGGGCTCCATTGACCTACTCCTCCAAGTTCCTTCAATTCACCAACATGTTTTTTGTTAATGCAAGTTTTTGAGTGATAGAGGTGAAGGATATATAGTGAACAGACATAACCAAAACACGGATTGGTCGAATTAAGGTGTTGGTGTAGTTAATCCATTCAGCTAATTACAGAGGGAGAAAGTGAGCTAAACTGAGGTGCTGCTGTGTGTTAACCTGCTGTCACACAAATACTCTGTAGGAGAGATGCTATTTTAAGACCTGGATACACGCATGGTCACCACTGTGTTTGAGCTGAGGTTTTAAATGTTGCAAAAAAAAAAAAAAGAGACAAAATTCTTATTGAAAAAAGGGGGGATTTCCTACATAGTACCAAAAACGCTAAAATATTGATAAGGAAATTGGTACAAATCATTTGCACCTTATATGTAATTTAAAATGGTGCAAAATCAAAGTGAAATGTTGAAACTGATTGTTTTCTTCCATGGAAAATGTGTACTTGTTTCAAATTTTACATTAGTAACTGGTTTCAGAGAAAAAAGTTCTGTAATGCTTCCCCAAAAAAAAACATCAGGAAGAGTGTCTCTCATCTAAAGAGGTCAACTTGCAACAGATCAGTAACATGACTCGGTATAATGAAGTCAAAAGTAAAGACCGGAAGAGTTTCAACACTCTGTTACAGACAAAAGGTTCAACTACCTACGTAAGTATAGCCTTCAGCAGACTGCAAATAATTAGTAGATTTCATCATCCACAGCACATAAAAGATTCAAGGAGTCTTCAGAGACAAAATGGGACAAGGCTGAAAACCGGCCCTTCCTCTTGGAAATCATGGACGTCACTTTTATTCCCCTTCACAATTCAGCACAGTCACACTGTGACATCTCCTTTGTCCAAAGTTGGTGTTATCAACTTCAGAATTAGGTTATAATTTCCTTAAAACAATGCAAATGTCAGTTTCCATATTTTATAGGCTGTGTTATCTTTGCACTATTTTTAATCTTTTAACAGCTTTAAGGGCTGTGCATAACATCAGCTTCTGTTGTCCCACTTGTTTTGGATCCAGGGTGTATATTCAAAAGCTGTGGGATTGTTGTACTTTGTACTCTGACAGGGTCTATGCACACAGATACCTCTTTAGTTGGCACATTTGTGACCTTGATGAAGTTAGAGGGCTGACACTTCAGGTAAAGTTTTACATGTAACCACCAAAGCACAACAGAGCTATTCATTTTTGTCTATCTGAGTTCTCAGTTTACTGCCCTGTTGGATGTTGCTCTTCCTCTTTTTTGAAATACATTCCATCCTGACTTTTTGCATGTTTTGTTGCATTTTAATTTTTAGGCTGATTATGTTTCACCATCAAAGGTTGCCTTATCAGCCAAAGCAAATGTTGCATGTACTTCCCTCTGTATTTCAGAATACTTTTCACAACATCCTTTTTACATCTCTTGGCCTGCATAATGAAATTGAAATTCTTCAGCAGTGACCTTTGATTATAAGACCTACATTTGTGAGTGAGTGTGTGAGGGATAATGGAGAGTGACTTGAAATCGTTTATGTCAAATATTAAAGGCAGCAAAAGGGAAACAACAATAAAATTGGGTTTTTATGATGTCCTCTTACAAAGATCCTGGAAAGCTCGGCCTCTTTTTAAGATCTTTGTGTGGGTTACAGATTTGCTCAGGGTCCCAGGGCCTGCTATGACATTACACTATATTTGTTGGTCCTGAAGTTAGGGAGGAAAGTTTTGAGGTGCTCTGCACCTTTTTCCTGGAGCAATCTACAGACTGTTGACACACTTGACAAAGGTAAAAACTCGATGTTATATTGTTTCATCATCACAGGGAAGTGTAATCCTGTGTAATTTATATAGGAAAGCAGTGGGTAAATGATACAGGGATTCTTCTGTCAGTATGGGACTTGGCGCCGTCAGCAGTTCATCTGTCCTCTATCTGTGCATAACAAACCTTACTTCAGCTGAGGCAAAGTCCTGCATCCGCTGCTTCCTCCTGCAGTTCCAGTTCCAGTAAGATTTGATCTTCTATTTTTTCACATCATCCTTTTGAAAGTCAGGATGTTGACACGTTCACGAGTTGATTCATTGCAGAAGTCCAACTGAATAGATCCACTTTCTCTTCATTAGCCAGGCCAAAACCATAACATGCATCTGGGTGAACCAGATGCTTAAGATCTAAAATATGATGATGCATTAACCCAAAAGTGAAAAAGGTATCCACTGAATAAAAGTGGATTCAAGGAGAAGCTGCTCCAGGAGTCAGGTTTGCTAAATTCAAAGCTTGTCTTTTGAGTTTCAGACGGATTAGATCTGCTTTGTTTGTAGAGTAGGTCTGATAAAGCCCGTATGTGTGTTGAAGCAGGTCTGCAAGATAAAACAGTAACCGATATACCAGCAAGGACGTTGAAGATAAAAAAAAAAAAAATACAAGTTAGTATCACTTCCTTTCTGGAGAAAATCAACAACCTGAGAGACCAGAGAGAGACAGAGAAGTGCAGAAGTGCAGAACAAAATGGTACACTTCAGGCTATAAAACAGGAAGATTTTTTATATACAGAAAAATCAACGGTCATGAAAAAGAAGAGATGTTTACAGTGCTGCGTATTTTAGATAAGGTCTACTTCACCCTGACTCTGTTACAGTGCCCTGGAAACCCCAAATCCCAGAAGCTTTTGGCTAACATCACTGCTAAATTCAGCTCGACCTTGATCCACCTGAGTTAAAAGAAGGACGACTCAGTCCAAGAGCAACACAAACCCTCTATTTGGGACTCCTGTTCTGGACATGCTGTACCTAAAATAGCTCTGCAGCCAGCTTCCACCACTGCAGGCTACATTAAGATAATTAAGAATAGGATTAAACACCTACTAACAGCCTGTGTCCTTGTTTCTCTACGTACATAAGCAGCTGAGAGCTTCAACTTTAAAGGAAAAGTTTGATATTTAGAGAGACAAACACTCTGATTTCGTCGAGAACTCATGAGAACTTGGTGTCCTCAGACTTATTTATGGTTCCTATAGTCCCCAAAAGTAGCACAGGAGGCGTGCTGGTAAAGCTGTCCTAAGCTGGGCAGGGATTTCGCATTCTCACGTCTAAAAGGTTTCTGAGGATGGTTGTCCTGAGTCACCTGGTATCATGTGCCGGCTTAACTCAAAGTCCCACTATGACTATTAATGCTATATGTGGACTTTGTGCTAACCTAGTTGCTTATACACTTTTTTTCTGCAAGATCCCTGATGAGCAAATTTCCTATAAAGCCTTGCCAGGTCTGCCCTGTCCCACTTCCAGGTCTCTGACAGGGGTCGCATCCTCCACTTTGGGAGTCATTCACCTATGCTAATCATTTAAAGGGATGGTTCAGGTTTTTAAGTGAGCTTGTGAGGTACTTGTCATCAGGAAATGTGTCACTCACAGATGCTTATTAAAGGATCGGTTTGTAATATTAAGTGGAGTGTAGATGAACACAATATTCATAACCATGTATTCATTATTGTAGTATGGCCGATGAATCAATATCACAGTTGTTTCGTATCTCATCCTTTTTCATGCCTAACTGATGTGTTCTGGTCAAACATCGAATTTCACTGATTTTGACGATGAATTGCATATTTTTTCCTGATTAAAAACTGCATTGTTGGATGTTTTTGTTTTTATCATAGGTGTATTTGGAGGTTATGACATGATTAAAAGAGACAAATACTCAAAAACACTATTTGAAAAAGGATATATTCACAAGTGTTGCTGGGTCAAATATCCTGATGGAATATTTCACACAGACCCAGCAGAGCACACACAGTCTGTACTCGTCTCTTCTTTCCTTTGACATTCTCCCCTCCGGATGAGAGGATTTGCAGGGCATCCCCTCTCTCTTCTCTTTCATCCTCTCTCCATCCCTCCCACCTGCCCACCTCTTTCCAGCCCGTCTCATTTGATCCTGATTTCTGTGTAGGTTACACAAATGTGTCCTTACTCACAGCTGACAGAGAGGGACAGCGCTAATTCAATCACAGCAAATAAAGCACGGACTTGACTCTTCCAAAGATATAGTTCTCATCCTATTACATGGTAACAGGATCTATATGAAAGAGCATGTGCATCCTGTGTCATCTGTGTTTGAGAGTCACAGACACAGCTGCTGCAGCATTGGCATTTTAACATCATTTTGTGTTTGTTTGTTTGTTTGTTTGTTTGTTTGTTTGTTTGTTTGTTTGTTTGTGTACATTTGTTTCTATTCAAACTCAGGGATTAGAGGCAGGACTCGCAGGCGAAGGGATTTCCCAGCAGCAGTTTGTTCCTCCAGGTTGCTGCACCTCTC